TATATATCTTAGATTATTAGCGAAAACTCCTTAAAAAAGGTATATTTAGTAATAGTCTAAGATTTATATATAATATTCCCTTTCTCTAGATATAACTTATATTTATTTTAGAATTCTAATTACTCTATATATGAAATAATAGAATTAGATATAAAAACCTAGGTAAATATATTAGTAACTTAGCTAGAGAGATAAAACTAATATATAATATAAGTAACTTATTAAAATATTAGTGAAAAGGTACTAAACTTGAAGTAAGAAATATATAGTAAGAGTTTTCTTAGTAGTAATTAAATTACAGGCTATTTAGTAGCTTTTCTTAGCTACATTAAAGGCTTAATAAAGTTAAACTATAGCCCCTCTAACCTTTATTATAAAGACTTCCTTAAAATTACTATCCTAAAAGCTCTTAGCCAAGACTAATAATAGATATAGATTATATATTACTAACTATTCCCTTAGTAACCTATTAATAAAAAGACATTAGCCTATAAAACTAAAGAAACGTAAGATAAAATACGCCTATCTATATAACTTTATACTATTAGTATAGTAGTAATACTTAGTTAAAGTGGCACTATCCTAAATATAAGAAATAATAAAGGAAATACTAGAACCTAGATTAAAATTATTAATTAAAATATAAAGATAGTTATATAGTAAAAGATACTAATAATAATAGGGTTAACTTATAGAGTACGCGTAATAACTATAATATAGATAAAATAATATTAATAAAGGACAGAAATAACGCGTAAATACGTCTAAGAAGATAGTGAAAAGTAGAATATAAAGATAAGGGAGCGTAAAGATATAAAGAAGTGAAGGAGGGAAGAAGGAAGAAAGTTATTATAGTTAATAATAATAAAGAAATTATAGGACTTTTATATATATAAACGATAAATAAAAAATCCCCTTAATTATAAAAAGACAATAAAGAACTTAATTAAATTACCTTACCGTTCTCATTTCGCCCCTAAAAGGATCGCGGACTATCCTTAAAGACGGGGGGAATAGTTATTATAGTATAACCTACAATATAAAGGTATCTAATATCCGTATTGGGATATAGGGAGAAACACCCCCCATAACATATAGAAAACCTATATAGAAGCGAGTGTTACGTGATCCCATAAATATACAGAATGGAGATAAATATATCTAGTTAATCTTGCTTCGGTAAGGATTAGTTCAGTTCTATTCTATCATAGGATTGGTGTTGTCGTGCCTTATCATCTTGTCCCTTACCTAGTCCAACCTATCCTTAACAAAATAAGCACAATCCACAATCCTCAAATAAAGGACTAAAAGAAAGAATAATAAGAATAAGATTGAGTGCAAAGGGCTTATGCACTCTAAATGAGCACAATCCACAATCCTCAAACAAAGGACTAAGCAGAAGGTCTTTCTAAGCAGATAGAAAGGGATAGTAGAATATTTGAAGAGAGTGAAAGGTCTGTCATTTCTACTTAGTGTCTCGCGCGTATTTATAGACAGAAAGTAGTCAAAGTCACATGCTTTATATCAGATAAACAGAATAGAATCAGGGAAGGAAATATAATAGAACTAATGGCGTGATGAGGGATATGTCATCGATCTGGTGGGGTAAAGAGGGGTAAGCGGTTTGGAGGGGTAAATCATATTCGCATTTCTTTTCTTCTTCTTCTTCTTCTTCTTCTTATGTTGAATAAGAGGATATCTTCACCTAATGTAGCATTGGTCCAAATTCCAACAGGATCTAATCTAATTAATCTATAGATAATAGTCTAATAAATCTAATATAGTATTAATCTTAGTTAATTTAATAGAAATACATATTATTTCGTATAATAAAAACAAGGTAGAGGTAAAGATAAAGTGAAGGCAAAGTGAGAATAAAATAAGAATAAAGTAAAGTAATAAAGTAAGGTAAAATAATAAAGTAAGGGCAAAGAATAATAGTATTAATAATTCTTAGAGGGCTTAGAGAACTACTAGGCTCATAAATATTAGTTAATAAGGCTAGTAAAAGGAAGATAGAATAATTAGTTAGTAATTAAACTAATATAGTAATAATTAATTAAGGAGGACTTAGGCGAGTGTCTCTGGGCTTATAACTATTAGACCGTAAAGGGAGGCGGATACTATAAAGCTTTTCGTAATACTTCCCTACTACGGACTATTAGACTACCTAACTGCTGGACAATAAGGGCGGTGATACCACGAAGCCGTTCGTGGCGCCAACTAGGCTTTACGTACCCCCTTAGTGTCGTATATCGCTCTATCCAACTGGTCGATCCAAGTTGGACAAAGGAAGACTCTTAGGATAGACTACACACTAATATAGCCTAAACGAGAATAATTCACACTTTAACTTATAGGGGAATAATCACACTAAGGGTTACTTTTACCCTTTTTATATATAAGATAAGTAAGAAAGGAACTTAGGTAGTTTCTAAAGAGAGTAAAAAGTCTAATTCTTCTACCTAGTAATCTATCGCGTATTTATAGATAAATATACCCTAGTATTATATACTTCGGACTAAAGGAAATACCTTAAAGAGAAGTGATAGAACTAAATAGAAGTATATAGATTATAGATAATAATATTAGATAATGTTGGAATTTGGACCAATGCTACATTAGGTGAAGGTATCCTCTTATTCAACATAAGAAGAAGAAGAAGAAGAAGAAGAAAAGAAATGCGAATATGATTTACCCCTCCAAACCGCTTACCCCTCTTTACCCCACCAGATCGATGACATATCCCTCATCACGCCATAAGTTCTATTATATTTCCTTCCCTGATTCTATTCTGTTTATCTGATATAAAGCATGTGACTTTGACTACTTTCTGTCTATAAATACGCGCGAGACACTAAGTAGAAATGACAGACCTTTCACTCTCTTCAAAGATTCTTCTATCCTTCTGCCTTCTTTAGTCCTTTATTTGAGGATTGTGGATTGTACTGATTTAGAGTGCATAAGCCCTTTGCACTCTATCTTATTATTTTCTTTCTTTATCCGATTAAGCCTTCCTTGGTCGGATAGTTAACGGTCTATAGGGAGGAAGTATTAGTAAAAGTGTACCTCGCGCTATAAAAAGCTTCGTGGTATCCGCCTCCCTCCGCGGCCAACACTATTTCTTAGAGAAATTGAATATACTATAGTTTAGCTCTATTAACTTTTCAAAGTAGCTAAGAGAAGCTACTAAATAGCCTATAATTTTATTATTACTAAGAAAATTCTTATAATATATTTCATTTATTTTTATTTTAATAACTTAGTTAAGAAGCTTAATAGCTAAATTAGTATTATCTATATTATTAAACTTATCAATATTGCAAAGGTTATAGTATAAATCCTTGAAACTAGCTAAAATCTCTTTGAAAAAGGTATGTTTAGTAATAGTTTGAGTCATGTATAGTATCCCTCTTCTTTAGATACAACTTACGCTTATTTTAGAATTCTACTTACTCCTTATATAAAATAGTAATAGTAAGAATAACAATCTAAGCGATTATATTAGTAACTCTGCTGAAGAGGTAAGACTAATAAATAATATAAGTAACTTATTAGAATATATGTAAAAAGTGACTAAGTTATTCCATATTATAGTCAATCCCTTTTATTTAAAGATTAACACTACTTTCACTTCATTTTATCAAGTTTAAAGCTTTAAATTTTATTAAGTAACCTAATATATTAGCTTTTCTTAACTCTTAAGTCTTTAAAATTTCTTAATACTCTCTTATATATTCTCCATTTTATAGGTAGGTATCTATTAATTATATTCTAAGGGCTAACTTAGCCTTTCTATTTCATTAGGAAATATAATTATAAACTTTCAACAATATAAATTACCAGGCTTACTAACTAATCTAATTAGATATCTAAAAAATAGCCTCATAAATTATAGGGATAATTCTTATATTCTTTATAGAGATTCTTTATTAATATAAACTCTACTAAAACTAATAAACTTAATAATGCTAAAGGACATCTTGAAGGTACAAATAATGAAAAGAATTTTAATCATGTCTTTGAAAACCTGAGAATATTTATCAATAAAGTTCCTAAGTCTTCTTATTTTAATTTTATTAGTTATAATTAGTATTATAGTATCTTTTATTATAATTTAACAATAAATAAGAATAATAGCTATTTAGACTATATTAATAAAGTATTAAAGATAGTATCTAAAGGTATTATTCATCCATTTATTTAAAAATTGAGTTAGGGTTAAAGTACTATTAATAAGCGAACTTTAATATAATATAGAAGATAAAATCTAGTTTTAAATAGAATTTATTCATAAATATTAGACTTTAATTAGAAATAATACCCTCAGAGAGGCTGAATTTTAGTTTAATTTAATTATAAGGCTAATATTTCAAATAGTATCTCTAATAAGATTTATCTAATAGAATTTATATTTTATTTTAGTTCAATAATGTAGTTTTAACTAAAATGTCTTACTGATGGATTATTATAACAAATTTTAATTTTTATCGTAGCTTCTCTACTATAGGGATATATAAATATTCTCTGTCTTTACTTTAAAAATATATATACTCTACGGCTTATATTATATTTAAATAACATTATGGAATATTATAATTATCTTAGATAGCTTAGTTAGTTAGCTAACTCCATTATAATATAAATACAATTACGTCTTTTAGATATAAAGTCTAAATTATAGTATTTTACAAGCTTGATAGTAATATTTAGTAGCAAGTCTTAAGTCTAATGAATAAGGAAATAAGTTCATGAGTATTTTACAAGCTTGATAGTAATATTTAGTAGCAAGTCTTAAGTCTAATGAATAAGGAAATAAGTTCATGATTCTAGGTATTCTTAGTCTTTCCTTATAGTGTTTGGCGGGGACTGAACATTACTTATGTGAACATTACACTTAGTAACATGCGAATACGAGAAACCAATTGAAATCCGGCGCCTGGCTAAGAAACTGTAGCAAATGGCCAAAGGCATATCTCTAGTAGTGAAGACTGGAGCTATTAACCGCCCATTATGTCCTCATCCATGTCGAGCCCGAAATCTTCACCTGGGCCTTGATTGGTATCAGAGGAAGTTGTCCATGTTTGACCCTTGGAGCTGTCCACAAATTCATCACTCAAGCCCATAGCATGGTTAATTTCCTCGATACTGCCCATAAGTGCAGTCATCAACTGACCCTCTTTCTTCAAGTGTATCTGCATATGGCTTTCATACGACATTCGAGAGGACAAAGATTCACCTGAAAGCCGCAACATTGTTTCATTGGTTTGAGATGAAGAATGCACCAATGCTGCATTCATAGCACCAGACATTATGAAAGACGCGATCGATGTCTCGGCGGCCATCGCATCAGCAGGCAAATATGGGGCTTGCTCTAGGACTTCGGTCACAGTCAAAGCAGCAAATGTCTTGCGTAGCCCGATGAGGGCATGTCCCGAAAATGTATTCACAACCTGGGAGACCAGGCCCATATTGCGATCCTATGACAATTTTCAGCAATGCACCAACATGCAAAGGAGAACCTGAGACGGACCATAAACCAAATTTCCCGAGCAGTATCTACCTCTGCCACAAGCTTCTTCATGTCACCACGCTCAAAGATCTGAGCAAGACTGACGTAGGGCTTGGCAAGTGACTGGTATAACTTGACCACATTAGGAGAAGTCACGTTTGGAGGTGAAAATAGCTGATAGAGAGTAATTATTAGTCAAAACAGACAAAAATATGCATTCAGTATCACCCACCTTGCCATTGGCAAGCAGTCCCACCAAGACCCATTTTTTGTAGGCTTCTACCATGACCATACTGATAGAACCCACTGTAGGCGCCGAGATCACAACGCTCAGAAAATGAAATGCCTTGCGCCACTCCTTCAACGCCATGTAAACCATTCCGCCGTAAAGAAAATATCGCAGATAGTCCCTGTATGTCAGTTTAGACGACAGCCCAGAGGAATCGGTGATAAACAAGAGGCTTGTTTCATGTCTTGCGCAAAGATCAGAAGAGACCTTTGAAGAGGCACGGCTCGGCAGAGCTGGGAAATGGCAGATATGTTTGTCTAAAACGGGCAATGCGCAAGCATATGCCCTAGCTCTCAAGCAAAGCTGAATGAAAAGAAGATGAGTTGATGTGAACACAGCACACGATGGGTCAAGTCGAAGGATTGCTTCCCGGATTGGGCGAGTGCCTAGCAAGGGCTATTACAAGTCAGTCAAGGAAGGGAAATATAGGACAAGTAGAGCCATGCCTTTGACGCAGCCTGCGAGGCTTGTCCAATATATTCAATAATTTGGCGAAATTCCCGACCAGCATATCTAATTTGAACCGGATCGAAGATTTCCAGATAGCGCACAGCTCTCGACCATAGCTTTCCTGGGGGTAGTAGATCATATGGCAACGTCCCACGGCTTGTTTCTTGGAGGGTTTGAATTTGTAGACGAAGAAGAAAGAGATAGATGATAGAATCCCGCCCTGGATGGAAGCGCTGTCCACGAAATCAAAGTTAGTTCGAAACAAATACCATGAAGCAGACAAGTGCTTACATCCAGCGTAGACTCATCACGGCAAACAGAGCCGAGAGCATTGGTTGAGAGCAAATGTCTGCAGTGTGCAACGAGATCACGTATCTGGCGGTCGTATTCTTCACCGGATAAGCCGGTGAAGTTTCGTAACTTTGCTGAGGCGGAAGCAAGAGCCTCGACTGCAGCCATATTGACGATGGCAACACCGACAGTACCGAGGGATTTCGGAGGGGTGATTTTCTGATCGAAGGATCACCAAGGCACAAGGTATGAAGATAGCACGAGTTAAAGTCGATTGAAGGGGTAAAGGTAGGTGGGGAGAAGGTAGGGAGATCGCGGTGAGTGTAGATCACAAGTGAAGCTCAACTCCAAGGCGGAGAAGGGAAGAGCCCCACTGCTATGCCCCTCCGACTGAGTCATCTGGAATCCTCCCCATGTAGAAGGTTTTGCCTTCACTTGATCTTTCCTATGCTCCTCCCAACCCTCCCCTCCCCTCCCCATACTACCACATTTGACTCAAACAATGTCATTGACCGGGTCAGCCGCAATTGATGTTGCCCGTAGCGCATTGGTCGCTTCTCGTCGCCTCGCAACGCTTCCGAATACTGCCCGAAACGACGCTTTGACGGCTCTCCACCAAGCTCTGGATAAGAACAGAGCCACTATACTTGCTGCCAATGCTAGGGATGTGGAGGCTGCTACACGCGATGCCAACAATGGTAATCTGAACCATAGCGTACTTAAAAGACTCGATCTATCACGGCCTGGCAAGTATGACGATATGCTTGAGGGGATCTTGAGTGTGCGAGGCTTGGATGATCCTAGTAAGAAATACACTTTTATTGGATGAGAATCAAGCTGATTTTCGACGGGTGATAAGTTGGCAAAGTGACGCTACGCACCCTCCTGGATGAGGGACTGAGTCTGGAAAGAGTCAGTTGCCCAATTGGAGTCTTGTTGATTATATTCGAGGCTCGCCCAGAGGTGATCGCGAACATTGCTGCTCTGGCCATCAAGTCCGGCAACGCTGCTATCTTGAAAGGTATGGTCTTTTGTATCCCCTCACAATTCCCTTTGAGGGCCCTTTCAGTTGACGGAAACAGGCGGAAAGGAGTCGATGGAGTCCTTCGTGGCCATAGCCAATGTCGTTTCTGAAGCCATTGCTGGCAGCCAGGTGCCAGTCTCATCGATCCAGCTTGTCAAAACGAGGGACGTTGTCTCATCCCTGCTCGCCCAGGATTCCTTCATTGATCTAGTAATTCCCCGAGGATCTAATGAACTTGTTCGCTATGTGAAGGAAAACACAAAGATTCCCGTTCTCGGACACGCTGATGGCCTATGCTCTGCCTATATCCATTCGGATGCAAATACCAAAATGGCCGTGAAAGTCATCGTGGATTCGAAAACAGATTATCCCGCGGCGTGTAACTCACTCGAATCGTTGCTGGTTCACCAGGATGTTCTGGAAACTATCCTCCCCGAAGTTGCCGTGGCACTCATTGATAAGGGGGTGTCGCTTCGTTGTGATGAGGCATCGATGGCAGCGTTGGCCAGCACACTATTAAGTGATCAGCTCTCAAAAGTCCAGCCATCAACCGAAACCGACTACGACACAGAGTTTTTGGACCTTGTGTTGGCAGTGAAGACCGTCCCGTCAACAGGCGATCCTGCATCGGCGGTAGAGGCAGCCATGGCTCATATCAACGTGCACTCATCCAAACACACGGACATCATCTTGACCGAATCACGGGATTTGGCAACCTTATTCATGAGCGGAATTGACAGCGCAGGAGTATTCTGGAATGCATCGAGCAGGTTTGCCGATGGCATGAGATTTGGATTCGGCACCGAAGTGGGCATCAGTACCAACAAAATCCACTCTCGGGGTCCAGTTGGACTAGAGGGCTTGACGATCTACAAATACTTGGTCCGAGGGAATGGCCACGGTGCAGGAGATTACCATGAAGGTCAAGGGGGACGACAGTACCTTCATACCAGCCTGCCTATTGCCGAGTAGCCGCTATGTTGGTGGATAGCAAAAGAGGAAACAAAAAGGAATCTAGAATCCAAACAGGAGTTATTTTCTTTTGAAACATTTCGCAGTCGTAAGAAAAGATGAGGAATAAGCCCGGATGCATTTTTCTTTTGCGCGCCTCCCTTCAATCATAAAATCTGAATCGCCCAGCCCAACCAAAGACATCCTGTCACTTTAGGTACATCGAATAAAAACCTCTGGCCAGACACGGCGAGATAAGACATCCGGACAATTCAGTGCGAAGGACCCACGACGCATTCGTGACACCTGTACCACTATCCTCACAAGGTCATTTAGACCTTGAAACCCTTGGAGCGTCTGCGACCACGAGCACGCTCGAACTTCCGGCCCTTGCTGGCGACGTAGGGCTTCTGTCAAGTTGCAGATAGGTTAGCATATTCCGTTCAAATTGTAAACAGGCTGTCCTCCAAGCGATTTAACGTACCTTGTGAGAGTGAGGACCAAAGCCGAAGTGCTTCACAGCCTCACGGGCGTTCTTGGGTCCACGGAGAAGCAGGGTGTTGGCACCGGTGGGGGCACGGAGAGCAAGCTGATCCATGGTGAGAATCTCACCACCAGCCTTCTCAATGCGAGCGCGAGCAGTAGCGGTAACACGCAGAGCAGCGACGGAGAGCTTGGGGACGACCAGGAGGCGGTTGTCATCGGTGACGGTACCAATAACAACGACGGTCTTGCCCTTGTGCGCCTCGTTGATGTTGGAAGCGATGCGCGAGATCGAAACCGGGGGGCGGTTGATGCGCGACATGAAGAGGCGGCGGAGAACAGTCTTGTTGAAGTTGGACTCCGTGCGGCCTATCCAAAATCCGTAATCAGCTTTTTTTTTCTTCGCTTCCGAATAGATTCGCCTTCCAAATTTGTGGCATTGCAAACGATGATCGAGGGGGAGAGGGTTTCATACGAGCCAAGAAGCGGTACAGCTTCACGAGCACCTGCAAGTAGACGTTGTCGCTCTTAGGAGCCTTGCGGTGTGTGCTGCGCACATGGTGACGGTCCAAGTCGATACCTGAAAATTCGACGTGGTCAGCCTTGAGAAATGGGAGACGAGAACGGAACTCGAGTTCTGTATGCTCTGACGAAGAGCATGAGATCCGTGGGAATGAACATACCCATGGCTGCTGATATGGATTGAACACCTGGGAGTTAGCTTGCTGTCGCGAAAGTGTAGGAGGTTTTTGGTCTAGGACTTTCGGCTGCGCGGGTGTGTGTGGGCTGAGCCCTACGCTAGCCCCAATTCGGAAATACAGTCACATGATACAGAGCACATATTACATAATCTATATTAGGGCCCATCCCGAGGTGGCAAAAGTGGAGAGATGTGAGGCGAAGCTGCCTTGTCCCAAAGACTTGGATGCATGGCCACGTGATTGTATTTCACCGAGTGCATGGAAACGTCAAGTTTAACATCGTATTCCAGTTCATGAATTTCCCCTTTTCTTAACTATATACAAATCTTTGGACAAAGGGCCTAAAGGACTGAGGGCAACTGGTCTAGGTATATTGCAAACTAATCTCTATCCTCCATGCTCACGAGGAAATCCCGCGTCATCTCGAAGCTGAACCAGCTGCTGGCCATACTGGGAGCAACCTTGAGGAGATTGGGTCCGATTCCTTTGAAGAGTCCTCGCAGACCTTCTTCGGCCACAATCACTCGCACAGCATCCCAGACCGAGGCATATTTGTATCCCATCCCGGACATGGTGTTGATCTGGAAGCGTCGCCGCAACACATCACTAGAAATTAGTCAGCCTTACGTTCCTAAGGAGCCTGAAGTGGACAATGCAGGAAGCTCACAAGGGATATGTGCAAGTTTGAGCCACAGCGCCGGAGATAGCGCCTGCCAACAATCTTCGGGCCGGACTAGGATTCTTCTCTCCGTCCGGGGTAAAATACTTGCGCACTGACTCGTAAGTCATGAAATTCAAGCCGACCTGCGTATTCTGTCAGCTCCGGTATGCCAATTGGACACGTTTGCCAAAGACTCACGTAAGGAGCAACCCCTGCGACGGTAGGAACGATTCCGCGATAGAGGGCGATCATGCCGCCCTCCGTCTTGTATATCCTGACCATTGTGGTGAACATGCCAGGCAGTTTTTGATTGTGGTCTCGCTGCCTGAGCTCGGCAAACGAAGCGGATTGAATTGAAAGTCGCGTGCGAACAATGTCCAACGGATACGTGACAGTCACCGATGTAATTCCTGCGATTCCACCGCAAATAAGGCGGCTTACGGGGGTCATTTCACCTTCTGGTGATTCGGCAAACTTGCACCCAAACTGGTCAGCGTCGAGACTCAACTTCTGAGGACTGAGGGAAGAAGTATCACTTACTTTCTTGTAGAAGTTGTAACTTCCAAACTGCACAGCGGAGTATGGAATGATGCGAATACAATTGGTGCCGTTACCTCGCAGGAAGCCTCGCCAGCCTTCATCACGTCCCATTTTTACAAGGGCTTTCCAGATTGACGACTTGTATGCTTCTCGACCGACGCTTTGGATCTGGAGCAGGATTTTCAACCGCTCCAGGGGTGACACAATAGTCCTAGAAACAGCACCTGCTACGCCACCAGCCATAAATGCGGCCACGACCGGTTCAGCAAGCCTGCTCTTCGTTCGGTGCAGTATTGACGGCGTTTCGCGGTCGGAGTCCTGAATATGAACGGTCAGCTTTTACACTTCCCAGGAGCCTTGCATTTCACCGACCTCGACCGGGCTGGAAGATGAGGGCAGCTGCAGACCCTGCAATGTAGGTTTCGCAGTTGTTTCCAGCTCACTCTTCTGAGACCCATTTTGGCGATCGAGACTCATCGTGACGGTAGGCGCATCCGAATCTGTTTGAGTAGAGGGTAGAGTATGCACCGGCGACGAGATGCTTCCGCAAGTCTCCTGTGGAAGTGGCGGCCTACTTCAGGAAGGAAAGTCCAAAGTTGAATGATGAGTGGGTAGACAAATGGGGTCGGCGACGCGACGAGAGGATGAAAGCACGGAGAATCAATAGGTGCAAAGCGCCGGCCATGAAGTTTGTATGTTGTCTCTTGCGGGACCCCTACAGATCCATAATTGGTCACAGACCCAGCCGTTTCGGTGTAGATGTTGACGTCGCAGCAAGGTCGGATCGACGAAGCCCGGTTTGGAAGGGAAGGACGAAGGGGGTACAATGTCAAGTTGTCGGACTGAATTGTCGAGACTTTCCTCGAGGACAGTTATGAATGATAGATGAGCAAGAGAAAAAGAAAACACCGAGACGTAAAAGCGAACTAAAATGAGAAGATACAGGAGTATGTTGAGATGCAGTGGGTAAGAGGTGGAAAACATCATCCCGACTGCCGACGACTATCTACGCGGTACCTTCCGAGGGGGCAGTGCCCTCCGATGATATGATCTATAGAGCATATTTGATGTTGAACAGGGAGTACATTGGTTTCCAGTAAAACATAAAATTGCCTTCTTTCCTTTTGGCCTGGCTCTTGATTTAGTCGCATACCGCATACCGCATGATGATGTGGGCTCGTCGCTTTCATCATTGGCGTCTATGGTCTTTATACTCCGCCGTAACCACTTCTTCGCCTTTCTTCCCCTTCCGTTCTTCTCTTCCTCCTCTTGCCCGCGTGTAGGGAACTGATTATCCTCCTTTTCCAGCCTCCCCTCTATCTTAGATTACAACTCCGCCATGTCTCGATCGGGAACCACCCTCTATGTCACTGGTTTCGGCCATGGCACCCGTGCTCGCGACCTTGCCTACGAATTCGAACGGTACGTGCCGCCTACACATCCGCCCTGTTGAATCCACGGTTCTCGAAAGCCCCCCCCCCTCCATCCCTCCGAGCGCCGACGATGACTTCCCCTCTTTCAATCATTCAACCAGGTCTATGCTGGTGATAGAGTAATGCTTCTCTTGACCACAAGCGCCTTGGGACAAGAAACAAAATGCTAGTCATGGTCGTGGGTCATTGTTCACTGGATATCTGTCATTAGAACCTCAATCGTCTCCATGATCGACCACACCCTTACTAATACCTTCAATAGCTACGGCCGCTTGGTCCGTTGTGACATCCCAGCGCCGCGTACTCAATCGAGCCGCCTGTATGACCGACCCGTTCACGACATCTTCGGTTCCTGCTTCTGACAATCATCTAGCTTCGCCTTTGTCGAATACGAGAGCCGCCGAGATGCGGATGACGCCTACCATGAGATGCATAACAAGCGCATTGGGCGTGACGACCTTCTGAAAATCGAGGTAAGCTCTTTTGAAATCTACTCGTAAAGGATCTATCTCATTTTCGTTCCTAGTGGGCTCGTACTCCGCCTTCTGCATCATGGAGATTTGAATCTGGTCGAGAATCTGGCCGTGATTCCGGTAGGGAGTCCGGTCGGGAGTCTGGCCGTGAACGCCGTCGCTCACCTCGCCGGGGTCGCTCCGTCTCGCCGCGTCGCCCTCGTGACTACTCTCCCCGACGTGAGGATCGATACGAACGGGACTACGAACGTCGCGAAGACCGAGACTACGATCGCCGGGACCGCGACTATGATCGTACTCGTGACCGGGACCATGACCGCAGGGACCGTGATCGTGAACGCTCCCGTGACCGCTCCCGCACCCCCGACGACCGTGATCGTGATGCCAAGGACGACCGGGAGAGACGCGATGATGACCGTGAAAGACGTGAGGATGACCGAGAGCGCCGTGACGACGGAGAGAATGTTCCCAATGGCGAAGACAGGAAAGGTGTGTCATTACTCCGGCCAACTATCGAGAAATTCGTACTTACAGCAAACAGTACCCTTGGATCCCGTTCCCTCTGCTCATGACGAGCTTGATACCGCTGAGTAGATCAAGTCAGTGCCACGTCCAGTCGAGCCGTGTCATTTCTTATTCCGGGAATAACCGTCGATCAATCCGCATTCCCCACGAGGCATCGTTGTCTGACGTTCTGAAAAAGGGCACCCACTTCAAGCCCTTCCTGCTTTACAAGACCACGTACAAATCGTGGATTTCCCCCATACTTCTTTGATTTCCACCTTTCGAGGCTTGATCTTGCAGCTGCTTCTAGCTGGGGCTTTAGTGATCCTGTTAACTCCCCGTGTTTTACAAATTTCTTCTATCTGTTGGTATTTATCATGGTCAGCAGCTCGGATACCACCGAAACGAACGTCGAGCGATCGTGTTTCTTTTAGTCCTCGCCCGTCTATCGTCTCATCCCGTCCTTGCGTTTCCACCATGAATACCGCCCGCCTACCGTCTTATTCGCAGATTTAATATGAAAGCGGTTCTCCATTTCCCATACCCTGCACCCTCCACCCCCGCCCTGTACGACCGGTCGTTTCCGAGGATTCCGTGTCCCTTCTCGAATCGTTTCGTAGAGTCGTATGTCCCTGGTTCATCTGCCGATATTGGAGCGCCACAGCTTTAAGGGCCCGAAAGTTGACATAACTGGCCTGGAGGTATTGTTGTTGACGATGCAACAGACATTTCACTATGGGATTTTTGTAGACTAACACAGGCACCGCCCTCAATTCCGGAGTCCCCTAGTGTATTATATTCTTTTATCCGATTACGATTAGTCTTATGCATATACCAACAATGTTCTCTCTCGGCCCGGATGACGTAGAGAAGTTGCCGTGCGGGGAACTGAGGCCCTTCATATTGCCCCATTTCCTCTCCTCTGACTCGGAAGGCCACCAAAACACTATGGAGCCATCTAACGAGAGGGGAATCAGCATTGCTATCGATGTAGGAGAATAGTCGATCCCTTGCCTAAGCGTTTTGTTGCGCTGACAGGTAACTATAGAGAGGTGGCACCTTCACTGACTGTGTAGGAAACCCCGGAACCGGCCGATTAGAAGATGACATTGTGATCAAGCTTCTCTCTGAAGACCCTTCCAATTATGAGGATGCTCCCCTTGAAGGTATTCGGAGAATTCTCTCTAGGTTCACGGGACGCGAGATCCTTAGAGGGGTCCCTATTGATACATCGCTGATCCAGAGCATCCGCATGGGCACCACCGTTGCAACGAACGCCCTGCTTGAGCGTAAAGGAGAAACGATTGTGCTCGTGGTCAGCAAAGGCTTCCGTGACTGCCTACAGATTGGGAATCAATCGCGACCCCGGATCTTTGATTTAGCAATCAAGCGTCCCGACGTACTGTATGAGGAAGTAGTAGAAGTGGATGAACGAGTTACTTTGGAGGATTATGCGGAGGATCCGCAACGCCATATCACGGAGATCACTGATACGCAGACCCCTGATGCTGAGATTGTCCGTGGTCTTTCTTCCGAGGCCGTTCGTATCCTGAAACGTCCGTCCGAGAGTGTGGTGAGATCACAGCTCCAGAAAGTCTTCCAAAAGGGAATTCGAAGCATCGCCGTATGTCTCATGCACGGCTATACTTTTCCAGATCACGAGGCATTGATCGGACGACTTGCAACTGAAATCGGTTTCCATCACGTCAGCCTAAGTCACCAGCTGATGCCAATGATTAAGCTTGTACCTCGAGCAACTTCGGCCTGTGCTGATGCATATTTGACCCCAACTATCAAGAAATATATCTCTGGTTTCCAAGCAGGGTTTGAGGGCGGCCTCGGAAGCGCGAGTGTCAAGCGACAGGAAGGTGCTCGAGGTGCCCGCTGTGAAGTCATGCAGTCGGATGGAGGCTTGGTCGACGTAGACTCATTCTCAGGCCTGCGAGCAATCCTGTCCGGCCCTGCCGGGGGAGTAGTTGGCTACGCCCTGACTTCATACGACCCCGTGTCCAAAATCCCAGTTATTGGGTTTGACATGGGTGGGACAAGCACAGATGTCAGCAGGTACGGCTCCGGCCGTTATGAACATGTCTTAGAGACCACCACGGCTGGGGTCACGATCCAGTCGCCGCAGCTAGATATCAACACCGTAGCAGCTGGCGGGGGCTCCCAACTCTTTTACCGCAATGGCCTTTTTGTTGTTGGCCCAGAATCTGCTGGTGCACACCCCGGACCTGCGTGCTATCGGAAAAGAGGCCCTCTCACCGTGACAGACGCCAATCTCTTTCTCGGTAGACTAATCCCCGATTTCTTTCCTAACATCTTCGGTCCAAACGAGGATCAGGGGTTGGATGAACGGGTGACTCGGAAGCTATTCGAGCAGTTGACACATGAGATCAATGAAGAACTATCCAGAGGTGGACAAAATAAGAGAATGGCCCCGGATGAGGTGGCTTTTGGCTTTATCAAGGTCGCCAATGAGACAATGACTCGGCCGATTCGGTCTTTAACCGAAGCAAAGGGCCATGACACTTCAAAGCATAGGCTGGCCACGTTTGGAGGTGCAGGTGGGCAGCATGCCGTAGCTATCGCAGAGAATCTGGGTATTCGTCAAATTCTGATTCATCGATATTCATCTGTGCTTTCTGCATATGGAATGGCCCTGGCAGATGTGGTTGATGAAAATCAGGAGCCAGAATCGAAGACATGGGGCGATTGTCAAGAAGTGAGACAGGAGCTTGCAAAGAAGATGGACCAGCTGAAGCAGAGATCGACGAGGCGATTGCATGAGCAGGACTTTGACGGAGAGTCGGTCGTCTTCGAAGAGTACTTGAACATGCGATACCGCGGCACGGAATCTGCTCTGATGATTCTTAAACCCAGCAAGGAAGAAGCTGATCGCCTCTTTGAAGGTGACGAATGGGCTTTTGGCAAAGCATTTGTTCGACAGCATGACCAGGAGTTCGGTTTTACTCTCCCAGACCGCGACATCATTGTGGATGATGTGCGCGTCAGAGGGATTGGAAAGAGCTTCAAGGCATCCGAGAAGACCATTGACCAACAGCTTCAAGACTCGAAGCCCATGGATGTCGTAGGTCGCGAGCATCGAACTTCTGAGGTGTACTTTGAAGGAGGCCGGCATGAGACACCCATCTACAAACTCGATGACCTGCAGGTGAACGATCGGGTGAAGGGACCAGCCATGCTCGCCGATGACACTCAAACTATCGTGATAACCCCGGGGGCCTCGGCTCTTCTCACAAAGACTCATGTTGTGATCAACGTCGGCGATTCAGAAGCCAATCTTCCTCAAATTAGCACGGACACGGTAGACCCTATTCTACTGAGTGTCTTTTCCCATCGATTCATGGCCATTGCCGAACAGATGGGCCGTGCACTCCAGAAAACAAGTGTAAGCACCAACGTCAAAGAGCGCCTTGACTACTCGTGTGCACTTTTCGACGCGCAAGGTGGCCTCGTTGCAAACGCCCCTCACTTGCCCGTTCATTTGGGCAGTATGTCGACGTGTGTTCGGATGCAGGCACAGATATGGCAAGGCAAATTGCAGCCTGGCGATGTCATTGTTTCAAACCACCCAGAATTTGGAGGGACTCATTTGCCCGACATTACAGTTCTTGAGCCTGCCTTCAGCCAGGAAAAGGTCATCTTCTTTGTGGCCTCCCGGGCACATCATGGTAAGTAAATCCGCCCAGTTTCAAGATAGCTATTCAATCTGACTTTCTCCCAGCCGATATTGGCGGTATTCTTCCCGGCTCCATGCCTCCCCATTCAAAAGAACTCTACCAGGAAGGAGCCACGATAAGAAGCGAGAAACTGGTATCCGAAGGCAAATTCAATGAGCAGCGTATCACGGAGCTGCTCTACCACGAGCCGGCCCGATATCCCAATTGCAGTGGAACTCGCTGTCTTGCTGATAATCTGAACGATCTGAAGGCTCAGATTGCCGCCAATAAGAAAGGAATCAAATTGATTAGCACCTTGATCGAGGAATACGGTGAACATGTGGTGCTGTTCTATATGCGTCAAATTCAAGACAATGCCGAGCTTAGTGTACGTAATTTGCTGAAAGAGGTCAGCGAGAAGTTTGCGGGTCGTAACTTGGGCGCCGTGGACTATATGGATGACGGGACACCCATCCAACTGAAGATTTCCATTGATGCCGAGAAGGGTGAGGCAGTATTCGACTTTGATGGGACGGGTCCGGAGGTATACGGTAGGTTTCCAGATATAGATAGAGTGCTATTCAGGCCTTTGCTAACGGCGAAGTCTAGGCAACGTCAATGCTCCCGAGGCTGTCACGTACTCCGCGATCATATACTGTCTGCGGTGTCTCATCTCGGCAGACATCCCGCTAAACCAAGGCTGCCTGAAGCCAATCAATGTCATAATTCCACCCGGAAGTCTTCTTTCTCCTTCCGAATCCGCAGCGGTGGTTGGAGGCAATGTTTTGACAGTGAGATGAATCTTTCGGTCGTTTCCGTCACCTAGATTACTGACCTTGGCTCCCCAAATTGCCAGAGTCAACGCGTTACCGACGTGATTTTGAAATGCTTCCAGGCCTGCGCTGCCTCCCAGGGTGATACCAACAATTTGACATTCGGGTTTGGTGGTAACATGCAAGGTGAGGCCGAAAAGAAAGGCTTCGGATACTACGAGACGATCGCCGGTGGAAGCGGTGCAGGGCCGGACTGGGAAGGCACCTCGGGGGTGCACACACATATGACCAACACCCGTATCACCGATGCCGAGGTTTTTGAGAGACGTTACCCGGTCTTGCTCCGGGAGTTCAGCATTAGAGCCAACTCCGGCGGTGATGGACAGCACCGCGGTGGAGACGGTGTTGTCCGGGATATTGAGTTCCGCATCCCAGTGCAGGTTTCAATTCTCTCTGAACGTCGAATCTACCATCCCTATGGCTTGTATGGGGGCGAGGACGCTCAATGCGGTCAGAACATCTGGGTCCGCCGTGTGCAAAATGCTGATGGGGACTGGGTGGAAAGATATATCAGTCTAGGGGGGAAAAACTCTGCCCAGATGGAACCGGGCGAGAGGATCATCATTCGAACCCCTGGTGGCGGAGGATGGGGTAGAGTTGGAGGTCAATCACAGCTTTCACGCGAGCAAGATGCTTGTCATAGCTGGCGTGGTGGCTCTATTGCCGCCCACGCAGCGACTCAAGAAGCAAGCATGTAGACCGGCAGCTATCGTTCAGCTGGACCAGGGCGATCTTCTAAACGGGCCACCACCCTCACTTGATTCTTCTAGTTTTTATCAACCCATTTCCGGGTTGTTCCTGGCATTATCTTTGAGGCATCCTTTGGTACCCTTTGCAAGTGATCCTGTTGGGCTGCTCTTTCAATGTGCCCGGACAAACAGCCATGACCCGCCTAGCAAAGCCAACATATATTGTTATTATTATTATTATTCCCATATTTTGGCCTGCTTGTTTAATGGATTATGAATGATATATGTATCAATGTAACCAAGGCTAGTTGTAATCACGCTCAAGAACTGCATTGTGGCGTAGCCATTAGCCTGGCAGTTATAAGGCTATGAAATGCTAAACAGAAGCATCACGCTTCGCCAGTTGCCGAACATCAAATTCAAGCTTCACTTTCCTCGTCACTCGTGGCCTCAATATTCTGTTTATAAGGACTGGCAGTCCTTTCCGGCTCGTCGTTGCCGTCGCCCGGTTGATCTGCGCAACTGGAGTATATCGGCCGAGGCAAAGACTCGCCCTGTTGTTTCAGGGCCTGCTCAATGTCAGGGAGAAGCTTGATCAAAGCAGAGAACTGATCCATCGGCATCGATATTCCCTAGAGTAGACGTCAATAATCAGGATGCTATGGGAATTACAATCACCGAAACCTAGGTGAGCGAAACAGAATCCCGCTTACCTTTTTGCCGGGAAGTTCCTGGCCGTCCTTTTCATAATATTCCCGAACATTGACCATATTCTTGCCACGGAAAGACGAAATGGTCACCCGGCGCATTTTGGAGATTTCCCAGTAACGGTCTCCATTGGTATCCACCTTGCTCGTCGTCTCGCCGGTGTTGGCCTTGGATTTCTTCGAATGGATGCCAACATCTTCACCAAGTCCCTGAGATTCTGAAGAGCGCTTCCGGGATGTCATGGCGAATTGAGGAGAGTCTTGGCTGGTAGGGGAGATAGACAAGTGAGGAGAAGCGGTGCGCGTGCGGGGAGCAACGCGTAGTGTCACGTGGTGATTAGAGAGGTCTTATCTACTAAGTCAACGGTTTTCGCGTTTCATCGCAAACAACTCAAGCTTGTTGTTCATTTTCAAGTGATCACAATGTCAATACCCGTAAACCCTGAAGGAGCACCGAAAATATGAATCCTCGTGCAACCGTTTGCACCTGTAGACTGTCAAAGATCTTCTCAAGCGCCTCCCGACTGGCTGCTGCACCCATGACGCTTGTCAGTGCCTGGGGGATTCCTCTCTGAACGAACAGCCGACGTGCTTTATTACGCAACTGCGCCTTTTCCTGTTCAGTTGGCGAGGGAGGCCAGGCCTTAAATTCATCCTCTGTCGGCAGAGCATTCTCTCGCAGCTTCTTCAGATATTCTCCAAGTGCGTCATCCGACGTGTGGCTTTCAATCATGGAATTCTGCAGCAACTCACGGATCGTCTCGAGCGTAGGGCTTCCAGGACGAAGGATGTACGTTTTGGCGGCATTCAGTAAGGTCCGACGAATGTTCCACGCAGATGACAGAGTATAGAGTTCGTTGATTACGGCAAATATCAGCTCAACTGCGATTTGAGTCTCATCCGCGGTGATAGGTTGTCGTTGTCGGCGCAAGCCTTGTGAACCAGAGCACGGCTCCCCCGTCGACTCGGACTCGTTTGCTGACTTCGGTAACGCCAGAACCGAGTCTTCTTTGACCCCGACAGCCTCTCCGCGGCCGATCGACCCAAACGAATTCCGGTCTTCAGACGGCGCTGGTGTCGACACTGAGGTCCATGCATCCTGTTCACTAACCATTTGGCCCATATCATTGCCAGGATCATTCACAGAAAGTGCCTTGGGACTTTCTTCCGTCGTCACGCTCAGTGAGGAAACCGTTGGCGGTGAGGCCTGGGTCGAGCGCTCGTCTTCGCTAGTCCGAGACAAGATAGAGTGATCTTCCAGGCTAAGCTCTGCTGGAGAAGGATTGATGCGGTTAATATCACTTGCAGAGCTAGAGCTCCGAGGGAGTTCACGCTCTACCTGAGACGAGGTTTTCTGATGGTGGGATTGTCGGTCGCTATTTGTTGGCTTTCTGCTATGTCCAACGCCCCCAAAGACCCCGGTCACGCCGTCGAAGACCGCTCTGCCACCTCCGGCCACACCCTTAGGGGCATTGGTGAGTGCTCCCAGCACCCCTTTGCCCATGTTCTCGAATGCGCTCTGGCTCGGGAAAGAAAAACCCGGCTTGACAGAGGGGACTTCACTGGTTCCCACTTCCTTTTCTAAGAACCGTCGCATTCGGTCTGTTTCCGCAAGGAGTTCGTGCTTCATGGCATGCTGTAAATATCGCTCCAGATCTCGCGCAAGCGCCTCTCGGGTCTGGCCTTTCCAGGCGGGCAGAATTGGAAACCGCTCGGAGAAGCTGGTTATTTGATTCAAACGTGAAACCGTCTCTAGCATTTCATGGAGAGATTGAAATTCCGAATATTTTCGGAATAGCATCCATCCGGTAGAGCGAGTAGACGTGGGTTCGACCTGCAAGAGATAATCCCACGTAGGCCGTGATTTGATGGTTCCCTTCTCACTCTGGGCACCATCGTCATCCACCATGACTAAGGCACCGTGAAGGGCCAAAGTGGGCGCCGGAGCGTCTTCCCGAGGATGTGACATAGGATTCGATGATGGCATTTTCGAGTTGGTGAATGGTAGTTGATTCTCCATCATGCCCGCCCGGGCAGAAACTTCCGACTTTTGATCGGCATTCCCAGGCTGCATCGATGACCTCTTAGTCTCATCTGTTGATTGACGCGCCTCTATAGATTGAGCAGTTTCGGCGAATTGTTTATAAGCTCCCTGTACGTCTTGAGATGCAATCATGGCACTCAACCGCTTCGCCTCTAGCATGGCTTCTTCCGTTGCCTTATCCGTATGGTTGGATTGCTGTACGGTATTCTGAGATGCAAGTTCGTCATTTTTCGGTTCTGATGGCCCACCCTTGGTCTCTTCTGAGACCTTCGGGGTACCAACGCCCTGGTTCCGTGCCCCCTCGACGCCAGCATCGATTGCATGCATGATTTCAGATTCGCCATCCTCCAGAAGATAGATGATCCACTCATTGATGAATTCAGGGCGGGAAAGGCTCATCACAGTCGACTCCAAAATGACACCTGAGAAGATCTCGCGGAGGAAATCCCTCACGGGGGAACAGCCATACGATTTTGCATCGAGAAAGTTGGACAGAATATCATCCGCAATCATATTGAGCTTTTTTCGTTGCTGTTCTTCCGATAACACGTTCGCGAGGCTGCTGTCCGGGGCATTTTCGAGGTATTGATCAACAATTTCCTGGGCCTCGCCGGAGGAAGACCCGGCAGCAAATGCAGCGGCGAGTTCGTTTAAAAATACGATTATAATGGATGATGAATTGGTGAGGAACTGCAAGAAGGTATCCTCCGTCCGTTTCCGCGAAAGATGAGATGAGACAGCGGTCACAAAATAGGTCAGAGTCCTCCGACAGGAATCCGGAAATACTGATTCTTTGGGAAGGATTGGCTCATACCAATACCTTGGAAAGTCTCGTTAGCTGGGCCCGGACATGTAGGGAAAGGGACGAGTGTGTATTTACTTTACGTAGTCCTTAATGACAGCGTCGGTGAGCAACCTCAACGCTGCAGCAGTCGCTGGCCGGAAGGTCTTAAAATCGAGGTCTGTGGCAGACAAGTCTTCCGCTGTGGTGGCGGCATTGCCATTGTCCTTGTCCTGGGTGTCAAGCTTGGTGGAAATGACGCGGTTGGGCCAATCCAATAGCCTCTTGGAAACCTCCAGGGCCAATTCTCTTCTTTTTCTGGGCAACTGTAACCCTTCCTCCCCATGGCTGTGAGTCCCTTCCCACGATGCATGTAATATGACTCCGAGGGCAACACCGATCAACAGAAGGCCGACTCGTCCTAGGACGATGTATGTAACGACTGTCAGGAGGGCGCACACGGCCGCTAGCTTCTCGTTACTCGAGGTCGAGAGAAAATTGAGGGCAAAGTCTATCGCTTCCTGCAGCAGTCTCGTCGAAACACGTTGTTCGGTCACCGAGTCGTTTCGCATTTGATCGGAAGGAGTCGCCAAGTCCAAAGGCGCGGTCTTGGACTCAGTGGAGGTGACCACATCATCGCTGGATGAATCCATTATAAGAGCTCATCAGGGAAGATCAAGGTGGTAGTTTTCAGATCCATAACTTGATTCAAAGAGAAGGGGAGGCGCCGGAGCTCGTCGAATGCAGGTGGTCAGTGCGGGAACCTTTCCGCATGGAGCTCTTCACATGATTTTTGCTGAGTATGTGAACCAACTTACTCTACTTTTATCTTCTCTATGTGGTTCTGGATGATCAAAGATTCCAATGCGAAATCACATTGACGAGAAAAACTGTATATATGTACCCATTCATAATTGCCCCGCTGCCATAGGGCGGCCAGGCATCTAAAGCTAAACAGAATGGAGTTGCTCTCCGCTATCCGAGTGAATCTGGTCATTCAAAGAGGAATGTGAGTCATGCCAGATGTAAAGAAGATTGCGGGATCGTGTTCTATATCTACTTGCACGGAATCAATGCTGCAGGGGCCTCGCGAACATCACATCGAGGACCTTACTCATCGTGTCCGCACGTATTTGGTGTGAGATCCCTGGGCGACAATGGTCAACCCAGAGTCGGTATTTTTAGAGATCGTCACCGTGGTAAATGCGAGTGACTTGCCGACCTTGTTGGCCCGACCTTCGATCTCAATCCAGTCGCCATCCTTGGCACCAGACAGGAAGTTGACATGAATGTCCGTGCTCACTCCCGTAGAGTCCAGTCCGTGGGAGGCAATGGCCATTCCTCCGGCCCAATCCGTCACGGAAGCAGAAAAAGCACCATGTAGACTGCCCTTGGAGTTAAGTTGGCGAGGGCCGACTTGTAGTCGAGCCCGGACAACGCCCTTTTCGGCATCATAGATCTCTACCTCACTCAGTAGAAACTCATAGATGGGGCTGTTGGGCCGAGTGCGTTCCCACACTTTCAAGACCTGTTGGAGCTCAGCGTTCATTTTAAAGGGGGGGAAAGGTCGGAGAGTCGAAGTGGAGCGAGGAAGGAGAAGAAGAAATTTGCGGCAAGCGAAAAGTGGTCGTTTTCATAGCCGAGAGCTAGTCCGCAAAAGGCAAAGACCGCCGCTGACTACAGCCAGGCCATTTGAAGCCTCAGGCCCCAACTGTCCGTATGTTAAGATTGGAAGAGGTGTCAGACGATACAGAAAAGGTGGATGTCTAGAAAATCCTTAATACATTTGCTTAAAGCAAGAGCCAAGCCACTATTTGGTCGCCTATTCAGACTCTATCGACATCCAGAGACTTAGTCTTCTACCTTTCTCTTGGGGCTCATACTCTCCAGTAATCAATACTGTCTATTCAGGGCTTCTATGCTTTCGATTACTCCGATGCCTTGACTTCCTCGAAAGCATCTGAGACAGCATAAAGTGGTTGACGTCTTCGTCCCCCCAGTACGTAAGGTGACTGGCGATACTGGCTATCAACGAGATGTCGAAAGCTCCTCTGCGAGATCGACTGCATCAGTAATATACATATACCGAGAGATGTATGATTGACTTACTCCTGTATGTTGTAGTCAACACGACCATTGGAGTTTAGGGAACGCACCTTGGCGTCTTCAAACTTCATTTTCCGCTCCTGGTCTTCGGCGTCCATGTCGGGCTCAGCCTCCGAGGAGCGAGCATGATCTTTCCTGTGGACGTTCCTGTTCCTTTGGAACCCATCGTAAAGTGTCTCGATATCGGGGTCAATCAGAATTGGGAAATGATCTTCAGAGTCCCGTGGTGCATCTTGAAGCGAGCCGGACTGAGTGCGTTTATGCCCATTGGATGCATCCGTTGGTTTCCTCTCAGGGACTGATGGGACTTCTTCGGCATTCAAGCCCAGGCTACGGTTCAGCAAGCTGCTCGCCACGCCGGATGTAAAATTACTCCACAGCGAACCCACACTCTGGCCCATGCGAGTTCCGAGGATGGAGAGGCTTTGTCCTGAAGCCGCCCACAGGCTTCTTTTGACTGAAGGCAAGGGTTGGGGCTTCAAGCTTGCCATTGCAGGGGAAATGAGAGGCTCCAGTCGATAACTTACCGGGTCCGAGGGATGAAAAATATTGTAAATGTCGCGGCATTTTGGGGCTGAGATGATGGCTGAGTTGTCACCTATGTCACCCCTGGTGCTGCCACGTGAGTCTCTTTTGGAAGCTTTTAGGGAACCCAGTATTGTAGGGTCAATATCGACTTCCAGAGCACTGTTGCGGTTTCTCGCACGGAGAGGAGAATAACCAGCGATAGTCTTCCCTTTCAGCATCTGAAAGAGAGCAATGGGGGACCCCAGGCAAAAGAATTCTTCGCACTCAAAGCTCAATGCACTTCGACCGAGATTTCGCTGGTCCGAAAGATCATCGCTTTCCTGAGCCGCCGGCTTGCTTCCCCCTTTGCGATATCGGGTTCAGCAGGCTGGTGACATAGAATATCAAACAAAATTGCGCTGCCGAGGGAATGGCCGCAGAGGCTAACAGTCCCCTGGAAAGACGGATTGCGCGCTTTGTAGAGTTGAAGAATTCGGTTGCACTCTTGTTTCACGATATTGGAAATATGTTCACAATACCCGCTCTGGTATAGAAGAACGTCCATCGCCAGGTCAGAAATGAGATTCCGAACGGCAGGGACACTTTCCAGTGTGATATCCGCCAGACTAGGATAGGCATCATCCTCAAGGGCATCAGCATCAGTCAAATCAAGCTCCTTTCGATTTTGCCGAACCCCTCGATAAGGAAAATCTAGGAGGTGCCGCCAGCATCTATACGGGAGCGTCAGTTCTTTCCCTTGGACAGCCGGTTGGCGAATGTTCTACTTACACCGGGAGTACTTGAACCCGACAGTTGCCATTGCTGTCCGCAAAAGCAGAATTGAGGGCTTGGAGATCTGGAGAGGCCTTGTACACTCCCTTGAGTGTCTTCCGTAGCACGTTCACGTCGTGGATAAAGTTGATACTTTCCAATCTCAATCCAAGGCGTTGACCGATGCCATGAGTCACCAGGATCAAATGATCAACCTCTCGCTCTCGATCGTCATTGTCGACTTCTCTCAAATCCTCCATCTCCTGCTCTTCCTGTCTACGGGCTTGCTCCTCCAACTCGGCCGGGTTTTGAAGTTCTCCTGCAAGCGACGACATTTGCCGCTCTAATGTCGACTTTGGCCGCCTTTCTGCACTTTGTAACTCAGTCGTGATCTCAGATGCAGGTAAATCCACCGGAAGTGGCTCGTTCGGCCTCTTGGTCTCTGCGGGGGATGTCTCAGAGTCGGTAACGCTTGATATCTTCTCGGCAGGCTTTCGTTCTGACCCCTTCGAGTCAGAGGACTCCTTTGCACGACTAGGTTCAACTAGCCCGCGAACTACTTTGTTGCCGGGGACGCCGCCTAGTTTCTGATATACAGCGGTACTGACCCGCGACATAAAGTCATCAGTAGTGAGCCAAGCTGTGGAATTATCTTGGTAGGCGACAATTCTATTCATGTATGTCCCAAACAGTCGGTACTGCTGGTGGTCCATTGGAGGTGCAGTCGATCCATTCCCACTCTGGGGCTGAGCATGAGACCTGGGTGAGTCTGGATCTTGTAATCCCTGGAGGTTGGGTTGAGTATCTTGTTCGTCCAATGTGGACAATTGGGAACTCCTAGAATCAGATGTACCCGTCCTCCATGGTCGTAGTTTCAGATATCCTTCCTCGAGCTGAGTCGCCAGGTTCTCTTCGCATGGCCTCAAGCCAGACCCGTCCTGGAAAAACCAGGTTCCCCGACGAACTTCATAAACGGGGCCTATCCAATAAGCCGGGCCGAGCTCTCGCTGTTCGACATCCACATCGAAAAGATAGTCCTCGTTCACGGGAACCTTGGTTGGCACTTGTTGTGCCGACTCCTGCCTTGGGCTATGACCCTGGGCGTCGTCGACGTCCGATAATCTCTGGAAGGCTGCTTCGATTGCCTGCGAATCCTTTAACGAGAACGGAATAAACTTCTTGGGTGGTGGCGGTGGTTTCTGATCCGGCTTGTTTTGATCGCTCAAGACAGGCTTTCGTTTCGGGGAATCGACAGCGTAGAACCATCTCACTTTCAGTGGAGGGCAGTCGGAAGGGTAATTTCGTTGGCTCAGCCTATTCCTATGTGTCACTGTGTGATCCTCTCCTTGCGAACGGTGCAGGACATCTGGTCCTAGTGAACGGTCGGGCTGAGGGGTCGAACTTCTCGGGGTACTCCACGGGGAAAATGTCCCTAGAAACGATTTCTGGTCGGCTGCGGCCATGGACGTGGAACGCGCCCTTAAAACGGTGGAGCGAACCAATGTGAAGTGAGTCAGAGTGATCCTAGAGAAATTTTCCAAAACGTGGTAAGTGATGGATTAGAATAAGCAAAGTGTACTCCAAGTGTCCAAGTGTCATTGTTTTAGTCCCGCATGATGTAATCCCGCTTCCACTCTGGAGCTTCGACTTGCGGTGAATTCTAATACAGAACGAAGCGTCTAGTCCATTTAAATCATGTATATTCATGCTTATGTTACGGCTGCATATTTCTCACAGCCTTGTTAAGCATCCTAACATAGATGCATGTTTCTGAACTCCCGAGGTTACATTTGCTAGATTTTTCTCGCCAATAGCAGGCCAAATATATCCACTGTACATGCCTAGCCTGGACAAAAACTCATTACGGCCAATGCGAGATTTAAACACCTGAATGTATTCCAATTTTCTAGCCCTAGCTGACGATTCAGAGCAACGGGAACGAGCACGGCAATGCAAGAATGGTTGCGTGTCCTCCCAGGTCCAGAGCTGCCAGGTGAAGGAAGAGCGTTAAACCCTGGTACATGTTCGACTTCGTAATGGAACACGAAGGCGGGAACGGGAAAACAATATTGATGGGCGAAACCGACCATGGACTAATGAATGAGCGAGACGCGATAAAAGAACAAAGATGTAGCCTGCTGCCGGATTCGTATAAGGCCGCAGAGAGAAGAAGAAAATGAAGTTAATGTAGCGACGTCATCCAAAGACAGGTGCGTTCAAGCGGCTCGTAACGGAAATGCCTGAGGGATACCAGCTGTGTACTTTGTGGAAACCAGCAGTTACACTCTGGGAGAAGTACCCGAGATGTACCGGTGCGGTAAAAAACAGCCCCTTTACGGGGCGCGCAGTACACAGTGGCTCGTTGAGCCCCCCACCTCTTGTGTATACCCGGTTGCCTCTCCATCTTTGCACTGCCCAGCACGCTTGCGTCCAATTCTTCCTTTGCTCGATATCTTCATTTATATCCCGGGGAAACTCCCTACACCCTCCTCCCTTATCCTCCTCTCCCCTCTCAAAGTCTCGGAGTTATTCTGCGCTCCCCCGCCCCCTCCATCCCGAGATGAACGCCCTAAAGCTGCAGAAGTGAGTGGCCTCCGGACCAACCCCCCTCCCCCCTATCCGCCTATCCTTCAATGGCACAAATTGACCACGACTCTTCATCTTCGGTAGACGCTTTCCGCAGCTGGATCAGGGCGAGATTTTTGCTCTCCAGGATGCATTCCTGAAACTTGATGTGGACGATCGTGGCTACCTTGACGAAGCCTCCGTGATCAAAGCAACTCAGCAGTCAGAGCGACAGCCGTATGATGTCGTACGGCAGACTCTGAAGGGCGTGGAACTCGATAGCTCCCGGCGCGTCGAGCTCGAGGACTATATCGATGTAGGTGGTCATTTCGCAACACAATGCCCCCACCTCCACCCGATTCAAAGCTAATGCGTGGCAGCTGGTGTCGCGACTCCGGTCAGGACCTGCTCCTGGTGCCCATGGGGGCTCCAGCCCCGCGGCTGTGATCCAAGGAGCTCAGGCTGGAGCCGGTGCCGGCGCTGGCGGATCCCGGCATGTATCCAAGGGTAGTGTTGGAGGCAAGATTCACGTCCAAGGATCTTCCGCAAATGTCACCCACACGATTAACGAGGATGAGCGAACCGAATTTACGAGACATATCAATGCCATTTTGGCCGGCGATCCGGACATTGGAAACCTCTTGCCCTTCCCCACCGACACGTTCGAGATGTTCGACAAATGCAAGGACGGTCTGGTCCTTGCCAAGCTGATCAATGACAGTGTGCCGGATACTATCGATGAACGTGTTCTCAACAAGGCCGGAAAGAAGATCAAACAACTGAATGCTTTCCACATGACGGAAAATAACAACATCGTTATCAACTCGGCCAAGGGCATTGGCTGCTCCGTCGTTAACATTGGAAGTGGCGACATCATCGAGGTTCGCGAGCACCTCATTCTTGGCCTGATCTGGCAGATCATTCGCCGTGGTCTTCTGGGCAAGATTGATATCAAGCTGCACCCCGAGCTTTACCGACTCTTGGAGGAAGACGAGACTCTGGAGCAGTTCCTGCGCTTGCCCCCGGAGCAGATCCTGCTGCGTTGGTTCAACTACCACCTCAAGAACGCGAAATGGGATAGACGGTAAATCAACCCCCTCGCTCCACTGAACTTCTTGGGCCTTGCATCAGAAAATCCATGGCTAACATTTCTCTTTCAGGGTGACCAACTTCTCCACAGATGTGAAGGATGGTGAAAATTACACAGTCCTCATGAACCAGCTGGCACCTGATGTCTGCTCCCGTGGACCTCTCCAGACCACAGACTTGCTCCAGCGCGCAGAGGAGGTCCTCACCAATGCGGAGAAGCTGGACTGCCGAAAGTTCTTGACCCCTACCTCACTGGTCGCTGGAAACCCAAAGCTCAACCTTGCGTTTGTTGCCAATTTGTTCAATACTCATCCTGGACTTGATCCTATCACTGAAGAGGAGAAGCTCGAGGTTGAGGACTTTGACGCCGAAGGTGAGCGCGAGGCAAGAGTTTTCACCCTCTGGCTCAACTCGCTGGATGTGCAGCCCGCGGTCAACTCGCTGTTTGACGACCTGCGTGATGGAAGTATTTTGCTACAGGCCTACGATAAGGTTATACCGGGCAGCGTCAACTGGAGACACGTTAACAAGCGTCCGGCTTCGGGTGCCGAGCTGATGCGATTCAAGGCGGTAGAAAACACAAATTATTCCATCGAACTTGGAAAGCACCACGGGTTTTCTCTGGTGGGTGTGCAGGGTGCCGATATCACAGACGGCCAGCGGACCCTGACACTCGGCCTGGTATGGCAATTGATGCGCCGGGATATCACCAGAACCTTGTCTGCTCTTGCACAGCGACTGGGCAAGCGCGAGATCACGGATGCTGAGATGATTCGATGGGCAAATGACATGTCCAAGAGCGGCGGTCAGTCCTCTACGATCCGCAGCTTCAAGGACTCATCCATTGGAACTGGACTATTCCTCCTGGATGTGCTCAACGGCATGAAGAGCAGCTACGTAGACTACGACCTGGTCACCCCTGGCCGCTCGGATGAGGAGGCATATGCCAACGCTAAGCTGAGCATCAGTATTGCCAGAAAGATGGGTGCCACCATCTGGCTGGTGCCCGAGGATATCTGCCAAGTGCGCTCTCGCTTGGTCACCACCTTCATCGGTATGTTTACCTTGTATTCTTTCATATGTTCCTTTACTCACCGTGCTTGCAGGTTCGCTCATGGCCACGCATGAGAAGATGTAACGATGACCCATGTCTTCGACTGCGCTTTTACTTATCTACAGTTCCAACGGTATTTTACTGAGCATGCAGCGATAGTTCCTGTCCAATGTGCCATTGCTGCAGCTTTTTACGAGTATTTTAGTTTGTGTCTCCTGTCTTTTCGATGCATGTACAGTCTGCTTTGGAACATGGCAAACGAAGGGAGTGAATCGAGCCCAAAATGCAAGATCTCAAAGTTATTTCCAATAAGAAGAACTGCCGTAGAGACCGATGTAGCCTAAAGATACTGGTTGAACCACGCCACAGCCTGGGTGAAGGCCGACTCCTTAGCGAATCGAATGATCGGCTTGGAGATGTCACCTCGGACGGCAAACCCATGTTGCACGCCACTGAACAGGTTAATCTGATACGGCTGACCTGTCTTGGCCAGGATATCCTCGGATTCGTGGCGTTTCGGGGCAGGGAAGATGGAGTCGGTCTCTGTGTTTCGGATGTCTTTGTTAGTGACCAGATAGAAACGTTTGAAGAACAAGGCAAAAAACTGACCGGCTGCAGCAATAGACAGAGGGCCCTTGATTGCTGCCAGCTCATCGATCTCAACGAAGCTAGGATGGGCCAGATAGGCGACATCACAGCCACCGGGCTGGAGCATACGGATAGCATACTTGGCCTATAAATCACAGAATTAATATTTCACCCTACTGTCAAAAATGTGCTAACATAGACGACGGATCTTACTCCAAAGCAGTATCCAATTGCACCGATACGCTCACAGCCTAGGCTGGACTTCATTTCCTCAAACACCATCTGCACCACTGGCTCCACACGGTCAGGCAGATGTCCGGGTGGACCCTTTAGCCAGGCCATCAAATCGAACCCATCTGGTCGATTGAGGGGGACCGGATCACCGTGGAATAGGTCCGGCATGACAACGAAGTAGCCATTTGCTGCCAGTTGATCCGCAATCAACTGGGCGTTGATAAATCGGTGTCCGATCACATCAGTGAGCAGAAGAATGGCTCGTTTAGTAGAGTGATCAGCCGGGTGCGAGATGTATGCCTCAACTGTGATGGTTAGTCGTCATGCCTCGGGGTCAGAGAGGGGACGATGTCATACCATCGCCGACCTGTTGGAACTGGCCTTTAGCCTCGCCTTCATGCTTAACACCAACAGAACAGCAAGCTGCAGGGGGATTGGATGCCATAATTTTTATTCGACTTCAGAAAAGAGGTATAGAGGGGAGTGGGGTAGTCAGGGATGAACAATGAGATCAATGTGGGGTCACCCTTCTCGGCAAAATGTGACTGACTGTCCTGAGCTCCTGCCTTCCCAAAATCTGCACTTTCCTGAGCTCCCCTCCATGCTCCTCTATCCATAATCTAGTCTGTTTGAAGATTCCTATATATGTCACAACCTTTAATAGTTTAGTTAACAATAGCTAGAGCTACTGAGGATAGCTATAGCTAAAAGAACCGACTTCTCCTAGGCCGTGGAATGCGACTGCCTATTGGGCTCCTAATCTACAGAGAGCTAAGAGGCCAAGAGTGAGTATCTAGTATCTTCAAGTCTATGTCATATAATCAGATACAAACTACAAAGCAGACTCGGCCCCGTAAAAATGCCCAGCCAGAAGAAGATGTTCCCTATCAGTCGACGGCCACGCATAAGGCGCGTCCGGCTTAACGAGACAAGCGGCAGCTGCGACATTTGGAGGAAGAGCAGATAGCCTCGCAGGCGCCGGAAAATACAAAGCATGATCAGCTCATGAATGCACGCCGATAAGAAGAATGTCACTAGGCTGGCAGAGACCCGGGACAATTTGAAAGAGCTGATAGAGCTATGATATACGTGTCGCAGCAGGAAGTTGTGAACTGGACGGTTCCAGTCGCGAGCAAATTGGTCCCAAGAGACTGAATTCCACCAGTCTGCATAGAAGCCACGGTCTGCAAATTGGGTAATCTCGGCCAGAGCATTGAGCTGAGGTTCAATGGTTAGTGACGTCTGTCATTGACATTCAGGAAGTCGGGAGCTCTCACCACACACTCCCAGATCACATAGAAAGCTAGCAAGTACTCCATCATGAAGGGAAATAGTAAGTCACTGAGTACCCAAGGAAATTCCTGGAGCCTCTGCTGTACAGTGAGCCCCTCCTCCTTCATTCGCAGGGTCGACATTACGACCGGATATATCCAATTTTGCGAAACGACAATCATGACCACGATGGTGCCGAAGGTGGCAGCCGTCTTCTCGGCAACATAGGACCAATTGACTCTCTCTGTCCGCGGATATTCAAGTTCATAGACGAGTATGGGCAAGGTAATGAAGTCGCAGAAATTGCCCAGAGTCAAGTTGCGGGGGTAATGGTTGGAGGATGAGAACTGACCCCGGAGGCCTTCAGACAAGAGTTCAATTTCCCGTTCCAGGAGCGCTTTGAGTGATTTCATCTGAGAGGGCTCTAGAGGTGTCCCATTTTCGATGGTTTCAGCAAGCGACAGGATATGGTCAGTGTCGCGAGTTCCATGAAGGTCTTCCATGTCCGCTGAGCGCTGTGCATCATCCTGCCGCTTCAGATGAGTGAGCTCAGAACCGAGGTCGGTGTGCACTGCGGAGGTATGCCCGGTAGATGCTGAACGGTGATCGATTTGTTTCTCTAGCTGCTTAAGTCTTGTCATCAACAGGTCACGCTTGCTGTACAATTCAGATACTGGTAGGGCTTCATTTAGCGATGTGATGATAATCGGAAAGGATAGTTACTGACAGTAGCCATTGTAGGATGAATAACTATGCTGTTTCATCAGCATCGTCAAGCAATGCAGGACTATGAACACGGTATGTGTCCAAGGCCAATCACGATGATATGTCCACCAGATAAAGCCCGCAAGGTATGCAGTCTGCCAGATCTATCGTGTGTTAGCAAAGCCAAAAGAAAGCCGAGGAGACGGGTTGGGGTCTATACATTCTGGACCACCCATCCAAGGCCACTCCAACGCAAATATCCGCGCCAGATAACTCGCTGAAGTCCAAGACAAACCACTGTCGACAAGCAAAGGACTAAATCGGTCAACCCCAGAACCAGCACATCCTTACGAAACATCAGTCGGATGATCTCGTTCTTGCCCCAGATGGTCCCATAGATTCTCCAGTTATTGGCCGCAACCTTGACTAGCAGCAAGGCCACTCCCAGCCAGAAAAGAGTGAAAAAGCCGTGGAACTGAGAGGACGTGAACTTGGGGTTCTGGCGATCTAAGGTACTTAGTTGTCGGGTGAACTCCAGGTCTCGAAAGCGAAAGCGACGCTTCTCCGTCATTCCCGACCTCTCCAAGTACGCATTGCGCCGGAAAACCTCTTTCAGCAGCTTGGCATCTTCTGTGGTGAGCAGGTATTGTCCAACTCGGTCGGTTTCCTGAAGCTTGATCGGTACACTTCTTTCGGCTGCCTCGGTCTCGGAGCTGGACGGGGTGGCAGCAAGGTGCCCTTGCAGTAAATCGACCTGCTTGTCCTGATCCATGGCCCACATACGATCATAGAGGATCGAGAGGCCCAGTACAAGTCCAAATCAGTGCCAAGTCTAGGTCTAGGACTCTTTATAACTCAAAGAGCCCGGGTGACTCGGATCGTCAAGTGGCGAGGAGGTAAACATATGACGTTAGGAGTTCCGGATTGGGCAACATGTGATGGAGTAAGAATTAGAAATTAGAAATTGTGTATGTTTCAGCCTTATACCGGTAAGCCAGTATACCAAGACACTATGTGCGCACTCCTCGCCCGAAGCTACGATCAGCTACAATTAGAAGCTACACTTGCATCTTTCCCCCTCAATCTCAACCTCAATCTTAATCTCAACCTCAATCTTAATCTCAACCTCAATCTTAATCTCAACCTCCACCCCCTTTCCCCAATTCTCTTCCCACACCGATCTAACATGGACCAACCGCAAGGCCAAGTCCTGGGTGCCGAGAAACCAAAGGCAAATACAGAAGTCAACAATCCTTCCATCGAAATCGAGTTGAGCGGTATGCAGGACGCGGTGATCGACACGAATTCTGGCCCGGCATCAGCAGAGCAAAGTGAAACACGGGAAGATGCCATTCTCCCCGATGCGCAATGTGAGATAGAACCTCCAACCCCCGCAAACAAGAATGCTGGTTCCAATTTTATGCTCTACAGTAAGTGCTCCCGACCGGCTTTCCTCATCACCCCTTGGCTAGGATGCCAGAGCTATCGTATTGCTACGGACCGGTTGCTTTGATGAACCGCTAATTCATATTCCCAAGCTTTCTTACTTCGCCAATTGTCGAGATAGTCGCTGGAGAGACTGTTCTGAAGGTGCATCGAAATTTCATCCTGGATTCGCCCTTGAGGCATTCGTGAATGAGTTTGATGCATCGGGCCCAGTGAGCAATTCATTCTCAGAGAAACGTTTCTGGGATACTAAATTTGTGATCTGTGGCGCATTCACCTCCCGGACGAGAACGCCGAAGCTCTTGGATGCTTTTTGCAGTTCCAGTACACCCGCGATTACACCGTACCGCAAGCCGAGACTCCGTCGGAAGGAACAGATTCAAGTGGTCGACAGCTCCGACAATACGCGCGAATTTACACACTGGCGGAGAAACTGGGGTTGCCTGCGCTGAAATGCTTGGCGCATACCAAAATTCACGGACTCAAGGGCACTCCGAGCGACGAGCTGGTCTACGCCCGCTATATCTACACCTACACTCCTAAGAACGACACCACGATACGCGGACCCATCGCGTCGTTCTGGGCCTCCTGCGGCCATGTTTTGCGGTATGAAGTTGAGGAAGGATGGAAGAAACTCTGTTTCGAGATGCCCGAGTTTACATACGACGTAGTGACTGTCGTTCTGGACCATCCGAGGACGGAGAAGGAGAAAGAGAAGACCGGTCAGTTGGAGGCAGAATCGAGTGGCAGAGGTAGTGCTAGGAAACATCCCCGAAGTGGCGTCTAATCTAGATCCAGGGATCCAGGGAAACGAAACGTCTTGTACAGTCTGCACAATGCGAACCAGGCTGTTTATGTCGGTCATTTCAAAATTCGAGATCCATTCATTCTGTCTACACAAGTAAATAGACCTACTAATCTTATTGAGCGAGGCTCTCCACCTCCTCGATGGTCTTCGGGGCCGAAGTCAAGTTCTCACTACCGTCCTTGGTGATGTAAATGTTATCCTCGATACGCACGCCTCCCACGCTCCAGTACCGCTCCAGGACATCGGCATCGATGTACTTTCCAAGTTCTGAAGATTTCAAGACCGGATCGATAATGAAGCGGCAGAAGTAAATCTAACACATTGTCAGTTACGTTTCTGGTCTGGGGCTGAGAGAATGTATCTTACGCCGGGTTCAACCGTAATCACGGCGCCCGCAGGCAGGTTGCGCCGAACACGCAGATACCGGAACATCTTGTCGTTGTCATCGTAGTTGGGATAGCCACCGGTATCATGGGTATCCATGCCCAGGTAGTGGCCCAGGCCGTGCGGGAAAAAGGCCACACTGACGCGCTTCTCAAACAGTTCATCTTCGGTGCCACGCAGAATACCGAGCTTCAACAGGCCCTTGATGGCAATGCGGTGCGCCAAAGCGTGCACATCGTCCCATCGGACGTTCTCCTTCAGCACTGCAATGCACTCTCTCTGCATCTCGAGAACAATCTCATAGATCTGACGGGTCTCCGTGGGGAACTTTCCAGCAAGAGGAATGACACGCGTGATATCCGCGCAATATGTCTGGTATTCACAGCCAGCATCAATCAACAGGTTACCCTTCCGCTTCTGAGTTGCTGCGTCCGTAAGGCTCTCGTCGTTCCGGACGTAGTGGAGAGTAGCTCCATTTTCACCCCCGGCAAAGATGGGGTGATAAGACTGCTCGCGACAGTTATTGGCGACGCAGGTGCTTAGGAAAGCTGCCTCCATCTCCCTCTCATTAGTGGCTGTCTTGGAAGCCCTGATGGCGGCAATATGTGCCTTGGCAGAAATATCATTTGCCTTCCTCAACAGCGCCACTTCGTAGGCATCCTTGACCACGCGAGCATCCCCAATCACGTCTTTCAAGACGGATAGCTTAGCTTCGGCGAAGCCCTTAAACTCGATGCCTTCGGAAATTTGTTCCTCGATGGCAAAGGCCACGGTCTTTCCACCTTGAGCCGAGGCAATCGAGGTGAGAGTGGCATTGACGTCGGTGGTGTACAGAACACGGTCAACGTCGTACAGCTTCGCAGCTTCCTCCACCGACAAAGGCAGGCCGGACCAAATGACGGAATCAGGGTCGATAGGCGGAACGAACAAGGTCAACTGGTCGGCTTTGATATCATAGGCCATGGACGCATCGGCCAGAAGACATCCGGTGAGGTAGAAGAAAGGGCGACGTTGTCTACACCTTCAGTCAACATGCGCGGCTCAATTGGGCCACCAACGTACCTGAAGGGCATCGCCTCATCGTTATCCTCGATCAGACGAGTCTTTTGTGCCTCGAGGTAAATAGCGCCGGCATCGCCGTGGGCCTTCAGAGCCTCAGCGACACGGCGCGCGTGGGCCTTGGCCGGATACTTGGCAGCGAGAATGGAATCGACCGAAGTCATGATGGGCAGATGAGGATAGAAAAGAAAAGAGCCGCGGAGGAAGCTGCGGAGTAGGTAGCGGGGCAAAATTAGTAAATTTACTGTTGCATTGCTGCGGGGCTCTCAGGAGCCGAACGTTGGAACGCGGCTAATGCCGCTTATTCATTTTCGTTATACATCAAAATATACATTATTTCAACGGACCGGACTACCCTGGGTCTCCGATGCAGAGACTTCTTCGAACTCCATCTTCCACTTATCGACCTCGGCAAACTTCTTGGCTGCGGCACGTAGCTCGTCACTCACATACCGTCGCGTTGGCTGGGTCTCTCCTTCAGAATCCGGCGCGTCTGAGTCAGGGGGTGATGATAAGGGCGACGAGGAGGGTGACGATAATAGCAATTGATTTTCCTTGTCGACTCCTCCGCCTTGGCGCGCACGCGAATATGTGACCGGCGTCTGCGACCCTGACGATTTGGGGACTGGGGCCGACTTGAGCTTGCTCTTCTTTTGTTTCTGATTGTTGAGCTTGGATTTTTCTCGCGTGTTGCCAAGAGGCTTGCGCTTTTCAGACTGTCCTCGCCGTGAACGTCTTGCAGGTAGGTAGCTTAGCTCATCTTCATCGCCAGATGCAGCATCATGCATCTCTTCATCACTTTCAATGGGATCTTCGGATCCGCCAACTGGATGGCGTTTGCGTTGACGCTGCCGACGTCGCGGTAGAAGTCTGCTTTGTAGTGCTGCTGTTGAGAGATGAGTCGGATTTTTGGACTTATTGGGTTCGGAGTTGATTTGGGCAACGACAACTGGTGACTGAGGGGCGACAGAGCCCATAGGGCTGCTGTCAGGGGGTGCCATGGTCTGACTGAATACCTCTGGGAATTGCAATGGCTGGGGTGTCGCTTCTGAGATATGCGACAATTGGTCATGGGCAACTGGCGTCGCATTTGGAGTATCCTCGACCATCTCTTGGGCGGTAGGTGACCCAGACACTTGGATGTCCACGCCGCGCTTACGCTTGCGCGATCCGGCCGAGGACGGAGGCGAATCTGACGGTGAGTCTTCAGCTGGTCTGCCGAGTAAGGATTTGCCTCTGGAAATATTCAGCGGCGTAGACTCATCCTGAGGGCTGAGGCTGCCTAGGAAGTCGTCATCATCGAGGTCAGAAGAGCCATCCTCCGCCTGCATCATCTGGAGAATACTCTGCTGTCGCGGGCGGCGTCGGAAGTTGCTCAATACCGAACTCTCGTAACCTGGCGTACCGGGCACGCGCGAGCTTATATCACCGTTGCGCCCAGCAAGAGAAAGCGTAGATGAGTATCCGCGAGATCTGGTGGGAGGCCGACTACCGGTGCCAGGGCGACTGCCTGTACCCGGTTGGTCACCAGGCGACGACTCAATCGCTTGCTCATAATTCTTGGACAAGGGTGTCTGGCTGCGTAGGGCTCGAGGGTCGGTAGAGCCGCGTTCGGGAGATTTTGACGCGTCCACATCGGGGTCGCGCGGTTCGATGTCGGCGCCGACATTGGCCTTGGCCTTGGTGGATCGATTTCGTTTAGGCGCAGGGCGAGGCATGGCGAAAGCAAAGACTTGAGAGTCAAGGTTGGAGAGAATTTGAGAGTCAGAGTATTTGCGGGGGAGCAACGAGCACCAAGGACGCGAGCAACGCGATGTTTTTGACTTTTTGATTTGTTTTGGGACGCGTCCACGTGGGAAGCGGAGCCCAACCGGATTTTTATATTTATTTATTTTATTTATTGGAGAGGTTTGGAATTCTAGATGCTAGATGCTAGATGCTAGATTCTTTTGTTTCTTTCTACTCTATTGTGTCCGTCTTTCCTTCTTTTTATCTTCCTGGGCATTTGATGTTTCTCGGCATGTATGCAACGTTTCTTCATGTTGAACTCATCAACCCACAGGCTCTAGATAGTCACTCTGCTCTGTAGTCTGTTACTTGAGAGATGGTTCACTGATACACTCTACAGTCCTAATCCGATCCCTCAACCCTACCGTTATGTCAACCTCACAAGTCACGGAAGCTCCGTGATCAATCTGAGCGGCTAAACCGAGGATTCTCAACCCCCGCTATTCCCCGAATTTCTGGAACTCGGTAACTCTGGGGTCTGATAACCCACGGCCTGGATTGATCTTCCTAATGTCTTCCAGTATGAGAGCTGCACCCTCTGTCTGGTGTCATCTAATTCAACTCCAATTGTCTCCCCAGATCATCTCCAAAGCCCATGAATCTATCTCGAATCGAGATGGATCCAGATGGTGAGATCGATCTACCGGGCACGAAAAAGCGCTCCAACTCCGATGCGACAGAATACCCGCGGAGACGGGCAACGATTGCTGTAGGCGCCTGGCCATTCCCGGGATTCTGGAAACCCTTTGAGAATCCTGTTCAACTAAGAAACAGACAAATGAATAGTGCCAGATATGCCGCTTGCGCAAGACACGGTGCAACGGAGCTCGCCCCAAATGCCAACTATGCACCGACCTGGGTGCCGAATGCGTGTACAGAGAACCAGGTATTAAGCTCGATGCTGGCGATAGGATGATACTGGAGCACTTGACGCGGATTGAAGCCCTACTCCATTCAAGTTTGTCCGGCCAAGGGTCTCATGTAGCCCTTTCTTCTTCCCCATCAACAAGCCACAGCACCAACATTGGAGGCGATGACCCAACCGCGAGGATACCCAAGGGGATTTCCATGTCTGAAACATTGTCAGCCGTGGGGTTGGGGTCATGGGTCAACCCACCCCCAAGCATTAGCATATCGACAATGCCCAAGGTTCACACCACTCCGGCCTTGCATCTTTTGCAGTGGCCCCTCATTCGCAATCTGGTCTCGGGGCCCTACGACCCGCAAAATTTGCTCCAGCTCGAGATGGCTCGAGAACCTCTGCGACTGGTCCCAAATTCCGGCCTGGATTTGGTAGATGGGCCAGCTTATGTCGAAGCGTTTTTCCACCATGCAAATGTTTGGTATGCATGCGTGAATCCCCATACCTTCAATCGACACTATAAGTCTGCTGCCTTACAGGGGCTTCAAGATGGACCCGTAAGCTGTCTAGTTCTGCTTGTTCTGGCTCTGGGAAAGGCCAGTCGGAATGGCAGCATTGCCATTGTGCCACCGGATTGCGAGCCCCCGGGACTCGCGTATTTTGCTGCGGCCTGGGCCCTCTTGCCATCTGTCATGATACGCAACTCTGCCACTGCAGCACAGTGCATGGTTCTCGCCTCGGCTTATCTGTTCTACTTGGTTCGACCTCTCGAGGCATGGACTGTGTTGTCCAACGTCAGTATGAAGCTGCAGCTACTTTTCGGCAACCCGAGCCGTCTACCAGCCCAGTGGAAAGAGCTCAGTGTGCGTGTGTACTGGAATACTCTGTTATATGAAAGTGATCTACTTGCGGAGTTGGATCTTCCTCATTCTGGCATCGTGAATTTCGAAGAGCACGTGGATTTGCCTGGCGGGTTTGATGAAGACGATGACGACAACGATGAAAACCATGGGGGAAATCAAGAAGGCGAAGATGGCTCTACCGTCAGCTTTCCCAAAGAGGTAGCAGGGCGCGACGAGCTCTGGTACTTCTTAGCCGAGATTGCCTTACGGAGACTGCTCAACCGAGTCAGCCATCTCATCTACCAGAAAGACAGTGCTCATACCCTCTCATCCTTGGGCCCAATTGTCTCGGAACTGGATTTCCAACTGTCGCAGTGGTACGAAAATTTACCTCGGCCTGTCCGATTCCCTCTTGCCCCGGCGCGACTCTCCAACCCAGTACAAACTGTGCTGAGACTCCGTTACCATGCATGTCGCACGATCATATATCGTCCATATATCCTGGCAGTCTTTGAACAGGAGCAGATGGGCGCAGAACCAGGTGTTCGAGAGTGTTGCCGAAGATGTCTGGATGCCACGTTAAGGCAGTTAGAGCACGTCACCAGCCATCGTGATGGCCACCTCCCGTATCTATGGCAGGGTGCCCTATCGATGGTGTCCCAGACGCTCTTGATCATGGGTGCCACGATGTCGCCAACTCTCTCAACACTCCTCTCTCCGCCTTCGAGCACGGATGCTATAATTTCTAGCGTGATTGTAGAAGTCGAGCGATATGCGCATCTTGCACCGAGTTTGAAGTTGTCGGCTGAGATCATCCGGGACGCCGAGAGACGCCGGCAGGTCTGCCTTCGGTCGGCCGGAATTAGGATTTGAGTGCATTTCCCCATAATCGATTATTTTTATAGGTATGTATAGGAAGACTTTAAGTTTTCTGTAATAGAGGGTTTTAAATGTGAAGATGTACAGCTACAGCCGAACCAGTATGGAACAGGACTAAGACTTATTCGAGGTCATTTAAAAAGAGACCATTCCGATTTGTATGTCACATTTTCTATCATAATGTGTGTCCATTCTATTCAACTCCAATATATTCAAACCAATCATCTAATGCGATGGTGCTTGCCCCAAATTTATCTTTGCTGAATATGTTCAGGGCAACTGATAGTCTTGAGGAATAAGAGAACAAACTCGTGGCTTACAAAATATACAGGACAAGAGGCAAATAATAGGTACAGTGTCCTTCTCGTAACAATTATGTTCTTCAAATCATATCCGAGGCAAATCATGGTATCTTAAAGACATGGTGGAGGGTCAATATAGACGTCAAAGCAATATTGGCAAATAAAAAAAAGAAGATAAAAAAAAAAAAGTTCAGAGACGCGGGTACGTGAGACCACATAGGAATTAAGGATGGGGAATGTTTCAGGAATCTGTCGTATCACTTCGTGTACCTCCCTAGATCAAAACATGCTCGCTGCCTCGCTTGATATACTTGTCAAGCATCATGCCCAAATCGACCAGAGCGAATCGGCACACGTAGAAGCCGAAGAATTCGGCGGCGTGTCGTGTACTGAGCTCCAGACCAACATGGGTTGAGGAGGAATGTTTGAGCCCAGGATCTTCAACTTGCTGAGCGATTTGATCTAATCCGGCGGTTAGGACGGCAACCACCGAAGAAAAGAAACCCCCCCCCCCCGGAATTTGATACGTACCTATCACTTGAGCAGCATCGAAGAGACGTGCCAGGGCTCCCATGTAATTGGCACTCGGGCCTGAGAACTCGAGGTGAGTGACGTTACGCTTTGCATGAGGTGTAGGGCCCGGTGCCATAGGCAGAGAATTTGATAGGAAATTTTCTTTGTTGCTCTCCCGGGCGCTTGGAGTAGATGACGGGGTGGTACTAATACCGGAAGTCTTTGCTCGCAATCGCTTCCAAGTCGGTAAGTACGATTTGTTAGAAGTTCCAGAGGTCCTGGATGGGGGAGGATCAGGATGGGCGCCATCTTCCGACGTAGGATTTGATCGAAAGAGAGGCATGGATGTGTGAACTCCGACCTCATGGCCTAGCTTCTTGGACAAAGCAGTTTGGACCTGGTCAAGAACAGACTCAAAAGATTGCATCTCTTCCAAAACAGCATCTGCGTCATATGTATCAACTTGGGCTAGCTTCAAGAGAGCCGCCGTAAGAAGATCACAATTCGACACTTTGTCCTCGAGATATTTGATCTTGATATTTTTCACGCGCCACGCATCCCGAGGAACAAATAGCTTCGCTGATAAATACCCGCCATAGGGGTGGGCGAGTGTTTGATACAGACATCGCATGAGCCAGAATGGGCGCAGAAGGAAAGACTCCGGGCATGGCTCTAACGGTAGCGGCGCATTAGCAACTAGTGAATTCGGGCGGCCTAAGGCGGTAGGGGAGTGAATGTTGCAGTCCAGAATATTGAGACCACCCGTGGGTAACCCATTCTGCGTGAAGTAGGCCCCGGTGGGGGTAGGCATGACGGGGATGCTCCCTGCCGTGGCGGCCTTTTGAGCATCCAGGCCCGGGAATAAACCACTCCATGGCGTGGTTGGAGACACAGGTGCTGTCTCAGGGTTGGGAACAGACACATTGCGGTTCCTGAAAGCATTGGCGTTGGAATTAATCTTGTCCAGACCATCTGGGGCTGAGGGTACCTTGCCGATGGGCCGTGCGGATAAAGGTAAAGGTGAAAGCCCAAGTTCGTCATCCTCATGGGTACGTGTTCTGGCGAGGGTGGGTTGATCCATAAACGAGCTGACTGACGGATTGCGTTTGGAAGGATGCAAGCTGGAGCTGGATCTGGTCCCGGTCATAGAAGTCTTGGGGGTGTCAGAGGACATATCGTCTTTGGGAAGGGGTGGTGGCGGCCGGCTCGCCAAAGGAGTTGAGAAGGACAACCCCGAGGCACTCGAGTCTGCGCGAGGACGTGTACTTGTTTCGATCGTGAGATCCTTAGAATCCCGCTTCGAGATTCTCCGGGCTCGCACACCCGGAACGGGAGGCGGACCCATAATGGGAGGAGGGGGGTTTGTTAGAGAAATCCTCTGAGCCGGCAAGGCTGGGAAGTCTGACGATACTGGAATTGGAGGCAATGCCACAGAGGGTGGGGAAGATGGAAGACCAATCCTGTCTGGTCTTTGGTCAGGTGGTAGGATGTCATCGTCCTCGGTGAGGGTAGAAAGAGTAGCCCCATTGCCCGTGATATTAGATGCTGCTGAACTTTCCCACGTTCTTCCCGACATGTTGCTCGAGTCGGATTCCCGGGGCAGAGCAGATTTGGATTGGATACCAAACTCGAATTCGTCCATAACGTAGCCCTTTGTCATCTCTTCAAGAAGGCGCTCTTCCTCCTCCGCCTCCTCGTCGAGGTAGTCGGAATCACGTTGGGGCTCTAGGTCCTGTTCCAAGTTTTGTTCCTGGATGCGACGCATTTCGCGGCCACGATTCATCGCGACCTCAGCTTCCATTTCTGCTTCCCGCACCCGCTGCTTTGCGAGCTCGATATTCCGGCGAGCATTGGCCACGACGTCAAAACTTTGGTCTTCATGGTACTCCAAGACGGGCTCAAGGCCCTCGTCGTACGCAGCTTCCACGGCCGCATCAAGTGCTGCGTCGAACTCCGCTTCCGTATCAGTGCTAATGCGACGGCTTGTGCGCTGGCGTAGATATACCGAAGACGCCTTTGACTTCGCCGACGATGGCGAGGACGCGCCAGACTCATCAATCGTGTCCAGCCAAGATGTTGATTCATTAGTTTCTTGGGCAGATGTGTCCAAGTACTGACCATTATACGTATTGTTGGATCCGCTCGAGGGAGTCGCTCTGTCCGAATGCGCAGATGGCCGCAAAGACTGGCGGCGAGGTGGGACCGCCTCAAAAAATAAGGATTTCGCTTCTTCGGTCGCTATTTGGAGACCGAGACTGGAATGCGCAGAGCTTTGTTGGCTCCCGGTACGAGAATTATCGGTCGCGGATGAATGCATCAATTCACCGTAAGACTCTTGACTAATAGGGCGCTCAGGAAGAGCCTTATCGGCGTTATCTGGGAGCGGAAAGTCCATGCGCTGGAGCTCGGTGATTCTGATCATATAGGTATCGCGCTGAGACAGTTAGTATCGAACGAGCCCAATTTGGCGCTGAAATGGGTGTGCGTACAATTTCTTGCAGTTTGAGCTTCTCTTCATCGCCTCCGTTACTACGTAGCATCACCAGCTGCAGTAACTGGCATGCATCAGTATAGGCTTCCATTGCGCCCTCAAAGTTGGCGGCGTTATCAAGAAGAACTGCTGTGTTTGCCTTTTGTAGGGCCTTCGAAAGCATTGCTTTTTGAGTTTGGCCATGCTGCCGGTCTGCCTCACCTTCTCCGTCTACCGAAGAAGACGCGCCTTCACTAGCACGAGCAACCATATAGTCCGGTTGGTAGGATTGTGCATTATCCCTCAAATCATTTGCTGGGTTTTGGAAGACATGGCTAGAGGCCGTAAAGGAAAGATCAAGTTGAGAGGCAGGGGAATCGGTGGATAACATGTCCGATGTCCTAAACTCAGGAAGGCTCAACTCGGGTAATTCGCCTAGGCCTGGGGCCCCGTGAGGGCTGTGGCCTGATATGGATATTTTGGAGCTGCCTCGGCGGTGGCCCGTGCATTCAGAAGGGCTCTTGCTCGAGGTTGTTGACTGAGACCAACGGTTCAGGCTACCCAGCCCTTCCTTGATAGGGCTAGCCATTTTGAGACTCTCAGGATGAAGTTCGGGGCCGTTCTCCGTGACCACCCCCAGTCCTGTGGGAGTCACGGCTCCAGACTTGGCCATTCGATTGCGGGAGCCAGGCCGGGATGAGCGAGAGGAGGGCCGGTTGGGAACAGGTGCCGAGGGCGGTTCTGTGAGCGGGCCCGATGGACGCCTGGTGTGGAACGGTCTGGCTTCATCTTCTAGGGCTGAGCGGTGTAGCATTTTTGAAGACGGAGCGGTTCGATGTCGGATTGGTTTAGATATTGAAGCCGGGCATTGAGAACCCGGGGCCAAATTTCACGATAGAGGTTCCAAACAAAGACCGTTATTCGCAAGAGACGATTCCAGGCAATTGATCGGTGGTCGTAAATCGAGTTCGGGTGTCTCGACTCATTCTTCAACGTGGGCTCGTTCAAGAGAACTGGAGTGGATCCTGGCAAGTATGCGCTTCAACGCATCGCTTGGAGAGGTTCGGAGTGCTAGGAAGATCTATCGCGCAGGAAGAGACATGGCTGGACGATAGTGAGTATGCGCACAAGTCGGAAGATGCCGAATCACTCACGGAGGGCGACACAGTGAAGAGTTCAGGGGGGCCGCAGTCCCGCGCCGGGTTCAGGGGTGGCCCGTGTGGGTTTGCCGGGCGGTGGAATGTCGATTGCGGGGAGAAATCAAGAGTTCGATTCCTCGAAGGTGACCCCCGGAGAGCAAAGGAGGGGTCCAGGAATGATAAGGGAGGGAGAGAGAGAGAGAGAAAAGGAAAAGGAAAGGGAGTTAAGGGGGGAAATGTTGTTGTTTTCCTCCCTAGCGGAGCGACAGCCGCAACCTGGGGGGGGGGGGGGGAGAAGTATACACCTCAAATCAATGATCTGAAGTATCCTTTCAAACGCGAGATATACATCAAGGGGCAAAACTCTGAAAGAGTCTAACTAAGCTGGTTTTCTGGGCCTATCTTCGGAGTTCCTGGACTCGTCCAACGGGGGTTGCATTGTGTATCGCTTAGAGGCGGGACCACCGAAAAAAAATATTGCCAGTGGTTACGTGGTTAGCTGGTTACGCGGAACGATGATACCCTCCCCGCTCAGACTTCATCGCTTTCTGTCGCGATCTTTCTCAGTCCTGAAATCATCTCCTGTACGCAGAATGGCCGTGGTTACTAATCTGCGTGATCCCAACACGCTGAGCAACTACAACAACTGGCGCTCCACCCACATCACGGCCAATTTCGATATCCTGTTCGACCAGAAGAAGCTCGTGGGAAATGTCGTCCACCGCTTCAAATCAACTACCGATGCCGAGTCTCGTGAGATTATCCTGGATACCAGCTATCTCGACATCGGCTCCGTAAAGGTCAATGGCCAGCCCTCCAAGTGGGAGCTGATGTCCCCACTGGCACCCTTCGGAACCCCGCTGAAGATCAGCCTGGACAAGGCCGTGGAGCTCAATGAGACCATTGAGGTTGATGTATGTTTTGATTTTTCATATGCCTGTGGCCCTGCCCTCCAGTCACTGACATTCCCCGGGGGGTAGATCGCCGTGAAGACCACTGAGAAGTGCACGGCACTCCAGTGGTTGACTCCCGCCCAAACTTCCAACAAGAAACATCCGTATATGTGTAGGTGATAAGGAACACCCTGTCATTTCAAAACCCTCTATCTTACCCGGTGCTAGTCTCGCAATGCCAGGCCATCCACGCGCGGTCTATCTTCCCTTGCCAGGATACGCCGGATGTCAAGAGCACCTTCGACTTTAACATTACCTCTCCTCTCCCGGTCATGACCAGTGGTTTACCCCTTCGGGATTCCTCGGAGAACCCTCAATCAGGAAACCGCCTGTACCGATTCAACCAGTCGGTTCCGATTCCTAGCTATTTGTTTGCAATTGCAAGCGGGTAAGAAAATCACCTTAATCGTACTCAAACACTTCTAACTAATCTCGTAACAGTGATGTCTCTGAGGCTCCCATTGGCCCCCGAAGTGTGGTCGCCACCAGCCCTGATAAGCTGGAGGATTGTAAATGGGAGCTCGAGGCAGACACGGAAACTTTCATCACCACCATCGAGGTAATTCAATTAACTTCCTCGGCTCTGCCTACCGTCAATGCTGATATAAATGCAGAAAATCGTATATCCCTATGCCTGGGGCGAATACAACGTTTTGATTCTGCCGCCGAGTTTCCCTTATGGTGGCATGGAGAACCCCATCTTTACCTTTGCTACTCCGAGCATTATCTCCAAGGTGGGCTTCACCGGCAAATTAGACAGGTCTTTTTTTTTTTTTTTTTTTGATACTAACACGAGGCACCAGGACCGTGAAAATATCGATGTCATTGCGCATGAGCTGGCTCACAGCTGGAGCGGTAACCTTGTGACCAACGCCTCGTGGGAGCACTTCTGGCTCAACGAGGGCTGGACGGTGTACCTCGAACGACGGGTATGTGACTTCATTGTTTTTGGCCTGACCATTCTGACTGGCTCGTGTATAGATCCTGGCTGCAATGTATGTCTCTTATGAATTGACCGTCTCCTCTTTGGTGTCACTAACTTTTACAGTCATGGAGAGGCATACCGCCACTTCTCTGCTATTATCGGTTGGAAATCGCTGACTGATTCCATCGAGCATTTTGGCCACGACCATGAGTTCACCAAGCTGGTGACCGATCTCAAGGGCAAGGACCCTGACGATGCCTTCTCTAGCATTCCTTATGAGAAAGGTTTCAACTTCCTGTTCCATCTCGAGAATCTGGTTGGAAAGCCGAAGTTTGATAAATTCATTCCTCACGTATGCCATCCCCCAAGTATCCATCTTTGGGACAGCCTTTGGTTTACTTGTTTTTAGTACTTTACTGTCTTCAAGATGAAGTCTCTCGATTCCTACGAGTTTAAGGCGACGATTCTGGACTTCTTCAAGTCGGATGCTGAGGCATCCAAGCTGTTGAATGAATTGGATTGGGACAAGTGGTTCTACACTCCTGGTCTGCCCCCCAAGCCGCAATTTGACACTTCGCTGGTGGATGTCGTTTATTCTCTGGCACAGAAATGGGAAACCCTCCACAATTCTTCCTTCAAGCCGCAGGCGAGCGACCTAGAAGGTCTGACAGCCAACCAGATCGTCGTTTTCCTGGAACAGGTTCTGCGTTGGGAGCAGCCCCTCCGCCCTGAGCTCTCGAAGCTGATGGGGGAGGTTTACGGACTGGCCAAGAGTGACAACATCGAAGTTTCCAACCTGTACTTCCAGGTTGGCATGAAGGCTGGCGACGAGAGTGTTATCGAGCCTACCACAGAACTGCTGGGCCGAATCGGAAGAATGAAGTTTGTTCGACCACTGTAAGATCACCGACCCTGATGGCCCTGGTAGGTAAGCTAGCTAACGTGCATGAATTAGGTTCCGCAATCTTCAGAAGATTAACCGCCCCGTCGCTCTTGAGACCTTTGAGAAGTACAAGGACTTCTACCACCCTATCTGCCGTGGCATGGTCGAGAAGGACCTCTTTGGCAAAAAGTAAACAAGCTCCAGGCTATTCAAGAGAACAGATACTATAGGCTCCGATGAGAAATCAGAAAGAAAGAACGAACGAACGAACGAACGAATGCATAGAGCTGGATGTGATCGACTACTGTACATGGCTCAATTAATCTGATAAAGCGGAAATTCCGAATGTACTTAAGAGTAAGACAAAGATGCTGAAGAGAAGGGATAGTTGTTTTACACTTGACCGCTTGGGTTTATTTGGTTCCCTCGGCCATTTTCTTATCAAGCGCAGAGTAGCCAAAGATACCGGAGCTTTTTACGTCTCCAGTACTAAGACTGAAGACCAAATCCGCTTCGTCCATCTTCGAGATCTCTGACAGGACTCGTCGCATGTAGGCGACCACCCACGCGACCTTTGTCCAGTCAATTTCCTGGCCATCAGGTCCCGTGGGGCTCGCCTTCCACAGGTTCCGCCAGACAGCAGCCCCCAAGACCGCGTCCCCTTTAATCAGGCCCTCGTCGTAAGCAGCAATTATTCCGCGCCATTGGATAAAGAGATCCTTCAGGTACTTATTTCGAATAGTTCGGCTGCCCAGGTCATGAAGGACATCCATGCGGTGTTCAGCATTGTGCGAGAAATGATCGATCAGGTGGCGGGAGTAGGTCTGTACGCTCTCTCGGGTGGGAAGCGCGCGCAATCGGACCGTCAAAAGATACATGTGGAGGAAGGTGATTTGCGACCAGGTGGAAAACGTCGGGACAAGGCCGAGCTCTGTAGACACACGTATTAATCCCTGTACTCGGGCAGACTTGAGTTTTTTTTCTTGTGGCATTCACGAACCTCGATACCACCAGCTGTCGCCAACACCAAGATGTTCACCGGATTCGGTGGTAGGAACGGCCACACCGTTCTGAGATGCCTGAGGGATCTTATAATCTGCCTGAATTGAGCAAGCTTCAAAAAGCTTCTGCGTCATTCCGTATGCAATGTAGGTTTCGGCTGAAGCTCCAGGAGACACAGCACTCCTGGCGAGGCGAGAGACGGTAGATCCCTGAGAGTAGGATCGAACAAGTAATGTAGAACGCGACAGCATATCCCGGCTTAGCGACCATGCCGTAGATGCCATCAAGGTGGGCTTTGAAGCAGCATTGCAGCTGATGGGCTTCTGCGACGTAGTCGAGATGGATGCGCGTTGGGTGAAGGACTGCTATAGGAGGTCAGCACTCGACTCTCGGGGCGCGAGAGATATGGAAGTATATACCTGAAGGCTCTGGATCTGAGATCTGCGAATTTCCCGCGTCCAAAACTTTGTTGCTCTTGTGGTCGACATTTTGCGATGTGTTGAAGTTTTTCTTGAAAGCTGCTTCTTCTCGCCCGGCGATCGGGGGCGTTTGCACCGTTTGCCTCCGCGATCAATGACGGGGCCATTGCCCCAAAACCCAGTTCTACACAACAGATGGCCAGCAATGCCTACGCATCTGTATAACTAGATACTTCGGTGGATAGATTTTGATCAAAGGATATTGACGGCCAATATCATTGAAGTTAATGTAGTGTAATTGCAGTACCAAAGCAATTCATAAAAGGATCATTTCATATTCGTCTATTCATGGGACAAGTTTCTTAACAAAACACGTAGGAGTTCAGACAATCGAGGCAGCTATGCTGTCTGCTTTTTGATAAATCCAATAGCTCTGCTTTCGCATGGTAAGCGCGCCGCTTGAAGATCTCGGCAAAAGACAGAATTTCAAGCATCAAGGACAACACGTTCCGAATGCTTTGCTACAATAGGAAGCAGCTCGGAGAGTCTATTAGGGTCTCTCATCAATGCCGGGATGTCGTCCCGGGTACCTGCAAGCATCTGGAAAGTGTTAGCGGGATGAGCAGGACTACTTGAGATCCACGATCATACCTGTCTGACTTTCTCATATTCACATTCCTTGGACTGGTATTCGCGAATCACCTCACGGGTCTCGAAATCAACGTAAACACGAGTGTCCCGAAGACGAATCAAGACATTGTCCAGTCTCATAAAGAATCGGGACAGTAGAAGCATTCTCCCCGGCATTACACGGATCTTGCAGGACAGCATAGCGATACCGTTATCCGCCAGTTCATCTTCGTAAAGGACAACATCGTCGAAGAATAGAATTGGGTCTGGACGCTTCAAAAGCTCGATGGGGATCGGTTGGGTGGTCTCTTCGAATGGCTTCGCGTTGGGGCTGAGAGTACCCTTGTAGTCTGTGCTGTAGGACCAGTCGAACGGCTTGACGACCTCCTTAATCCCTTCATGTGTGCTTTCCCTATCAGTGAATCAATATTAGCTTATCAAAGTCGGCCGTGAGAGCAATGGGTTGAGGTTGGAGCCCTGTACCTGCTCTTCTGCCACTCCTTGGAATATGCGACCTGAAGCATTGACTGCCCGGTCTTGTCCACCAGATCCAGCGCATCAAATGAGTTAAAATTAATAGCCCATCCACTCTTATGATGCTCGATCATCACGTAGTTATCACCAAAGATCATCTCTGGCGGGGCGATGCCGAGTTTTTTGGTCATGTCCTCGATGGGGTCGGCTTTCAGAATGGGCTGCTTTTGAGTTGAGACTCGAAAGCCATGAGTGGAGATCTCATTGGGCCTCTTGGCCTCTGGAGAGACAGCCAAATGCCCCTTGGGCACAGTGGAGGGCGTGGAATACATGCTAGACCATGTCGCAGAGCCCGAGCTGATAGCGATACGGCGATATGGCGATAGAGCCCCGCGGGCGGAGAAAGAGGCGGACCGAAGGTGTTGCCCGGGAGACGCGACCATCGACCCCAAACACCCGTTCCTCGCCTAGATTCTTTAGACTCTTTAATTTACTCGACAACGACTCTACGCCAACTGACCATGCTTGCACGGGCTTGAATCTGCCTTTTGACACTGTGCTTGCTTATCGACATCTATTCTCTTCCCATTTTCCTCGCCTCGCATCCTTTCTACCTATCCTGACCATGGCAACCAAGACATTGGAAGCTCGTTTCGAGCATCTATCTGTCAAGGACGAGAAGGAAAATGGAGGCGACCGCACCTATGGAAAGCAAAAGGTAGTGGAACACCCCTTCAAATCCGTAATGCAGCCTGCTTATCTGTCTCAGGGCTCTCTGTCGACGGCCGTCTCTCTCTCCGGTCTTGGTGCGGCCCAGATGAATAACCCGAACCGGGCCCATCTGTTGAAGCTGGCTCTTCAAAATACCAATGACAACAAGAACTCCATGAACGTCCCTCCGTCGCCTGTCAGGAGTTCTCAGGGCGCAAGAGCATCCCGAAACACGGACGAGAATGGAGAACAGCGTACGTCTACGTCGCTGAGTGAACCTTCTGTGCCAAAGGAACTGCATCTCGGAATGTTCGAGATCGGTAAACCCCTTGGAAAGGGCAAGTTTGGTCGTGTTTACCTTGCCAAGGAGCGATCTTCGGGCTTTGTCTGCGCTCTCAAGGTGCTTCACAAGTCCGAGCTGCAGCAGGGCGGCGTCCAGAAGCAAGTCCGCCGTGAAATTGAGATTCAGAGTAACCTCCGTCACCCGAACGTCCTGAGGCTCTACGGCCATTTCCATGACAGCAAGCGTATCTTCTTGATCCTCGAATTCGCTGGCCGGGGTGAATTGTACAAGCACCTTCGCAAAGAGCACCGATTTCCTGAATGGAAGGCTGCGCAGTACATTGCTCAGATGGCAGCGGCGCTGAAGTACCTGCACAAGAAGCATGTGATGCACCGTGATATCAAGCCCGAGAACATTCTTGTCGGTATTCATGGAGAAATCAAGATCAGTGACTTCGGCTGGAGTGTCCACGCCCCCAACAACCGACGCCAAACCATGTGCGGAACGCTCGACTACCTCCCTCCGGAGATGCTGAAGCCTGGTTCTCAGGACAACTACTACAGCGAGAAGGTGGATCTGTGGAGTCTTGGTGTTCTGGCGTATGAGTTCCTGGTGGGCGAGGCTCCTTTCGAAGATACGCCCGTGATGACCCAGCGCCGAATTACGAGGGCTGATATGTCCGTGCCGTCCTTTGTTAGCCCGGAGGCTAGGGACCTCATTAAGAAGGTTAGTTTTAATTTTCATTCGTATTGAACCCCGCAGTACTGACTGGCTCTAGCTCCTTGTTCTGGACCCTGAGAAGCGGATTCCTCTGGACGAGATCCAACGTCATCCTTGGATTGTCAAGCACTGCGTGAAAGATGCAAAGCGGAGCTCGGGTTCGTCCAAGGATGGTAAAGCATGATTGTCTTCGCATGTCAAATGGTGTTTTTGTATCTTTTTTTTTTCTCTATCTTGTTATGTCCACTGTGTGGACGATAAGACTTCTTTTCAAGGCGTTGGGTACTTTCGCATCTTCGGAGTCTTTTTTTTGTCTTCCTTCTGGAGTATAGCCGGTCAGGATACGGGGTCATCTGGGCTGTTAATCTTGTTTTTATCCAATGCTAATGAAATATGGTACATTCAAAACTCTATGGTACAGATGGGGGTAAACTGTTGCAAGGCTGAGTGGAATCATGGAGGTAAAGAGGACAGAGCGCAGTGGGATCGGTATCATCGGTAAATTTCATCAAATGGCCTGGTGTCTCTGAAGCAGCTGTCCCAGACTTCATTGACAACTTGCTGTGCATGAGCCTCGTCTCTGCAAGTAGGCCGTGCCCTCACAGACAAGACAGCCCTTCTCCGGACACACTCCTGGTGTTGCTGGGTGAGCTTCCATTGGCCTCGTCGAAAAAATTCGCGCGCCCATCTACACTCGCCGCTGAGTGAGCTGGCTCGGATCTAGCATGGGTTAGCCGGTGTGACCCGCTACGCCAGTGTTAAAAACAAGGCTCATACCTCTGTGCATGCAGCATGTCGCAAGTTGTCGGTCCAGTTGACTTTGAATCGCAGGTGATCGTAGGCATGAACCATCTCATGAGCCATTGTGTCCTCTAAATGCCCCTGGTCCTTCATCTCATTTGCACAAAGTAGAATTCCATATTCGGGATCGAAGCCACCACCTTTTCGATCGGTACAGCGGCGGCAATAGATATTATGACTGTGAAGATCGCCACCAAGTTGCCGAATGTTGTCACTGAGGAAGCGAATTGTCGGACCTTTATTACAGGTTGTTAGCCTTGTACACTTGACCCGTTTTCGGAAAGGAGACAACTCACTCCATTGAAGTAGGTAGTCACGCTGTTCATCACATCGCTTGCAGTCAGCAGCTTCATTTCGAATGTCTCGCGCAACGCGGAACTGCTCAATTCCCTCGGATGACATCTTCCCGGTCAAGATGGAGTAGATGTTGCGGAACTGTGTCATCGTATCATCACCTGGAGTAAACCCGGTATCCGGTTTTCCATTTGAAGGTGCGGTCGCACCCGGCGACTGAGAATCGGACATTTTGATTTCACGAACAGAAGGAAGCGCGCAATCGGAAAGGAAGAACCTCCGCAGAGGCGGACGCCGCCGGCAGAAACTGGAGATTTCCCCGGGGGAATCGCGATTCGTCAATTCCCACTTCGATGACAACGTGCGGGGAACTCTTCCTTTCAGTGCGTTTGAAGGTGGGCCAATTGTCATAATAACTTGAATAGACTGGCTTGTGCAACATGGCGACCTCAGGGTTGACGATTGTGATTAAACTCGGTGCGGGGAGATATATGTGACTCAATGCGGAACGAAGCTAATATGTTCTTTCAGGGACAAGTTCCATTGTCGACGAGAAAACCCATGAGCCCATTCTATCGATCTTGACTCTGATTGTCGAAACGGTCTCAAAGTTACGCAAAGATGGCCACCGAGTTGTGCTGGTCTCTTCAGGCGCAGTGGGCGTTGGCTTGCGCAGAATGGACGTGGACGAAAGACCAACCTACCTTCCCCGAATACAGGTGCGAACTTGCAGTTTGATTGCTGAGTGGATCTCACATCTAGAATGGAGCTGATTGTGATATTAGGCGCTTGCTGCGGTTGGCCAATGTCGGCTAATGAGTCTGTGGGATAATCTGTTCTCGCATCTTCGAGTTCCGGTGGCCCAGATTCTCTTGACGAGAAACGATATTGCAGATGTAAGGCTGTCATACGCCCAATTTATCCTCGCCGTTCATTAACCAGACAACAGAGAGCACAATATGTTAATGCCCAAAATACGTTCGAGCAATTGTTCGACATGGGTGTGATTCCTATTGTCAATGAAAATGATACCCTGGCTGTTTCTGTACGCATTTTGTTCTTGTTGAATACGATGTTCTGAACTTCCGATTTAACTTGAGACTTACAGGAAATCAAATTTGGCGACAATGATACCCTCTCCGCGATCACTGCGGCAACAGTCAAGGCCGACTATCTGTTCTTGATGACTGATGTCGACTGCCTATATACTGCCAACCCGCGCAATAACCCCGATGCGCAACCTATTGAGGTTGTCTCTGATATTTCAGCGCTGGAAGCTGATGTCTCGTCCGCCGGGTCTTCCTTGGGAACAGGTGGCATGAGCACAAAAATCGTGGCCGCAAAATTGGGAACCAGTGCTGGTGTGACCACAATCATTACCAAGAGCTCAAAGCCCGGCAACGTTCATGATATTGTGAAATACCTGCAAAGACTACGGGAGATTTCGGGGTTAAACGATACGTTGCCTGACCAGTTGGCGGATATCCCCGCTCCTCCTCTTCACACTCGTTTCCTCCCATCTGATACCCCAATCCAGTCCCGCACTTTCTGGTTGCTCCACGGGCTCACCCCACACGGTACTATCTATATCGACCAAGGAGCGTATGATGCACTTCTTCTCAACAAGGCCAGTCTTCTCCCGGCCGGAGTACTCGGTGTTGAAGGCCACTTCGGACAGCAGGAAGCAGTCCGATTGGTGGTTGTGGAACGACCGGATCCAGATGCCCTGAACGGAGACTTTCTTCACCATGGCCAAGAACCGCGGGAAGTTGGCCGTGCGCTTGTAAACTACGGTAGTATTGAAATTGCGCATATCAAGGGCCACCGCAGCAACTCAATTGAGTCATTACTTGGTTATGCAGAGAGCGACTACGTTGCCTTGCGTGAAAACATCTCATTCCACCCCGAAGACTGATGCTGTCATCCCGCCATTTCCTCAATAACGTCCGCAAGGGAGGAAGCGAAGTCGCCCCGATGACCATTGGTGTCTAGGGCAGATAAAATGGTGATTTATCGAACATAGCACTGCATATTCAACATACATGGGCCGGCATTGACATGAATCTCTGGTCAAGGCTCAGCCTAGAAATTTAGTGGGAAAAGCACAAAGATGATCCATGTTTCTCAAGTGATACCAGCCAACATAGACATGTTCAAAACATACATGATTGTTTGGAGGAAATGTTGAAGCAAAGTTCTCATCTCAAGATCGCAAAACATCAGGGAAATATACATGCTGTAGATGAAGATTATAGTTAATCCTTCCAACGCTCGAGCCACGCCTGCATCCTCTTGTCCAGCGTGGGAGCAGCCGCAGGGGCAGCCTATAAACAATTGTCAGCTCAACGAGCACCTACGCATGAAGAAGTCGAGCATACCGTGTTCTCAATGCTATGGGTAGTCCATGTAAGGTATGCAGTGTCCGTATACTGAACCGTAGGAGCAGGAAGGTAGGCGGTTGCGATGGAGAAAGGAAAAGGCGGGTACTGAGGCGTCGGCGACTTGTCCGCAATCGTACTTCCGGCCCTCTTGGGCATCGGGGCATACTTCGTTAGGCCTGTCTGCTCACCATAGGGGATGTTGTGCGGGTCAATTCCGAGACGCTTCCGCAATTCATGTCGATCCAGTTCATTGGGAATAGTTGGCGTGGGGAACTGTAGGAAGGACTTGGTCGCCTCACCATAGATGTCACCATTGAGCGTGGATTCGTTGTAGACAGGACCACTTTCGGCAGCCTTGAGGATGTTGGCATCTGCCTCCGCGGCCCAGGAGATCTCGATGGATTGCATTGACTTGAGTGCATTGGATACCTTGGTCGAAAAGGTGCCTTTCATATTGGTCAGGGTGAAATGGGAGGTGAAACCGGACCAGTGCTCTTTGTGATCCGAAGGAACTACCTTCAGGAAGCTAAATATGGCCACAAGTCAGACTCGGCCCCTTTCAATTCGAGATTTGAGAGTTGTCCATACTATGCATTCAGGTCGTTTCCGCCAACACTTGGGTCAACACGGAAAGACACCAAATCTCCCGGGTTGTAGACACCATCGTTGATAACTTGTAACAGCGTTTCCTTTCATGATTCGATCCATCAGCCGTGCTCTGAAAGTATGTACTTAGAAAGCCGATTTCACTTACATATGAGCCTGTAGACTCATCGCCTGCACACAGGTAGAAGTCATATCGCCCAGAGGTCTCCCCATCAAAAGCCCAGACAAGACTCACCGAGTCTCGGCCATCAAATGTCAGTCCACTCACGGTCTGAGCCGAGACGGTACCCAACAGGGACAATAGAGCAGGAAGCAGACGGTCGAATCTCATGCTGAGTGGATTGGGAGAGAGAGAAGACGGACCAGATCCAAGTCGAGGATGAAGTGTACCAAAGGGGGAGCCCCCCTGCCATCTCCATGGTATGCGAGGTATGCGGGACTGTGTTGTCCATTCCAGCGCCCTTGTCCCTTGAACTGGTGCCAAAGGTGCAAAAGATGCAAAAGACGCAACGAGTGCAAATGATGTGCACTAAGATAAGGAGTGGTCCGTGCTATCACATGCGGCCGTATTCTGTTCTCCCTGACTTGACTCCACTGTTGAAACTTAGCTTCCCCATCAGCCCACCATGTCGAGTCAAGCCGGATGGAACTCGGTGACGGGAATCGCCACCAAGCTGCTTGATGGCAGCCCCTTAGCCATCTTTATTGCGATCATCATCACCTTTGGTGTTCCGGTGTTCTTGCACCTCGTCTTCTACCGCGCTGCAGCGTCGCCGCCGTCATGCAACTTCCTTCTCCTAGGCCCCGGCGGAGCTGGCAAAACGGCCTTCACAACTCTGGTATGCTTGTTTCTCAACCTATGAGGGGACTTTCGGTATTCTAATTGGATATATTGTAGCTGGAAGGAAAGTCCTCGCTGGCTTCAAAGAAGTCGCATCTTACCCACACTTCTCAGGCATCGACACTGGTCTCCGTCACTTTGCCGCCTGCTGTCCCCACTGCCTCGAACCGGTATCGTTCTGTCAATGACCCTTCGTTGAAAGAGGCCTCGCGGAACCCGATCAGGTACCGTCTGAAGGATACCCCAGGCCACGGCAAGCTACGTACCTCTCAGGGCATCGCGGAGCTTCAGTCCATGTCCTCGTCCAAGGATGTGAAAACAAAGATCCGGGGACTGCTCTTCATGATTGATACTGCAGCTCTGGTGGACGAAGCCAACCTCCGGGACGCCGCAACCTACCTCCACGATGTTTTGCTGGTTCTTCAGAAGCGGTCAATGGGCAAGGGCAAGTCTTCTACCAAGCGGGAGGCTGATATCCCCGTCCTTGTTGCTGCGAACAAGCAGGACTTGTTTACATCTCTGCCTCCTGGCTCCGTGCGGGAGAAGCTTGAAGCCGAGATTGATCGAATTCGCAAGTCCAAGACCAAGGGTCTGATGGATGCTAGCATGGACAGCGGACTGGATGCTGAAGAAGATGTGTTGGGTGATGACGATGCCCAGGGTGTTTTCACCTTCAAGTTGCTTGAACAAGTGGGAATTAAGGTTGATGTCGTGGGTGGTGCCGTCAAGGGCGATCCGCAGGAGGAGTACGGATCCGGTGTGCGTCGCTGGGAAGAATGGATCGGTATGTGTCTGTGAGCATGACTTGACATATCAGACTTGTTCTTCGTACCTTGTTTCAAAAGCGTCGATTCCCCTTTGTGTGAGCGGACCGAGCATCTTTTTCCGATTGCATATAGATGGACGGGGGCGCTGTATAGTGAAGGCCCACGTCCCTAGCTACAAAAATTCTACTCTTCTATAATCTACAAACAACGAGCACCTAATGACCCAAGTGCCTCGGTGCCAAATGGAGTGAATATCATACGGGATATCTAGTCGAATCGAGATTGTAGGAAGAAGCACGTGAGACACAAATCGAATATATTTCACTTGTATATTAACGAGTCTATGAATATTATGCAAAGGTGCAGCGATAAAATCCCGCGCTGCACAATCTATGTAGATTCCACAGTGAGTTGAATCCAACCGGAGCCTTGACATGGCATCTGATTGACGCAGGAGAAACGCCGGTCCCAAAAGAACAATGACAAACCATGAACCAGTGTTGAAACTCCACCCGAGAAGCAGAAACAAAAATACTTCCAGGAATGCAAGCCAAGTAATAGGTGGCAGAACCGACTAAGCGTCGTTGGTCTTGCTCTGGTGCAGCATCCAGGTGAGCAAATCAACCTTGGTGACAATAGCCAGAGGCTTCATCGCGCCGGTGTTGTCCTTCTCCGTGACAACGGCAGCACTGTTCCACTCAAAGAATCGGTTCAACACGCTGAGCGGAGTGTCCATGGTGATCTCAATGAACTGGCGATGCTTAGTCTGCAATAGGGTGGCGTCCGTTCCGTTAGACTTGGCGCCCGACGAGGCACGGGTAACACCCATGTCGCGAGGATCGGTCACAACCTCCGGGATCTTGGAGAAATCGAACATAACCTCAGACACCGGGCTTTTTCCAGACACGCGGCCGTGAGTCAATCGGCTGAGAACGTTGCCCAGAGTGAGCAGACCCACAAGCCTGCGGCCAGAGGGCGCGAGAACGGGCAGCTGGTCAAAGCCCTTCTCACGCATGGTCTCAATTGCGGTCTCGCACGGCGTGTTGGAAGTCACAGTGGTAATGGGCTTCAGACGGAGAGCGCTGACCTTCGCACCGGCCAAGGGATCGGTGGAGACCGGGGGCTGCTGGGTGGGAGTGTCCGCAATGGGAGAAGATGACAGGAGGTTGTTGGCAGCCAGCCAGTCGTCATCGGCAAACTTGGAAGTAATCAGTATGAATGATTGACAGAGATTATTTAAGCGAAACTTACCTTGGTCAAATAGCTTCGGATGCTATCCGGAAGGACAACAACGACGACGTCGTCCTTGGAAAACTTACGCTCCTCATTGGCCTTGACCAGAGCGGCGACAGCACTTCCACTGCTGCCACCAACCAGGAGGCCTTCCTCGGCAATCAGGCGTCGCGAGTACTGGAAAGACTCCTTGTCGGCGGTCTTGTACCACCGGTCAACAATTTTGCGGTCCAGAACGTCAGGAATGAAGTCGTAACCGATGCCCTCCACCTTGTAGGGCTCGTTCATATGCGGGTCGTTCAGCGATTCAGGCAGAGCCAGAAGGGAGCCGTGGGGATCGGCACCGATCACTTCGATGTTGGGGTTATGCTTCTTGAGACCCCGAGCGATACCAGTGATTGTACCACCGGTGCCAGCACCAGCCACAATAGCCTTGATCTCGCCGTTGGTCTGCGTCCAAATTTCCTCGGCGGTACCGAATTCGTGGGCATTGGGGTTGTTCTCGTTGCCGTATTGATCAAGGATGTGAGCGTTGGGCAATTCCTTCTCCAGGCGCCTGGCAACTCCGATGTGGGATTCGGGCGAATCGAAGGCGGCTTCGTTGGGGGTTCGGATGATGGTGGCGTTCAAGGCCCGCAGAACGGACACCTTTTCAGCGGACATCTTCTCGGGCAGAGTGATGATAGTCTTGTATCCTGTCGCGATCGAGTTAGTCTGTTCTGAACATCCACACCTCATCTCCCACAGAGAACTCACCCTTGACCGCACCGACCAAAGCCAGACCGATACCACTGACAATCTCAGTTAGCACATTGCATGGGCGATGAAGGGAAACAAAACCACCTACGTGTTGCCACTGGTGGGCTCGATCAGGGTGTCGCCCGGCTTGATACGACCGGACCGCTCTGCCTCCTCGATCATGCGCAGGGCAATGCGATCCTTGACACTGCCACCAGCATTGAAATACTCCAACTTAGCGTAGACGGTGGCATCGATTCCCAGGCTGCGGGGCAGACGGTTCAGTCGTACCAGTGGGGTGTTGCCAATCTGCTGAGTGATAGTATCCAGCACCACGGGCGGGATAGAGGGTTTGGTGGTAGCCATGATCTGTAAAGGGCCTATTCTGCAAGAAATGGTGAAGAATGAAGGTTGCGAAATCTTCGGAACCTTTTTTTTGCCATTATTGCCCCGCCCGACGATAACCGCCAAACAGTGGAACCGGTCTTCGCCCGTGATCGTCTCTGATCCCAAATTCAGTAATTAAACTACCCAACTTTTCCAAGTCGAGGCTTTTGTGAAACCCATGCCTTGCGCGTCATGCAACATGCAGCATGCAGCATGCAACGCCACATCTCCCTTTCAATCTACGCCTCAGCAATTGTCTGTTTTTTGTGGGCTGGAGGAACACAGCCTGATCGAGGTGTTTTTTTTAAGTGCGCCCTGCTGATTCTCTCTATCTGGGCATTGACTCGAGGGTCTCGCTAGGCATCTTCTGATTCAATTCCGAACGTTTCCTATCCCACCTTGATTCAGCTGGTCTTCCGGTATGCCCCGGACAGATAGACACGATGATTGCCTGGGGTACCTATGCAGGTATATCAATTCTTAATTGAAGACTCTCAGATCTCTCTCGTGAAGATCATCTGCGCGGGGGCCCAGGGTTCCGCTCAGCTCCGCCAGCTTCGTCTGCAGGAGCCAAGCTTGTGGCTGTGCACAAATTATCTCCACAGCCGAGGTTTTATCCCCTGCAATGGGGAAGGTGATACATTCTGGCATGCTTCCAGTCGAGATGCCAATTCATCAGGGACTTGTTCAAAGGGCGCGCTGGGATCACCCATGACAGCAAATGCGACACCGGAGACACCGATCGAGCCAACGGAGATGAATCTACACGACATCGCTCCAGCACCAAGGCAGTGGCTTCTGCCAAGACCTTCTGGACTCCTCCAGATCCATCGTATCCATTAGACCCATCTTCCTGCTTTATGCATGGCTTGATTGGCTCTGTCAGAGCACACGGCTCGTGTGTTTTTCTTTCGCTTGTATAGACGGTCGCCCTGGTCTTTTTCTCCCCCTTAGCGCTACTGAACTTCCCTTTTGCAGACTTCGTGCATCTTCTCTGACTTGACCCTTGATCTTTCATTTCCGGTCGCATCAGTTTTCTGGCATCGCCGTCCTTTTGGCGAGATGGGCTCTATCCGCTCCTCCGCGTCAAGGGGGCCACACCCGCAGGCGAGTGGAGACATCCTGACGCCGCCGCAAGAGAAAGATCTCCAGGAAAATCCGATGTTGCCTCTTCACGAAAGAAAAACGCATCCTCATCGCTATGTCCTGGGCCTTTTCCGTGTCGACAGTGCCGGTGAGAGCGGCCGTAAGGGATTCCATCCCGCCCACTTTCTTCGCGTATGCTCTAGGAGTGTCTGTACAGCTTCAATGATAGTGAACATCCTTTGGCCCTTTGTCCCGGCTGCAATTGTGATGCATTTTGCACGTCCTGATCTTCACGTCTGGGTCTTTGCCCTCAACTACATCGCCATGGTGCCATCCGCGAATTTGCTCGGGTTTGCCGGTGGGGAGCTGTCTAAGAAGCTACCCAAAGTCCTCGGTGTCTTACTGGAAACGGCATTAAGCGCCGTGGTAGAAATTGTGCTCTTCATGGTCTTGCTTCACAACTCCTCCGAGGAACAGGACTTCATTCCCGTCATCCAAGCTGCCATTCTTGGTTCCATCTTGGCCAACCTGCTTCTCTGTCTAGGGACTTGTTTCTTTGTTGGAGGTCTTAGGCGGAACGAGCAGGTGTTCCACGAGGCGGTCAGTGAGGTTGGAACCGGACTGCTGCTGGTCGCAGGTTTCGGGTTGCTAATCCCGAGCGCTTTCTACACTGCGCTGAAAGGTTCCGTTAATACAGAGTTTACTCTGCACCAATTGGAACAGGATGCGCTGACCATTAGCCGTGCAACTGCTGTTATTCTTCTCGTCGCATTTTTCGTGTAAGTCTGATGTCTGGAAAAGACAGTTGATCGGTAGAACTACAGCTGACTCTTGTTGCTAGATATCTCGTTTTCAACCTGCACAGTCACAACTCCATTTTCGACGAGATTTTCGAGTCGGACGAAGCGCAAGATGAAGACCGAGACCAGGAGCTCCTGAGGGCCAAGCTCACGTTCTTTGAATGCATCGTGGCCATTGTAATCTCCCCTGACCTGTGTATGCATGTCTGCCGTCTTCCTCGTGCAGGAGATTGAGTACATTGTGGCCCTTGGCGTCTCGGACAATTTCATGGGCTTGATTCTGGTCCCTTTGGTTGAAAAGGCTGCCGAGCACCTTACGGCCGTGGACGAAGCTTGGGATAATCAGATGAACTTTGCACTCTTCCATTGCCTGGGTCCTTCGATCCAAACAGCTCTCCTGAACGCCCCGCTCGCTGTCATCGCGGGTTGGGGTCTAGACAAGAAAATGAGTCTCAATTTCGAAATCTTCATGGTTGTTCTCCTGGTGCTCTCAATCCTTGTCGTCGGCAACTTCCTGCGAGATGGAAAGTCCAACTATTTGGAGGGAGCCTTGTGTGTGCTCGTCTATGTCATCATCGCCATCACATCCTGGTACTACCCTGGAGTGGAACAAGCTTCGACCAACCAGGCATAAGACGCCCTCCCAGCGACTGGATCTAAAGTCAATCTTGATATTTAAATTTCTCTATACTATGTGTTATTAGCGTTACAATAAAAGAAAATCTAATGTACAATAGTCACACAACTATGGCCCAAATGGGAAAATTGTTTACAGCCACGTGACCTCACTTATCCTCCGCATCAGTAACCCACCCCCCAATAGTCAAAAAGAGAATGAAAAATCGCTAGAGGCTAAGCACAATCATCATCTCTTGTCCCAAATTGGAGCCCGAAGAAGCTCCGGCCAAAGCTAAGATAAACAATTATCGGACTCAAGTCGGGGAGTTTAAGCTCCACCTTCGTGCCGCATTCCACGCGCTTGAAAGGCATCCCCGCCGATAATGGGGTCTGGAATCTCGGCGGACAAGATATTATCCATACTCAAGGAGAGGCAACTCATCGCCAAGAAGGACGCGATTGAATCTGCTTTGGAGGATCCGGCTACTGGTTACAACAATGCGGAGTGGGTGTCGAGGCATCTGCAGCCGGAGACTCTACTCTCCAGAGAGGAACTGCACTTGTATGCTCCTCAATTTAACAAAGCCTGGCTTGGACGGCAGCTGACATCATGAATAAGATATACCAAGCTCGAGAGTATGGGCCTCCTCCAGCCCATTCTGCGCTCCCCCAGCCTGAACGCGACGCGCCCCTTTCTAGAGGACGACATCCGAACGGCGATCGAATCCTTCGAGTCATCGACAACTACTATTCAGAGACAGACAGAAGCACTCTCACTACAATGCGAGACTCTCAAAAGCCAGTTGCGACGGCAAAGAAACTTGGATCAAGAACGAAGTCGGGACCTCGGACGGCTGCGGAAGAAACATGAAGTTGGGAGGCAGAACACGACAATTGCGGTAATTTCACCGTGCAAAAGGGCCATGGGAAGCATATTACTGATCTTTCACAGGCCAACGAGCTTTCCGACGAGCTAGAGACAAGGTTCAGAAATGCGACGGACAAAACGGGGGCAGAAAACAAACGCATCCTCTCCTCGCTGTCTACTCAACTAAAGCAAGATGATAAGGTACTTGCGAGTCTAGAGGCCCTCATAGCCGGCATTAAGTCTAATAGCAGCGATGCATCTACCGTCAAGCGGACCGCTGATCTGAGTGCAATGCTGGCTGAGACCACTGCACAAGAGATCCACTACCGCTTAGACCGATTGTATCTGGAAGCAATACAATCGAGCAAGTCAGACTATGGCCAAGTGGCTGTAGAAGACGAAACATTCTCAGCACTTGAAGAAGAACTGGAATCATTATATCCTGAAATTGAGATCCTGGCCGAAATGTCCACGAAGCAACAATACCATGAACCCATTCTTCGAGAGATTCACCGTGAACAAGGACAACTTCGGGCAGCGTCGCAGCAAAGGTTGGAACGGGTGAGACTCATCTCCTGCCCTTTTTTGACCCGGCTTAAACTAAAAATATATAACAGACACTTGATACCTTGATTGACATGACTCTGTCCAGGCAGACATTGACGAAGCAACTTGGGGCCCGCGAATCTTCATGTGAATTATTAGAGCAGCTCGCTTCACTATATCAGGCCGAAGCAGCCATTGCTCTGGTGTCTCAGACGTCTTCTCGACGGGAATCCCTCCGACGGCGGTCAATACAGCCTGGTGCTATCTTTGCGGCCAGTCACAACCCGGCTCCGGCACCAGAACAGCCCGTTCTGGAGAGCCTCCTGCGCCGTGTCGGGGTTTCTCCCGAATCTGTACTTCGGCCACGTGCGGAGGGCGGCAGTGCTCAAGAACTCCACGAGAAGCGGATGCACTTGTCGGAAACATTACGGAGTTTCGGGGCAGCAGTAGAATCACCTTTGGCGGCACAGCTAGCTCCGGTGGACAATGCATCCCAACTTCTGTTCTCCTCATTGAAGACCGATTCGCACTTTGAAACGTCACTGCGCGACCCCGGTCAAGAAGAAGCATTATCAGGCCTACAGGCCCAACTTGCCCAACTTCAAAGAGGCGTGCAAGGGCTCGATTTGGAAGTACTCCACCAGCGAGACAAGGCACAAGATAGATTCCTCGAGCGATGGAGCTAGATCTGGGGCCTTGTTGCCTAATGTATGGCCCGATAAATCGTACAAAGTCAGTGGGGGCCATTAATCATAGAAGCATTACAATGTCAGCCATAAGCTCTCGTCACACCTCAGCCCGTCATTTATTCTTTGATGGGGACAGACTTCAAACAACCAACAAGAATCTGCAACCGTGATTCGGCCTGCATTGTGGCTGGTGATACGCCACCACGTCCTGCATGCATCGGCTCTGTGACGCGCATTGTTGCGCGGGAGATCGCGATCGAGTTCCACCCGGTCAACCCCAAATGATGTCAAATTTGCCGGGACCCATGTCTTCTTGGGCCAGAGCCTCATTTCTTTGAATACTTTTCTAGTGGAAACGAAGACTTTCTCTGTGTGTCGATCGCCTTCCTCGCGCAAGGCGGACTGGGCTGAGCTAGGAAAACTGGAAAGTTCTACAATTCGAACCCTACACGTAGAAAAGAGAATCCGCAACAAAAGTGCGCTTGGAATAGTCGGAAAATACCTTGTCCTGTTATCGCTCATAGTTATCTGATGTTGAAACAAATTGAAGTTTATGTCCTAACTCTATCGCTTGGTACAGAAGTTCTTGCCCGACGATGGCGGTCTCACCAGACTCGCGAAGTATACTATAGAGAAGCCAGGCAAGACCCCAAGACCTGAGCCGAGCCAAGTATTGAAATCAGTGAGGTCTCCTACAATATATCCAACATACCAGACATCATCTCGAAGAGGTCACTTTGTCATCCGCGTTCTCCCTGCTGACTCGCTGCGCCCCTGTGACCGACTATCTATCAGCCACACCAGAAAGCCCCCCCCCCCTCCACCCAAAAAAACCCAGAAAACAGAAAATAGAAAATAAAAAATAAAATAAAAAAGCTGTAAAAGGTCTTGCAAAAAGGACACTGCTGCCTTCACTATACTACGCTTGATAATGGAGACCCAACAACAACCGCATATAACAGTGCGGGTTTGGAAACCATATTCTTTCTTCATTATGGCTCTGAATAGATTACCTGTCCCGTGTTAGATTCGCTATACTGTGCTCCAGACAAGGACGGTTGAGCTCTGTGACGGATCAAAAAAATCACCTGCGATACGCCTATGACCATTACCACATGCCTTTGAGGGTTCTTCTTAGGTAGGCATCGTTTTCTCTACTGCTCGTTTCACCTTCCTTTCTACTCTGTCTACGCGGGTCTTTTATGTCTTATCTGCGGGACGACGAAACATCTAGTATCAGTTCCGTTGATCATGATATTGTCTTTTTGGCGAATATCTTGCTCGACTGCCTCTTTGTATGTCGAGGCATTGTTTGCCCTGAGACTTCCGATCTCCATCTTGCCCTCCGATCTGCCTTGGTGCTTGCTGTCATGTTGTCAGATATTGATGAAACCGATCTATGTAGCGAGCACAGCACCTATTTCTCAGGAACCTACGACGACCCGTTCCCTCGAAGACTTCCAAGGCGTCTCAGACGTCGGTCCCCGGTCCGCAATAGACCTTTGCCGAGAGATCGATACTCTAACGACACAGAGTACTCTCGATCTGATACTCTCAGAGACTGTGACTCTGTGATATCAGACTGCTCGTTCTACGAGTTAAGGAAATACATCTCTAAGCCCGTCTCAAGCCTAGACATGGTCAGGCCCAGAAAGTGGCTGTCTTTACTTCTGGGCCTGGATTTCCTAGACGTTCTCAAGAAAAGGAAGGGGAGCAGTAATAGAAGGGAGGGGGAAAAGCCATCCCGAAAGTGTCCATCACGGGAATTTGTGGTCGACCCTCGAGAGGAACTGTGCGAACCGGACTTTCGTCGAGAACGGCGTACCTTTAGGACTCGATATAGGCTACCCAGAATGGATTCAGAACCCCTTTCTGAGCTACAAAGCGGTCGTCGGTCCGGAGATGACCACCCTAGGACTTCGGAGAACCGAGAGCCCCGGGAATATCGGTCTCGTCGAGAAGTGTCCATAGGGGCTGAGCGGAGGCCACTCCGACAAGGACGGCGGAAACCTCCAGAACGCACATTTGAGGTACGTAAGATCACACCCTTGAGAGACAGCCTCGTTCTTACTGGGCTCAACAGGTAGGCCGTGAAAGCGCGCGCGCGTTCCAGGAAACCACAACCAGCCGATACACCAGAGTGGAAGAGGCCATGCCAAACGAGTCAACATCGGCCAAAAGAGGTCGAACCTTGGAAACCAGATTACCAAGACAGGGAGGCTATGCACGCCCAAACAACGGGCCCGAACCGACCATGATTGTGCACCGCGCACCGCGACCTCGAGCGAGATCCCCCTGGCCCCAACGCCGCGAGAATCGCAATGTCGAGGAAAGAGCCCCTCGTATTGACATTGAAGAGCGATCACCTAGAATGCAGCCCCGAATTATACAATATGGAGTTGGCGGACTCGTGGACTCGGGTACTGAGGTCCTCACTCGGGTCCGGTCTCGTCAGGGCGATATACAAATCCGGGATGATAAATGGGTCGAGACGGAAACGAATCGCAACACACGGCGCAATGGAGAACGAGCTGCCCGTCCCTATGGACCGAATTGCTGAAGCAAGATGATTGAGCGTGTTTTGAAGTAAGTCGTGATCTGGCCACAATGAGTGATGTGTCTGCCGTCATCGCATGATACCATGATACCCGGGGTTGGAGTACGGAGTTTCACTTGGAGCTCTATGAATTCTCTTTTTTGTTGTTCTTTCATATTTCCACATTTCCACAGACGGTTCCGAGTCCGAGTGAAAGCCGGTGTGAAGTAGTGGAGAAATGCGCGGTGTTGAAGTCCCGAAGCGGGTCACATCACCTTATCTTTCGCCCCTGTAGTTTTCCCTGTTCCCAGTTTCCAGTTTCCGATCTTCATTTTTCTGCTCTGCTTCAGTCTCTTCCCAGTACTCTTGGATCTTGAAATTTCCAAATTCCATCGTTTCTTGTCTTTCGATCGGGATTGACCATTGACCAGGGTTGCTCATGGGGTTGATTGGACGATAGTGAGTTCCGCGGCGATGGCGCGGTGGCTTTTTTGGGCATACCACGTTAACCACCGTCAGGCTGTCAGGCCCATTACGTTTCACAGATTCTCGATCGATTACATCTCCGCTGACCGGCTCTTCCTGCTACACTCCGCTCGCTTATCATTGCGCATCTTACCCCTCGCCGTGATCTGGGATCGCCACGCCAGTACAAAGCTCTCGCGTCTTTGGGTGTCCTAAAATGAGATACCTACTCAAGGAGTATCCGTCCACCTCTAGGCCCGGGTGCGCTCTTTCCTCTTGCTCCACCCCGTTAGCAGACTCCCGCGGGCAATAAACCACGGCAGCATGACCGCCGTCATGGTGCAGACTGAATGCGCGAGCCAGAGCGCAAAATCCCCCCGATCCATGCTGAAACTGGGCTCCCCAGCCGGTAAAACAGAGACGACGATATCTCAAACTCCAGTGAATGGAGCCGCGATGGTCTTTGACATTGCGCCGGAGACGGCTTTACATCGGCTATGCGACAATGTCGAGAAGTTGAATAGCTATTTCGCGACGAATCCCGGCGGCACAGACCCGAACTCATTCGTCTCCACACCCGTGGAGGGCGAAATACCAGGGGATGAAGGGTCATCCGTTGTAGCAGTGGGCCTACACTGCGGAGATGTGGAGGACCCGGCTGTTCGGACCCGCGAAGAAGCCTTCCAACTAGCACTGCTCGCCAGGAAGTTCCTATCAAAGAAGATCCCTCCGATCTCGATACGAGACTACGTGCTGCGACTGCATCGGTATTGTCCCATGTCTACAGCCGTGTTACTCGCTGCAAGCCATTATATCACAAGAATGACGCTTTCAGAGAAAGTCCTTCGCGTCACACCGAAGAACATGCACCGGCTTGTCCTCGCGGGCCTTCTCGTGGCTACGAAAGCTCTGGAAGATCTGAGCTATCCACATGGCCGAGTTGCTAAAGTGGGCGGAGTCAGTGAACATGAGCTGTCCAAACTGGAGATCAGCTTTTGCTTTTTGGCCAACTTTGAATTGCGCGTGGATGCGCAGATGATGATGGACGAGATCACATTTCACAAGATCACAAAAGAAGGCACAGTTATATAATACATATCTTTTATCAAGAGTCGCCATGTAAATATCAAAACTTTCTCTACCGTTATGTGACTGGTCTGTCTATCGTGCGACTGACAGGTCATAAGCTCCTGCGTTCCCAAGATCCGCACTTTCCTGAGCTCCATGCTCCTCTGTCCACAATCCAGTCCTTTAGGAGACTCATATATATCTACGAAACTTTAATAGCCTAGTTAACAATAGCTAGAGCTACTGAGGATAGCTACAGCCAACAGGAAACGGCGAATTTCTTGATATACTATCATCAGTCTTCTATATTCCAACTTCATTATATGCCTGCTTCTCTTCTCCTATCAATAGTGGCTGCCCTATTCGGCGAAGTGAAGAGATAGAGAGCCAAAAGTGCCAAATTTCTAAATTTTGACTTATTCGAGATGACTTCTCCTAGGTCGTAGAATGCGGCTGCCTATGTGGCTGAGTAATCGGCCATGTGCGTGTCGCTAATCTGAAGCCAAAAGTTAAGATACTTCTTTTCTCGTAGAGAATCCAGGTGAAACGAAGAGAGTTCATCCATAAGAACCGCAGCTTATCGTGTCAGCGTTAGGAGTATAGCGCGTTTTTGAGTCTCCTCTCCTTAACGTTCAAACGTTTCCCCGACTCCAAAAAAAGTCCGCCCTTTAGCCGCCGATCCCCAGATCCCCCGACGCCAACTCTCCTTCCACATCGTCAGCTCTACACTCACTGTCAACCGGGTTTCAAGTGCGCTGGTGATAGGGTTCCGCCATGTACCATTAGAGGCCGCAATTCATTCAAGTTCCCGAATTCGACTCCTTTGTCCTCCCTCGCAGCTTCCCCATTGTACGACAATATCCAATGTCTTCCAAGTCCTCCCCAACAGAGACCCAGGGCAGTATTCCCTCGGGCCAGAACTCCGGTTCCACATCCTCAAACGACAAGGGCATCTTAAACTCGCTGGATGCCGACGTCGAACTCAAGACCATGGCGCCCAGTGCGCCCAAGCGCTCAATCCCCCTGGGGGAAGACATTATGCAACTGGCACGAATTGGAGAGATTGGCGCCATGCAGAATCTGTTTGCGACCAAAAAATTGACAGCGAATCACCGCGATGAGGAAGGAATCACCCCACTACATGTTTGTTTGCCCTCTCCTGGCGGGTTGTGTCTCCGGGATAGGAGACGCGACAGGACACATAGCTAACGATTGTATAAATTCTAATTAGTGGGCCGCGATCAACAACCAATATGCGATGTGCAAGTTCCTCCTTGACTCCGGCGCCGACGTGAACGCCAAGGGTGGAGAGTCGGTGGCTACCCCGGCCATGTGGGCGGCGCAACGGTGCCACTACTATATTGTCAACCTTCTGCTCAACCACGGAGCGGATCCCCTCTTGACCGATGTGCAAGGTTACAACATTCTTCATCTCGCGACCATCGATGGAAACGCGTTCCTCCTGGTGCTGCTGCTACACCAAGAAATCCCGGTGGACGTGGTCGACCAACAAGGTCACACTGGGTTGATGTGGGCTGCCTACAAGGGATATCCTATTTTGGTGGATCTGTTCTTGCGCTGGGGTGCCAATACCAATGCGGTGGATGAGGGCGGCCTGACGCCACTCCACTGGGCATTAGTGAAAGGCTCCCTGCCCTGTGTCCTGAAGATGCTGGAATACGGTGCGAACAGGTTCGCAAAGACCAGAGACGGAAAGTCTCCGATGACCGTGGCGCAGGAAATGAACACTTTGCGCATCTGGACACGCGCTCTTAATGAGCGTGGCTACGAGCCCGATGGCAACCAGAAGACGGTGCCTATGGGATTGTCTGGCTGGGTCCGGAACAAGAGTCTCATGGCGAAATTCTTCTTCCTATGGCCCTTCCTGACCATTCTGGTCGCTGTATGGATACTCAGCAACCTAGCCATCTTTATCAGCGTTCCACTCACACTGGCAACGCTGTTTGGTATGCAATGGGTTGCGCAGCAATTAGCGAATCGTGGACCAGCTGAATTTCGCATTCTGCAAAAAACGGTATATCGTCCAGTCCAAACGCCTATGCCTTCAGAGAGACTGACAATCTATAGCCATATCTGGCTGGTGTGTTCGCAGGTACATTGTTCTGGGTTGGCTTTTGTTATGCCTTCAAGGTTTTGCCCGGTGAGTTGAATGCAGAATGCCCTTTTATCCTTGACTGACTGTATCTAGGTACATATTCTTCGTCTCCCATTTTGAACATCCTTTTCGCCATCTTCTACGCCCTTACCGCCTTTTTCTATATTATGGCCATGGTTGGAGACCCGGGATACGTCCCGAAGATTAGCAGTAGAAACCAGCAGAGAGAGATGGTTAACCAGCTCTTTGAATTGTGGAAATTTGACGAAGAAAACTTCTGTGTTCCTTGCATGTCGAGAAAGCCCCTTCGCAGCAAGCACTGCCGCCGTTGCGGCCGCTGTGTCGCAAAGCACGACCAGTACGTTCTTCTACCTGCTCTACCTGCTCCTTATTGGCCCCATACTTACAATCTCCAAGCCACTGCCCTTGGATCGACAACTGCGTTGGAGCGAACAACCTTCGTCACTTCGTTCTCTACATTGTGTGTCTCGAAATCGGCATTATTCTCTTTGTGCAGCTCACCATTCGCTGTGAGTATTTCCGATTGTCGATTAATATGATTAAGTTGACTAATTGCCTTAGACATCAACAACCTGCCATCGACGAATTCCCAGTGCAGCGTAGTCAAGGATGCTCTATGCGATTATGTGACTCGCGACACTTTCGCCCTGGTCATCAACGTCTGGATTATTCTTCAATTGGTCTGGGTCACGATGCTGTGCGCTGTTCAACTCGTCCAGGTTTCGCGCAACCAGACGACGTATGAGAACATGAGAGGACACCACATCGACCGTTCCTATCCCAGCTCTCAAGCCTTTGCCTCGGCCATGACTGCTGGCACGACTTCGCTGGACGCTGCTGGTCTCACCGCCGCCGGACAGGGACCGAACCCGGCCCTGGCACGACCTCCCGCCCCGCGTCGCCGCCACGGCTGTTTCCAGCAGTGGTCATCCCTTCTGGGTATCGACACCTTCTTCGCTACTGCACGCGATGGACTGCGCGATGGACCTCATGCCGCACGGCCCCGCAACCCTTTCTCACGCGGGGTGGTAGGCAACTGCCGCGACTTCTGGTGCGATCCGGCCCCGATCTTTGGCAAGCGTGAAACTGGAGCTGCAATGCTGGGCGGTGAGGTGGTGAATTATAACGACATGTACGAAACCCCGATGCGCATGCACGCCGGAGCTCGTGATGGGGGAGCCTATCACAGCGTGGCTGCTGAAGATTCCGAACACATGGTTTGAATGATGATGAGCTCTCTCCAACAATGGTTTTTGGAGCCTTGCATTTTAATGTCTGTATACTCGGTTTCAGTTCCAAGTTTCACTATATGACTGCAGCGTCGGTGTTGCATTGCGTGGCATGTTCCTTTTGCATTTGATGTTTTTATCTCATGTTGTTACATTTAGAACTTGTACAGTGAACGCCACATAATGAACTATCTTTCTTTGAAGCCTTCTTTGTGACTACTGGCGTACGTCTTTCTCGAGTCCTAGTGCAATCTTAGGGTCCTGCAGGGGAATTCTTCCTGCGTAGGACGATCCCTGCGGCTTTTCTGCAGGGGCTCTTCTAGGAAGCTGTCCATTTCCGCTGCCAGCCCCGACCCGAGGCCACGGCCCAGCGATACCCACTTTCAATCCTGCCTCGGGGGCATGGACACAACTGCCAAGCTGCCGAGTCCACCGCCATACAATCAGTCGACCATTTGAATCTCTCACCCCTAGTGGGCAGGCCCATCCCGAATGTCCGAGCTGGGAAAGAAAACGTCGACCGAGAAGGGAAAGCAGTAAGCCGATCCGATATCGCCGAGGCGCGGACCCTCCGGACTTCCACGAGTGAGCGAAGATCGCATCTTGGCGAGCTCGCCAGTTCTAGGCTTTTTCAACCAAAACAAGCATATAGGATACCACCTAGGGCACACGCAAAGTGCCCCATTTAAGGGAGAAATCCTAGAGCCACACATTGTCGGGCCATTAGCCTGGTAGCGGGTCCCCGGTAGCCGGAACGACCAGGAGGAAACCTGCCAGGAGACGGCTCCATCTCGCTAGACACGTAGTAGGTAAAAGATTGACGGGGTATGGTCTGCGGACCCAGTCCGGATGGGATGTCAGAGTGGCCAGATCAGGAACATGTCGCCAGACGGAACAAGCAAGACCGACAGTTGCCACACAAATACGAGGCGGTGCTACATACCACGGACCGGAAATCGGAGTTTCTGATCAGATAAAAAAAATTCACAAGTTATCTGATGGCGCCACGCAGTTGGACCCACTCAATGTCTCGGGTGCTGTACCGTATGTAATCGGTGTATCTAGGGAATCGGTGTAATTTCTATGGTCTCCGTGTCTACTGTTTGAGGGTCTGGTCCTTTCGGTTTGGACCCGAGCTACTTAGCATTGCCGATCGTCAGAATATTTGGTCATGATCGGGTCGTGATCAGCGTGGTTGTCGCTTCCAGCCGTAGGTACTATATTCGCTGGTGAAGATGGCGTTCAGCGGTTTCAGGTACAAGTGCAATACATGAAGGGTTGGTAAGTACCCCTCAAGCTCTGCCCAGTAGGATTGCCATGTCTTGGTTCTGGTCTTGGGTTTCTTAGGGGCTCCACACTTCAGTCCTTTCATCCATGTGCAAAGTTTTCAGTGTGGGAAGAGATTTGGGGGAAAGTGTATCAGGCTGCAGAGTCCCTCCCAGTAATTCTTTTTAGGGAGAGGAGTAGGGATCAATTGGAGCATCATTCATTAAATCCAAGGATCTAGAGTAACAGGACGGGGTGTCTAAAGTAATTCAAAACAAACAAAAATAAATCACAGCATGGCGCGCAACCGGGTGTCCTGCACCAGAGCTCCCGACAGCTGCTCTCCGAACACAGAGCTGACCATCTCGCCACCGCGAACCGCCAAGATGGACAGAAGGCTGTCGCTTAGGCCGTGGGTCTTTTCGTTACATCCCTGCAGCCAGATACCAGCGTGCTGGCTGACCTTGCTGCCATCTAGGCTGACGCGGTAATCCCGGCCGGGGGCCCAAGCCGCCTGGCCGGCAGGCCGCAAGGCACGCACCTGCTCTAGCAGCTGCTCGTGCGCGTCGCGCTGGTAGCCAGTGGCCACCATGATAGCATCCACCTCCAGGATTTCCTTGCCTTCAGTAGGCTCGTCCTCGATCGACTTAACGTGGATGCGCATGCGGTTGGCAGGGTTGTGGTGCTCGATGCGTGCGACCTTGCGCTCAGGCAGGATGCGGTGTTGCCACTGGGTCTGGTCGGGGTTCTTGATGCGCTGCAGGTACATGGTGTTGTAGATCTCCTCGATCAGCTCAAGGCGAACCACACTGTAGTTGGTGGCCTTCTCGGTAGCAATGCGTTTGTGGCGCTCTTCCGTGGGCAGCTTGAAGAACTTGTCCACGCGCTCGGGGTTGAAAATCTCATTGACACTGGAATCACTTCGTTAGTATATATATATATATATATATATATATATATGTAGCTTTTGGTCAGGTGGTGTTCTAATGGGTAAAACATACAAGGGAGAATCGTCACTGGGACGCAGGGCGGTATCACGAAGGATCAGAGTCGTACGGGAGTTAGGATAGCGGCGCTGCAGGTCGTGGAAGATCTCTGCGGCGCTCTGGCCACTTCCAACAACGGCGATGTTGTAGGGCTTGGTCTCGTCCCTTAAAACGGTAGGGAGGACGGTGCAGTACTTGGAAGAGTGCATGATGCGCTGATCCTGGGGGAAGCCTGGGGGCATCTTGGCCTTGCCACCCAGAGCCACGACGACTTTGCGAGCTCTCCGGGAGGAGATCTCGCCAGTCTCAGAGTTGCGCGAGCGAACAATAAAGAAATCAACCTTGCCGTCGGTCTTGCTGCCGGGGACCACCTCCACAACCTCCTCGCCGTAGGAGACAACGTTCTCGAACCGCTGGGCGCACCAGCGCATGTAATCCTCAAACTCCATACGAGCGGGCAGAAAAGTGCCCAGGTTGGTGAAGTGGATAAGGCGGTCCTTGCTATGCAAATAGTTCAGGAAGGTGAAGCTGCTGCGAGGATCGCGGAGGGTGGCAAGGTCCTTAATGAAGGAAATCTGCATGCGCGAGCCAGGGACCAGCATACCAGAGTGCCAGGCAAACTGCTTTTGGCGCTCGAGGAAGCACACCTTGGGCTTGAAGCCGGCTGGGGCGTTACGGTTAAGGGCTGGGTCAATGGCATCGTGCAGGGCGATACCAATTGCTAGAGAGGCAGGACCGAAGCCCACGCAGAGCAAGTCGTGCATCTCATTGGAGGGGGTCGCGCGCAGCATGGAGCGAGCAGCAGCTGGCTGCCCACGCGGCTGCGTGTCGACAAAGGGCAGCTCGGACTTTCGGGACATAGGCTCCATGGTTCAAGCTCGAGGGGACAAGTAGGGAAAAGGTAGAAGAGGTAAATAGAGCCCGGGCTTCAGGAACCAAGGACCAGAGAACCAAGAAGCTAAGCTGTTGCAGAATGTAAAAAATGAGAGCAGCTTCAGGCAATAAGCGTCGGTTATGTACAAAAGCGAGCCGATCTCATCAGCAGGTCCCACTCTCCGGAGATTTCTGTTCCTGGGCACAGTCGGATCGAAGCGAATGGGGATTCAACTTGACGTGCCGTACGATACGTTTCCGGTTCCACCAGGGAGGTTCTCGGAGCTAAGGAAAACTCGAGTGAAGTGGTATGACGAGATCTTATTCACCAGATTTCGGGAGCGGATCAGATAAAAAAAAATCACCATGTGGATACGACGTCTGGGCGTTTTCTGTTGCTGGGAAGATGGGCGTATTATTTTCCAAAGGTTCCATTTATCAATCAGTCTCCACTGTCCTTCGTTTATCCCAGGCGAATCCCGGGAAACGGCACAACTTATATATCTCCTGCTTCTAGTTATGTTCCTAAACACCAACAGAGCGACGGTTCCCCACCTGCGAGTCAACAGGTTCCTGCACAAGGGACAACCTTGCAGGTTCCCAAATCGGAAAACCCATTAAATGAAAGCAAGATGACGAAAACCAAAAGCAAGAAGGCTAAACGCTACCCGCAGATGCCCGACATCGGGAAAATTGGGTAGAGAGTACATCTAGCGGAGGGCGTCCGGCTAGTCAAGGTGCGCGTACCAGTGACTCCGCGTAGGTGGCTTGGCAACGCACTGGGCGAGGGAAAATTCGTGGAAGTGGGGGGAGGGGCTCTGGGAAAAGGACTCCTGAGGCTTCACCGCGAGTCCGGTTTTTTATTTTGAATTTTTATTGTTTTGTTTTGCTTTTAAATTTAATTTTAACTTTTTTTTCTTTTTTCTTTTTCTTTTTTTTTTTTTTTTTTTGACTCTCGTTGATTTTTCCCGAAACGTGGGGTTGCAAATGAGCACGGGCATCGTACGCACCGTACAACGTAGGATCGTCCATCTTCCTTCTCTTTTCTCTTACAGTTTCCAACGTTCTATCAAATAATTCTATTCTTCCATGTACTCTACTTTCCCTATGAGGAAACCCTTACAGTAGAAAAAATAAAATGACAGACTTCGTGCGAGATTACGTACGTCATCCAACTTGTGTACCCGTGAACCGGTCATGAAAACAATCTTGGCCCACATTCCATCGAGCCGTTTCATGCTGTGGCTAGTGGGGGAAAATATTGCAGCGGTTGCCGAGAAGAATTATAAAACAATTAAACAATAATTCTAAGGTTCGTAGGGCAACTTTTACCTTTTTATTCATTGATTCAGGTAATACATAAGTTATAGGCACATCAAAATAAAAATAATCGGTCTCCAAGAGGGTCTCGCGCTCGGAGCTTGCTTCCCAGCTAGGCATCCACAGTGTTCTTTTTGGCGCTTGTCTCGGTGTCTGCGACCAGCAGATCATCGGACTCCACGATTGGAAATCCACGACCTCTGGACCCCTCATCTGCTCGCGCTTTTTACAGGTTCCCTTCCCATCCATCACTAGTTTCAAACCACGGGCCCTTTCTGTCAGACGCCTTGGTCATTGCTTCGCGGCTCCCTCTGCATATAGTCGCAGACCATCGGGCCCGAGCAGCCACTCACAGTGCACGCAATAAGCAGTCTATAAGCAACATTCGAGGATGCTCTATTGACCCGAAGTGGAACCCTACCTGTCCTCCGATGGAGCGATTTACTACCTTCCCGGCCGTCACGGGCGATGAAAGCGCTGCCCGCGCTATAATTTCATGCCCGGTGGATCATTGTCGTATTCCCGCCAACTTGGTCGCTCTTTGCTGGGCCCTTTTATTGCGATCGTTCACAGCCGAAGATCATCCCGTGTTTCTACTGAACGAGTCTCCCGTTAAAGCAGACTTGATAGCCCGGACGATCCGTCCTGTTGCATCGGATGCATTGTCTGAGACTTCAGTAAACAATACCGCGGTAATCATTCAAGATTCATCAGACCAGGACCACGCAGTATCCTCCTCTACTCTGGCGTGGAAATTGAATCTCTTCTCCCAAACGAGCACGCTGCATTCATCAGCAGGCATGGACGAGGCCTTTTTGCTGCAGCTGGGAAACCAGCTAACGCAAATTGTCCAACAGCAGGTTGCAAAGTCGGGCTTCCAGCTAGAACTGTCGACTGCCGAGCTTCCTGCTCTGTCCATCTCCAATCCGTCACCGTGCATATTGCCAGGGCCACAGTTGCTTCACAAGCTAGCTCTCAGCGGTGCTAACGACTCCGCCCCTGCCATTGAATTCTTGGCGGCGGATGGAAGCATTCGTTGTCTAACGTATAGTTCTTTGGATCGACTGTCTTCGAAGCTTGCGGCAAAGATCCTCTCGGCTTCTGCAGCTCAGGTTAATCATGCACAGAGGTTTGTGGTGCCCGTGCTCCTGCCTCAGTCTGTGGAGTTGTACATCTCGCAGTTGGCAATTTTGAAGGCCGGTGGAGCATTCTGTCCATTGAACACCGACGCACCTCCGGACAGGATAGAATTTATCATCCAGGATGTAGCAGCATCCGTTGTAATTACTCGGGATGCCCTGGCCACAAGGATGCCCCAGGACGAGCATCTGGCTGTGATCAAGGTGGATGGAATTGAAACGAACGAGACGAACGACCCGAACTTTATAGAACCGGTGGTGCATAGCTCCCCTACCGATCTGGCCTATGTCATGTACACCTCCGGATCTACAGGCCGCCCCAAAGGCGTTGGGGTCTCTCATTTGGCTGCTACCCAATCGTTACTTGCGCATAATGACTTGATACCCCATTTCAATCGGTTTTTGCAATTTGCATCGCCCACGTTTGATGTTTCCGTTTTTGAAATTTTCTTCCCTTTTATGCGAGGAGCAACCCTCATCGGCTCCGAGAGAGAGCAGATGCTGCTGGACATTTCACACGTTATGACCGAAATGAAAGTTGACGGTGCGGAGTTGACACCCACCGTGGCAGGAGAACTGCTACGCACACGAGCAGCCGCGCCGTTTTTGCGGGTTCTGCTGACCATTGGAGAAATGCTCACCAAACATGTTGTGGAGGAGTTTGGTCAGTCGGAGGACTCGGTGGGTATTCTTCATGGAATGTATGGACCAACCGAAGCTGCGATTCACTGTACCGCGGCCACACACTTCTCGGCCAGTTCCCGAGTAAACTTGATTGGCGAGCCTTTCAAAACAGTCTCTGCTTTTATCATGTCTATGGACTTTGACGACAAATCTTCCTTGGGTCTTCAACCCCTTCCGCTGGGTGAGATTGGTGAGCTTGTCGTGGGCGGTCCCCAGCTTGCTGATGGTTATATCAATCGGCCTGAAGAGAACGCCAAGGCATTCATCGAGAGTCCCCAATATGGTCGACTTTACCGGACTGGTGACAAAGCTCGTATGTTGCCTTCTGGAGAGATCGAATGCCTTGGCCGTCTTTCCAGCGGTCAGGTCAAGCTCCGAGGCCAGCGGATTGAGCTCGGTGAAATTGAACATGTAATTTGCCGAGCCCAGGACATTCGAAGTGCTGTTGCCATTGTCAGTGGCGGAAGCTTGGTTTCATTTGTTCTTGTCAGCGATAAAGGTACCACTGATCGTGCCCTACGAGATATCTGTCGTCAATGGTTACCTCGATATATGGTCCCCAGTGAATTCATCCTGGTCAATCAGTTTCCTCAGCTACCATCAGGCAAAATTGATCGCAAGGCCCTGGAAGCTGATTTTATCCGCCTCCGCAGTACTTCACAATCTGTGGATCAACAGCAGTTCCGGGACGAGATCGAAGAGACCATCGTCTCGTGTGTGGTCGACGTGCTTGGTAGGAAACTTTCTCCAGAGGAGTCTCTGACAGCCGCTGGTCTCGATTCTCTTGCCGCGATTCGGCTTGCCTCTCATCTTTTGGGTGCTGGTATTCCTTCGGACGTGGCTCGTCTGTTGGAAGCTGATTGTGTGGAGGGGATATGGCAGCTCGCGAGAGATACGGAGAAGACGCAGACAACCGAGGCTTCCCAAGCAGGCCTTGTGAAAATCCGCCAATTAGTTGCAGATGCCGGTGCTTCAAGGATAGAGTCACTCGGATTGAGTGCACAAGTGTCTGAGATCGAACCATGTAGCCATATTCAACAGGCGATGATACTGGAAACCGCCCGAGACGCCAAAGCATACTGTAACTGGATCGAATTGGAATTTCAACGTTCGAAATCAATTGATTACACCGCTGTCCAGAACGCATTTGTCCAGCTCTTCCTACGAAATGATCTGCTGCGATCAGGGTTCGTGGAGATCGGTCTCAAGGATCATTCATATGCTCGCTTCACAAGAAAAATTCTCAATGAGCAGCTGTTTCTAAAGCGCGACACGTTTGACTATGATCTCCCTTTGGTTGCAGAGCTAGATCTCCTCCAGCCTATTCGGATTCAGCTGAGGGAATCACAGAAGCACATCCGAGTACTGGTGCACATTCACCATGCTTTGTACGATGGATGGTCCTGGCAGTTAATATTACAAGATCTTCATCGCCTTTTGCTTGGGGAAGATCTGCCACCAAAATCTGCATACAACATCGTAACTGATTTCTTCATCGAGCATAAACTGAGCGGATCCACCAACGAGTCTTCTATATTTTGGCGTGATCAACTGCAAGGTGCCTCTGGCGCGAACTTTCCTAAGTTTCATGGAAAAACTGACGTCTCTGCAAGTACCCACGTGGCCACCCGGGTGCTCGAGGTCTCTGTATCAAAACTCAACGATGTATCACAGCATCTAAGAGTGAGCCGACAGACAATTTTTCAGGCCGCATACTGCTACATTCTCTCTTCCTATCTTGGCTTTGATGATGTCGTCTTCGGTACGGTCTTCTCTGGTCGTACCTTGCCGGTCAAAGGAATTGAAACGGTCCTGGGACCGTGTATTCGAACGCTTCCTACGCGCATGGATCTCGGCAAGATGCAAAATGTGACGGATCTCTTACTGGCAATCCAAAACATGAACCTCAAGTCTCTGGAGCATGGAAACCTTCCTTTGCAAGACATCAAGAAGGCTTCTGGTATTGAAATGCACTTGAGCCTGTTCGACACGGCGCTCGTGTGGCAAGAAAGCATTTGGTCCAACGACGAACACCGCGACTTGTTCTGGGAAGTTGGGGCTGCGGAATTCTTAGAGTTCGCCCTTTTGCTCGAGTTTGAGCCCAGACAAGACAAAATTTTTGCGAAGGCCACTTGCCAGGGCTCTATTCTGCCCTTCAAACAAGCACAGATTCTCTTGGAACAGATCGACCATGTGGCATCCATCTTTATCGACCTTCCTGCCCTTCTCATCGACCAAATCGGCGGCTATCTTCCTCAGGCAACCCTTTCAATTTCCACCTCTGAGTTCGAACGCCAGCAGGAACTTCCATGTTTCATTTCAGGGGTTGAAATTGCGTCCATCAATCCTGCTACAGGTATTTGCACTATCTACCCGAATTTCCCATCATCTACATCCCCAGGAAACACGGAAATGCCGATCAAAAAGACGTTTGCCATGGTTGTGACAGATCAGACTGCCACCGGCCTTCTTCCCCGCGGCGCATATGGAGAAATATGCTTTGGTGGCGATCAAATGGTAAGTCTTCTGAAATTTGCTTATTCGAGCAAAGACTAATATTATTTGAAAGGCAAATGTTCTTCCTGATACGAAAATCCCAGATGCGGGAAGGTTCATTGAGAACCGTGAGCATGGCCGACTGTTCATGACTGGAGAATATGGAAGGCTACTTGCAGACGGCTCGATCATGCTCCTTCCAAGCCGTGACCAGCTCAAACTGCATGGCCAGTGTATCGATCTGGTTGAGATAGATCGAGCCATTATCTCGTCAGAGTTGGTTGAGAATGCTTGCAGTGTTGTCTGGAACGAGCCTTCTACGAACCAGCAGCAATTGGCAGCCTTTTGGGTCTCTAAAGAGAAGATTTTGGACAGCGTGCAGCTCGAATCATTGACAGAGCGCCTCTTCTCTGAGATTTCCATGAGGCTTCCATTTTCCGAAATCCCGTCCCTTCTTGTCTCTGTCAATGAGATACCCATGACCGAAGCCCACCGGAGAGATTATGCCAAAATTTTTAACAAGCTCGAACGGTCGACCTCGGAAGATCTCAAAATATTCTCGCGCAAGCTTGGTGTAGCTGAGGTTGATGATCCTCTCACCGATATCGAGAGCACTATTGCGAGGGCCCTATCAGCTGTCACTGCAGTCGGCCTTCAGCATATCCGCAAACACACATCCTTTTACAAGCTTGGTTTGGATTCCCTGAGTGCCATTTCCTTGTCGCGGAGATTACAAAATGATGGCTGTGGAAGACTCCCTATTTCGACGATTCTAAGATACAGCTCTGTCACTCAGCTGGCTGCAGTCGTTCCCAGCTTGACAAATGGACATAAAGCCGAGCAGCCTCCGGCGGAGAATTCCATGCCGACGCTGGATGAGACCTTTGTACTTGCAGTCAAGGATGAATTTGATACCACAGATATACCTGTCGATCGCATCTATCCATGTACGCCATTGCAGGAAGCGATGCTGGCCTCCGATTCCGATGTTGACTCAGCCTACTTCAATCATCTGCTACTTCGTGTGACCACGGATGTTGAGACATTGAGAGCCGCATGGTCCCAGATGCTGCAAAGACATGACATCCTCCGAACTTGTTTCCGGTCAACCAACGATAAGCGATTTGCCTTTGCCCAAGTGGTGTTAAGCCAAGCGGTCTTGCCTTGGACTGAAGTCGAGATATCCGACGAAGTTGACCAGCACGTTGAGGAGAGAAAAGCGGAGTTTGAGTGCCAATCTCCCGTCGGCGGCAACCCTCCCTACTGCTTAACTGTATTTTTGAGTCCCGCTGAGCAGAGCGCACACCTTCTGTTGTCTATTCACCATGCACTGTACGATGGAGAAGGTATTGCACAGTTGCTAAATGAGCTCCAACTCTCTCTCGCAGGCCAAAAGCTGCCAGAACCCACCCAGTTTCATCGATTTATTGATTACATGGTTTCTGCTAGCTCAGATACTTCCGATCAATATTGGGACCGATACCTGTCAGGGGTGACTCCGAGTCTTATTCCTACCCCCGAACAGGCCGAGAGCTCTATAAACCAATCTACCTCGCAGCAGACCAATACAGACCTCAAAGTTCCTCTCGGCTCCTTCAAACAGCGATGCAAAGAGCTATCTGTGACACCCTTGAATATCTTCCACGCTGCATGGGCAAGGTTGCTGTCACTGCATACCGATTCATCTGATGTCTGCTTCGGTAACGTTTTCAGTTGTCGAACTGTTCCTGTTGAGGGCGCGGACCAAATTGTTGGACCTTGTTTCAACACACTACCAGTGCGACTCAAGTTTTCATCCCATTCAACAAATGCAGATGTCCTGAAGCTATCGCAGAAGCATAACAGTGATATCTTACCTCATCAACTTAGCCCTCTACGTCGCATCCAGAGACGTGTACTTCAAGGAGGCTCTCGTCTCTTTGATACGCTGGTCATTCTTCAGACTAGAAACAATGAGCTTGATCCGCAATACTGGGAGCTTGTTCGCGATGAAGGAAACATGGGTTTCCCTCTTATCTGCGAGGTCGTCCCTGACGAACCAAACAACAGCATTCGCATCTGTCTCCATTACCAAGTCTCACACTTGACTCGTGAGGCTACTGAGAAACTTGCCCAGGACTTCGTTGCTCTTGTTGAGCATACCACTCAATATCCTTCAGCCCAGGCTTCTGACAGACATGCAATTGGCATGGATAAACTGCAGATCTTTGAAACGAAAAGTTCTTCTCAAGTCAATTCAATCCAAATGTCTTCCACACAGTCTGAACCCATTCGTGCCTGGTCGTACCAAGAAGAGGCACTGAGGGATATCCTCTGCCAATTCTCTGGGATTGATACAGAGGCTGTGTCCCTCAATACGACTATCTTCCAATTGGGCCTGGATAGTATCAACGCTGTTCAAATCTCGGGTACCTTTCGCAGACTGGGCTACAAAATATCTGCTGGTGATATTCTTGAGGTATGAGAGCTACTCTCAAATTCCTGATTTTCGCTCAATACTAATTTAACTAAGGCTGCTTCGATTGAAAAAATTGCCTCGCTTCTTGAGATCAGCGAGAAGGGCAACAAGCAAGATGAATTTGACTTTTCATCATTCGAGGACAACCATCTGCAAACTGTCTGTAACCAGCTTGGCCTCTCTGTGCAGGCTGTGCAATCTTTGCGACCCTGCACACCCGTTCAGAACGGCATGTTGGCACTGTTCACCCATTCTCACGGCGATTTGTACTTCAATAAAATGGTCTTGAAGTCAAAAGTACCTCTGGACAAAGTGCTACTCAAGGAGGCTTGGTCAAAGGTTGCAGCTGAACATGAAATGCTACGAACTGGTTTCGTTCAACTGCTCGATCAACAGTACCCATTTGCCATGATCACATACCACGATGGCTTTGAAATTCCTTGGCATGAAACTTCAAAGGCCACCTCCAATGGCTCTGTCCAAGAGCAGCGAGTCCTGGAAAATCTCCACCAGCCACCATGGGAAGTTACCGTCGACTCAGGTGAGCAGATCGACGTGGTCCATTTTGCTGCACTTCATGCGATCTATGACGCACAAAGTTTGGAAATGATCTTCTCCGATGTCATGGCAGCATATGAAGGAAAGGCCATTAAGAAGCCTGCTGCCATTTCCGCGACACTTGGACCCATCCTCATCGAAAGTCAAAAGCAAATCGAAAGCGGCCAAGAATTCTGGCAGGGGCTAGCATCAGAAGTCCGTTCATCTAAATTTCCAGACTTGCACCCTATTCGGACTGAAAAAAAAGATTTGCTTGAGACTTCCATTCGCTGCTCGCATCCTCTCAAGACGCTTGAGGGCCGCTGTCGTGAGCTCGGTGTCACCTTGCAGGCAGCTGCGCAAGCATCATGGGCTCGATTGCTTGCTGCATACACAGGAGAGCGAAATGTAGTTTTCGGAACTGTTCTTTCTGGTCGCAGTCTATCTGCGGCTGCTCAGGAAGCTGTTTTCCCATGCTTGGTGACTGTTCCATCGCCTTCGCGTATTGAAGGAACTAACCGTGAGCTTCTGGGCCGAACCTTGATGAGTAACTCATCTTTGGTCAAGAACCAGTTTGCTCCTCTGGCGCAGATTCAAAGATGGCTTGGTAGTGATGAACCACTCTTTGATACTCTGTTTGTTTACCAGAAGTTCTCATCTATGTCAAAGAGACCTGCAGCCTGGATTGTCGCTGATGAAGCGACAAAAATCGATGTATGTTGTTCCTTTGCCTCGCAACTCCTTTTTCCGCACTAGGAGAAGAGATACTGACCCAGTACATAGTACCCTGTGTCCATCGAGTTGCTCCCGCAGTCTACCGATCTTGAGATTCGAATCAGCTATAGGAGCGACCTTGTCCCTGAAGAGCAAGCCATGACTCTTCTGAGCCAATATGATAAACTGCTTGAACAAACTATCTTTGCACCCGAGTCTGATTCCAACGACTATATGTGTCTTGGAAATGATCTGCTCTCTATCACCCCAGCCAAGGAGCAAAAAATCCCAACTTCATTGTCTTTGCTGCACCAATTTGTTGAAGAGAACGCCCAAAGGATTCCGGACAAAGCGGCTTTCGAATTCGCGACTGGTGCCACTGCAGACAGCTTACAGAAAAAGACATGGTCATATTGTGAACTCGACGGGGACGGTAACAGAGTTGCTCACTTCTTGCAAGACAAGGGTGTCGTCCCTGGTGGGATGATAGCCATCTGCTTTGATAAGTGTCCTGAAGCCTCCATCGCAATCCTTGGGATCTTGAAAGCAGGCTGCGCATATTTGGCCATTGATCCCGGCGCTCCTATCTCTCGCAAGCAGTTCATCTTAGAAGATTCCGAAACCAAGATTCTACTTTGCAATCAGGCAAGAAAGACGGAGCTAGAGGGTCTTGCCGGCATTGATGTCCAAGTGCTTGACGAACCCGGTCTATTTGAAGGCCTTTCATCTGCTCCACCAGTGCTTTCACGCGAAATCCAACCTTCTGACACATGCTACTGCCTGTACACTTCCGGCACTACGGGTACACCAAAGGGCTGTGAGATCACCCATGACAATGCCGTCCAAGCAATGTTGGCATTCCAGAGGCTGTTTTCTCTACACTGGGACGAAGACTCCCGATGGCTACAATTTGCCTCGTTCCACTTCGACGTCAGTGTTCTTGAACAATACTGGAGCTGGAGTGTTGGAATCTGTGTGACTTCATGTCCTCGAGATCTTCTCTTTGAGGATTTGCCGGGCACGATTCAAAAGCTCCAAATTACACATATCGATCTGACACCCAGCTTGGCACGATTGGTTCACCCTGATGAAGTTCCCTCTCTGTGCCGAGGAGTATTCATCACTGGCGGTGAGGCCCTCAAGCAAGAGATCCTCGATGCTTGGGGCAAGCATGGAGTCATTTACAATGGCTATGGACCAACAGAAGTCACCATCGGTTGTACCATGCTTCCACGAATGCGCGCTAATGACAAGCCTTCCAACATTGGGCCACAGTTCGATAACGTGGGATCATATGTTTTCCGCCCTGGAACTTCCACACCAGTTGTGCGCGGTGGGCTCGGTGAGCTATGCGTGTCTGGACCTTTGGTCGGAAAGGGGTACTTGAATCGTGCGGAGCTCACCCAAGAACGTTTTCAAGAGCTGCCTGAATACGGAGATCGCTTTTACCGAACAGGCGATTTGGTTCGGATCTTATATGATGGCAGTTTCCAATTCCTCGGCCGGATCGACGACCAGGTCAAGCTCCGTGGTCAGCGGCTTGAGATTGGGGAGATCAACGAAGTCATCAAGCAAGCTACTCCTGAGTTGAATGAAGTGGCTACACTGGTCATCAAGCATCCAAAGCAGACCAAAGATCAGCTGGTCTCCTTTATCACGAGGGTTGATGCTGACAAGTCTCGAAATGTTGGAGTTTGCGCCGACGAAAATCACCGGGCTCTTCTGTCCACGATCAAGGCAGCTTGCCACACTCATCTGCCAGGCTACATGGTGCCTACACATATCATCCCGATGACACGTTTCGCTCTATCAGCAAACAACAAGGCAGAGATAAACGTCCTGAAGAGCATTTATCAAGAGCTTTCTCCTGAAGATCTTCAGAAATTGACGTCTATGACTGTCGATGGGTCAAAGAGGACTGAGCAGGAAGGAAGAATCATCTCCATCTTGGCCAAGTTCATTGGGTCAACTGATGGAGCTATCTCTTCGTGGTCGAGCATCTACGAGCTTGGCCTTGACTCTATTTCGGTGATATCATTTTCCAGAAGTCTCAGAGAAGCTGGCTTTTCTCAAGCTCAACCATCCCTGATCATGAAGCGTAAGTTGAGTCGCCTGTTTGTATAGACATTTAGCTAATACGGATGCAGACCCTACTGTTGCAGGCATGGCATTGGCCCTAAAAATCTCCACGGCTCCATCTGTCTCTCTAGAAAATCTCCACAGAAACGCCAGACAGCATATAGAAGCCTTTGCACACAAGCACTCGCACTCTGTCATAGAGAGTATCGGGGTGGTCGACAGCGATGTTGAGCAAATTGCACCTTGCACACCACTCCAGGAGGGTATTATCTACCATTTCCTGTCGAGCACGACACCCTTGTATTGCTCATCCTTTACCTTTGAACTCGACTCCCAAATTGTCCTTGAGAAATTGCAAAATGCTTGGAGCCAGGCTCAGGACCAAGTCCAAATGCTGCGAGCTCGCTTTTCGCCATCATCGGATGGTTATGCTCAAGCTGTCTTGAAGAAGGATGTTCTTCCTTGGTTCCAGACAAAGGTTGACTCCGAGGAAGAAATCGAAATCTCACACAAAAGGCACCTTGAGAAATGGATTTCTTCTCTTGGAAATCTCTCTGCACAGCTCTGGGAGGTCGGAGTGGTCAGTTCTCCAGAGAAGTCGGTGATGAACCTCAACATATTTCACGCCCTTTACGATGGCAACAGCTTAGCTCTTCTACTTGAACTGGTTGCGCACATCTACCTTGACAGCCAAATGGCTTTGGAGCATCCTCCTGGGTTCTTGGATGTCCTGCATTTAGGCCCCCTTTGCAAAGACCCCTCAGAGCAGGCATTTTGGAAAGAACATCTCGTCAATCGTCAAAGTCGGGCTTTGCCAAAGTCGGAAGATAAATCCAACAGCCCCATCCTGGAGAACATTCGAATTGATAGTACGGAACATTTGAATCGCCTAAGGAATTCTCTCAATGTTACCGAGCAAGCTGTGCTTCACGCCTGTTGGCTATTGACTCTTTACCGACACTATTCATTTGTACCATCCCTTGGTATCATTGCTTCTGGTCGAATGATCGATGTCATTGGAATTGCAAATGTCGTTGGCCCTTTGTTCAACACCATTCCCAGCAACTTCCAGCTTCATGGTCTCAAGTCGTGGTCCGACGTTGCTCAGTGGTGCCATGAATACCACGTGGCAACAATCCCATTCCAATACACCGCTCTCCGTGATATTTCCAAATGGCTCGGAAAAAATCCCGATGAGCGACTTTTCGAGTCTCTCTTTGTCTTTCAAAGAGAAAACTCCAAAAGTGACTCGTCAACAGATGGCCTTTGGAGTCCCTTGGCCTCGGAAGCACAGCACGAGTATCCCTTGGCCTTTGAGATTGTGCGCAATGGAGACGAATACCTCACTGCTACGCTTGCTGCTAAGGGCCATGTCTTGTCTCTTAAGGCGGCTCAGCAGATCCTCGCCACATTCAAGGAAATTTTGTCAGAGTTTGCAGATAATCCGGAACAACAATTACCGTATATGAATGGATTTATGGACGAGCATGAGGCCCGACCAAACGGAGAAGAAATTGAGAAGCCAAAAGAGTGTCTTAACTCTTCTGGAAATGGTGATGAATCTCTATTCCAATGGACTCCTCGGGCTTGCACAATCCGGAATGTGATTGCAACTCTTGCCGGAGTAGACGCGCAGTCAATTGGAGAAGATACATCTATTTTCGAGGTTGGACTCGACAGTATTGACGCAATCAAATTGTCCACACGGTTGAGTAAGCTGAGCATCAAGCTCCCAGTTAGCGCTATCATGCGCCACCGCAGTGTCAAGGGCATGGTGGGTCAATTAACGGAGACAGTCTACGAGGAACAAAATGGTACATATCCGTTGCTGGGTCAGATGGAGAGAGCCCTTAAAGAGTTCCTCGATCGTGAGGAACTTGTTCCCCAGGGTGCCTCTCGAATCCTTCCAGCCACACCGATCCAGGAGGCGATGATGGCCGAAATGTCTGCCTCCGAGTACCAGCATTACTACAACCATGACATTTTGAAGATTGAGCCTCATGTTGATGTCACAAAGCTTCAAGAAGCATGGAGAGCGGTCGTGAGGGCCCATCCCATTCTTCGCACATCCTTTGTTGAAGTCTGGGATCCGGAAATTTCCGCCTCCTACGCCCAGGTCGTCCACACCGAAGACACCTTCGATTTCCAGGCAGTGCAGCTGGATGGAGAAAACGTGGACTCGGTCATCAAAGCTCAACGTGCCAGGGCATCTACTGAACTTGCCGGAAAGCCGCTCCTTACTATAACGTCCGCGGTGGATGGTGAGGACCGTTACCTTGTTCTGTCAATTGCTCATGCTCTTTACGATGGCTGGTCAATCAATCTGCTTCATGAAGACGTTGCCAGATCCTACGCTGGAGAAGACTACGCCCGCTCACCACCTGACGCCATTCTGGAGCAAATTCTCGCGTCCTCTGGTGATCGTGCTCTCAAGTTCTGGAGAGCAACACTATCCAATTGCACGCCAGTGACCTTCCCGTCAGGACAAGACTCCACGGAAGATTCTCGGGTCGTTTATCGTGCAGAAAAATCGCTCTCAATCTCCTTTGAAAAGGCCGAGTCATTTTGCAAGCGCAATGGCATTACAATGCAAGCACTTCTGGTCAGCTGCTGGTCCCTCGTGCTAGCTACCTATGTCAAGAAACTAGACGTGGTCTTTGGTCTTGTTCTCTCTGGCCGTAATGTGACTGGCTCTGAAAATGTGATGTTCCCAACAATGAACACGGCGGCTATGCGAGTCATCCTTCACGGTGCTCGTCTGGAACTGCTGAAGTATGTGCAAGAGACCCTGTTGGAAATGTCTGAGCATCAGCATTTCCCATTGCGGCGCGCAAGACCCGATACGAGATCTCAACAATTGTTTGACACTCTCTTCATCTACCAGAAGAAGCCATCGGAGACCAGCACCCCGGAGTTGGCTCTATACAAGTCCACTGGCGGTGCATCAGACGTCGAGTATCCAGTCTGCGTCGAGGTTGAAGGTGTCGGAGCAAACCTCGTGGCTCGGGTTGCTTGCAGTGGGCATGTTCTTGGAGAAAAGGGTACGCTTGATCTCTTGGAACGGATGGGCAAAGTCCTGACATCCATTATCGATGAGCCCGCCCAGCAGACTGTCGGCTTTGAAGGAGACAGGATGGAAATTTGCAGCATGTTCTTCACTGTAGACGCCTCTTCACAGGTTGTCCAAAACAGCACAATCCGCAAGACCGTAAGTCAACAACCATGGACTTCGCTCGAGTCGAAGATCCGCAATGTCCTCGCCGTTGTGTCGGGAGTGCCCAGAGATTCGATTGAGAGGGAAGCGAACATTTTCCAGCTCGGGTTGGACAGTATCAGTGCTATCAAGGTTGCTGCACTCCTCAAAAAACAATCGATCAAATTGGCCGTGAGTGACATGCTCAGAGCCGGCACCGTCGAGAAGATGGCCATTGCGGTGAACAATCACCATACAGAGCTCACTTCGACAGAAGTTGCCAGCTTCCTCGAAAGATCGCTTGAAGGGATTGAAGCAGATTCACTCCTACAATCCTATGGCATTGATCTTGATCAAGTTGAGATTGTTTTGCCCGCAACTGCTGGACAGACATACTTCCTTGCTATGCATACCTTGAACCCAAGCATCTTCTATCCCGAATTCCACTACTTGGCATCACAACTGCACCAGGATGTTCTCGACGGTGCATGGGCACGTCTCGCCGAGTTAACACCCATGCTTCGGACGGTGTTTATGCCAGCAGACAAAGAACCGCATCTACCCTATGTCCAGGCTGTGCTGAAGCACGTACACAACCCGACTGTCTGGCATCAGAATGTCGACGAGCTTGTCACGCCCAATACCAAGCAGCCCTTTGGCGCGCTGCCAGCTACATTACATGCTTGCCAGACTTCGGAAGGGACGGCGCTTGCGTTGCAGATCCATCATGCACTATATGACGCCATAAGCCTTCCATCCATGATGGACAGATTTGCCTATCTTTGCCGCTCTATCTCGTCCGAATCAAGATCGGAACCCCATGATCTGTCGCGATTCGTGGCGTTCCAACAGATTCATTCGCCGGTGGATTTCCGGCGGCAGTTCTGGCAAAAATACCTGGGCCAGATCTCAATCGATAGTGCAAATGGCAAATGCCGGGGTGACTTTGGCGCTATTCAGCAACACTACCGACCGGGTCTAGTCTCGAACATGTCTCGTGTCGAAATAGCCGCCCAGAAACAGGGCCTCGGTGTCCAATCGATCTTCCTGGCTGTTTATGCTCGAGTGCATGCTCAGATCCTCGCTGCGGCGGGTGTAGACAGTAAGGAGATCCCGAGACAGCTCGTGGTCGGGCTGTATCTCGCCAATCGGTCGCATGATTTGGAGGGGCTGTCAGAACTCATGGCTCCCACTGTCAACATCGTGCCGCTTCGTCTGGACGACAAGCTTAGCCACGATCAGGAGTCACTCTTTGTTGCCGCTCGGAAGATCCAAGACGACATCAATGAGATCAGCATGATCCAGCATTCGGGCGTCTCTCTCGTAGAAATTGCCAGATGGACCGGGGTGCGAATCAGCACATGTGTCAACTTCCTGCGACTGCCCGAAAAAGAGTCTACCGATGCCGCGGACGCCACCGATCGTGTGGAATTCAAGCCTCTTGGACGCGACAAGCTGTCCAGCCTCCGGTTATCTATTCTGAGCCGGCCTGACCAGTCGCGCACCAACGGTGACACTGCAGCCTCGTTGAGCCCAGCCCCGCCCGTACATGTTGGATCCACGGCAGCGATGCAAGATGTCTTCATGGTAAGTTGACAGATCCCAGCAATCCACCACAACCCGGCACTAATGCATTTCTCTACGTGTTTTAACAGCCTACAATCGATGTGGAGGCAGCCATCCGAGACGCCCGATTGGACTTTGGAATTTTTGCTCCCGAAGCTCGACTCGATCACTCCACTGCAGAGCAGATGATCGAGAAAGTTCGACAGGAGATGGGCGCCTTGGTGGAAACCTTGGAGATTGTATAGAGATGATAGAGAGCCCAGGAAGAAGGGAAATTGCGGACTACCACCACCACCCTCATTGGGGGGGGGTTTGCTCCTCCCTTTCGCAACCGCAACCCTGGGAACCATTTGTTTTAGTCATTTTCATTTTCATTTTCATTTTCATTCCAGCGTTTAGAGTTTTGGTTACGGGCGAGCCGCTCATCTCCTTTCCTGTGCATATATTGTTTTTACGGTACTTTTGGCGTTGGATGTGTTCGGTCTAATAAATGGATGTTCATAGAACCAGAGGGGCAACCAAGACCCACGCGGATCGCGGATGATCGGAGTCTCGTTTATCAGTTTCCCCACCAAGACAGGGTCGATAATCGATAGTACAGTATACTGAGTCCGAGTCCGAATCAAGGAGTAGCCCATGTTTTAGGACACGATAGTGTAAAACTCTTTCGGGAGCCGGATGCGCCTCCATCACTGCAGAAATGGAATGGGGAAAATTCTCATATTCTCTGCAAGTGCCGAGCAAAACTGATGAATCAGATGAAAACGCCCTAAGAGTCGAGTGGGACTCATGGGTGGAAGCCACCAAAGCAAGGGCAATCCGCGTGGCCTATCGAGTCGCAACAATAGCCATCTGACCGTGGGGCCAGGGCCATCGGCCCAGTGCAACCCATGTCTCCTCTTTCTGATGCATGGGTTATTGTCCATCGAGTGGACAACGGCAGATTTGACGCGCAGATCTCGCGGTGGCTGCCTGGCGCAGGGGCGAACCCCGGACCCAGGGTCCGTGAAGTCAAAATGAAAAAAGTGGAAAATGGAATAACTATGGAAACAATGATAAAAGCAAACATGGAATAATCAAGTACACACGGGCACGAAGGGTCGTCGTAGTTACGCAGATAATAGATCTGTGCATCTATTGTTCTCATGAGATCGTACATCGTACCATCGTACCATCGTACCATATACTTGGACGGTATAGATCTGACTAAGCCCACTATTTGTTTATGTCACGACGCGTCCCCGCCGCTAACCCCAAAACGGCATCGAGGATCAACAACGCGACGTGCGCGTTTCTTGTACATTAACTTTCACCTCCATTCTTCACATTCCTGTCATCGATCTCCCTTGAGACCACTCCTTTCTCTCTCTCTCCACCCCCCTCTCCGGTCTCCCTCTCTCTCGTCAACTCTTCGCCATAACATTCCAATCCTCTTTCGACCTTATAACTCGCGTGAGACTCACGATAAGTCTTGGAGGGGATCTGCCCCTTACGCTTCCGTGCTTGGTTGAATAGACTGGAATAAAGAATCCAACTCCTCGCCAACTACGCCCTATTTTGCCTGGAGTGTTAAGGCCATCACCGAATGTCCGTGGGCCCGACCTGAAACATTCCCGCGCGTCCTTGGACAGTACCAGCGCGTGTCCGTGTTTGTTCCCCTCCCCCCTCTCGGCCTGATTCGGAGGGACCAATCCGGGTGAAGGCCACAAGTAAACCTTCGGAATTCCTTGTGTCTCGACATGCATGGATGAAGCTGCCTGCTTTGCCACTTGCTGCGCCTTCCTTCTTAGCATTCCAGAGCAGCGTTCCTGCCCTCTTCCTTGAGTCACCCTGGTGATTTCTCTTAGAACCTCTTGTCCGACGTCGAAAGACTTTGGCCTTTTCACAAGAACCTCTGCTGGAGAGTATCGGTATCGATTTCTGTGATCTCTGAGCCCGTCGTTGGTGGGCAGAGATCATCATACGCGGATTGGCTCACCTGTCATTCTGGGATTGTTGCGCGGTGGACTCACATTCCCCAGTCATGGTTGCGACCTTTTCGCCGCACCGGGACTCCGGCGGCACGCTCCATCTACCATCGCACTCTGGACTTCACCACGTCGATGCCAGTTCCGCTATCCGCCAGCTTCGGCGCTCTTTGTCGCGCTCTCCTTCCAAGAGCTCCAGCTTCTTCCTAAACTCTCGCAACGCCTCACCCTCTAAAGCTTCATACATCTCCTCGCCTCTCTCACCTTCACGCCGATCCTCACAGAACAACTTTGTATTATTTCCTTCCTCGGGCCAACAGTCACCTCTTGCGGTTCCCTATCCTCCCAGTGCGAAAATCACTCGGCCGGTGATGCGACGGCGAACCTCTCCGCGCAGTCCGGCTAAACGCGCTCTAACTTTATCAACGGACGGTGGTAATGCAACTCCTACTCAGCCTATTTCCATGAGGATGGGTGAGGATGAGGAAAATGCGCTCACATTAGATGACCTGATGGGTCAAAGTGAGATCAATACTTGCGCCAGTCCTTTTCTTTCAACCACTCCAGGTGTCCCTCCGTCTGACACACCACTCGCACCTCGCTCCACTCTCTCGCGCATCGAAAAGCGTCGAAGTGGTACCTTCGGAAATTACGCCACCATTAGTCCGTTGAAACGCAGTGACGGTATAATGAATCTGGACCAGGCCTCGCGGGGCAGTCCCTCCGCAAAAAGGCGCAGTGTACATGCACCCAACACTTCAGATTTCAGCATCTTCGATACCGATCAAGAACATGCGCCCACTGATGCTTCCGCAAGTGATATCTCGCCTTTACCGACCCCGATTCAATCATTCAGCCCGTTCGCGACCATTCCCAAACGCTCATCATCGTTGCGACGATCCACCCTGCAGCAGCGCCAAGGTGAGCGCTCGCTATTTGGACGACCTAGGGCTGCTGAAGAAGGAGAGATACCTGGTACTCCGCTTGCAGTTCGCCCTCGCATGTCCTTTGACAGCGGTCTCTTTAATGCAGGTCATGATAACCTGTTCTCACCTCTCCCTGCGCCTGCTAGTCCGCTTTTCTCCAACGCGAGTGGCATCAACCCTAGTGCTGCTACTCAGCCCCCTCGTCCTGCCGCTCATCCTCTCTCGCGTACGATCACACAATCCTCATCCGGGTCCAGTTTCGATGACTCGCCCACTCACGAACCCGCTCCCAAGCCTGAACGGCCACCTCGCCCTCTCAACTTCTCCAAGTCTCTACCGGCTGGTGCAACTCGTCCCGCTCCAGTGCGCCGGATCACGCGGGAGGATTCAAGTGGCTCTGACACATTCGCGACACCCGAGAATTTCAAGCTGGTCAAGCCACTGCCGGCTGCGTTCATGTCGACTGGACTGATCTCGAAGAAGAATCGCAATGCTGAGGAGCCGGGCTTCAACAAGAACATGCCTGACACTCCGTGTAAGCGGCCTGTCAATCTGTTCACTGCAGGTCCTAATCCTGCCCCGGACCGCCTCTTTGACCAGTCACGCTTGGTTAGACAATCCGACGATCTGCCTCCCTCGCCTTTCAATCCTCCTTTCTCGACAGCGCGTCCCAGGGTTGCTCGCGGCGCAGGGATATTCAGCAATTCATTTAATCGCCCTGGAGAGCCCTCGCGTCGGGGCAGCTTTGTGAGTGTGGATGGTGATGACATGCTTCAAGCTCAGTCTCCGTCTTCGCGTCAGGACAGCCAACCTTTGAATGATTCCGACTTCCCTCCTACCCCTACTAAACAGACCTTCCTCCCTTCTCGCACCTATCCTCCTGCTACTTCTCAGATCGCACCCTTGGAGCGCTTGTCGGAGTCCAGGGCCGGTTCCCACTCGACTCCCCTGCGTGATCGGTTCCTGCAGGCCTCGCCTCGCACTCCTCGGGATCAGTTCTTCCCTCCTGATCCCAGTGGATTGTCAATTTCGGTGCCGAATGAGCAGCAGTCATTTCAGCCTGACTTTAGCAATTCAGGCCTTCCCGCCACCCCCACTGGCCCCCGCGATTCTTTGCTTTCGAGCAAGCGACCCAGCCTCCAACTCAGTGGATTCCACACTCCCGATGTTGATTCCAGCCTGTCGTCGCGCTTTGAAAGAGCCGAGCTGATTGGCACTGGTGAATTCTCTCAGGTCTATCGGGTTTCTCAGCCATATGAATCCTCTTTCCCCTCTGTCTTCTCTCTACCGTCCAGTGGCCCCAAGTCACCCACTGCTCTGCCTGACCAGGTATGGGCTGTCAAGAAGAGCAAGCAGCCCTACCTGGGCCTGAAGGATCGTGAACGCCGCATCCGTGAGGTGGACATCTTGAAGACTCTGATCCACTCTGACCATGTCATTTCCTTCGTGGACAGCTGGGAGGACTATGGTCATCTATACATCCAAACTGAGTTCTGCGAGGAGGGCAGCTTGGATGTTTTCCTGGCTCAGGCTGGCCTCAAGGCTCGAGTCGATGATTTCCGCATCTGGAAGATTCTCCTCGAAATGTCTCTGGGTCTCAAGGAAATTCACGACCAGGGGTTCATCCACCTTGACCTAAAGCCCGCCAATATCTTGGTCACCTTCGAGGGTGTGCTCAAGATCGCAGACTTTGGCATGGCTGCACGCTGGCCCGCTGAGGATGGCATTGAGGGGGAAGGTGATCGCGAGTATATTGGACCGGAGATTCTCATGGGCCGGTTCGACAAGCCCGCGGACATTTTCTCTCTCGGACTGATCATGTTTGAAATCGCCGGCAATGTGGAGCTACCGGACAACGGAGTGTCTTGGCAAAAGCTCCGTAACGGTGACATGAGCGATGTCCCCAGTCTGACCTGGAGTTCAGAAACCAGCATCTTCCGCGATGCATCAGGCAACCCTGTTTCGGAATCTTCTTCCTTTGAAGAGCTCTGTGCCTCTGACCTAGGTGACGATGACTTTGGGGACGAGTTTCTGACGAGCCGCAAGCTGGGCGCCGGAAATCCAACTCCATTAGAGCGCAGCGGTGAGCTTGTCAACCCTCCGGACTTTATGGTCCATTCCCATCACCCTCAGGCATTGGACAAGATTGTCCGCTGGATGATTTCCCCTGAACCGATTGATCGACCTACAGCCGACCAGATCCTGGAAACGTACGGAGTCCAATTTGTCAGTCGACGACGTCGTGCCGGCGCTACCATCTTTGAGGGCAACTGGGGCCCTGCCGATGAGATCCTCGCCGAAGATGCCGAGATGATTGACGTGTAATCTATGCTCCCCTTTCCGCGATTTGTG